CACCGGTTCGACGGCAAGTACAAGAGCGAACCTGTTTTGGTTTTAAGAGAATTAGAATTATTGGATATAAAAGACACAATATATTTTATATTATTTATTTTACTGGGGAGGTATTATATTTATAGAAACCATATCATGATATTCAATTAGCATAAGTTGTTTAAACTTTAAGATAATTCTAATGCTTTTTAACAAAAGTTCGAGATTTAATAAAATTAAAAAATATAATGTATTATTTGATTCAAATGTTGAATAATATAAATAAACCAGAAGAATATGTTAAAAGTTTAGAATATGAATGTCAGATGAAAAAGTTAAATTGACTATGACACAGAGCCTTTTACACAAATTAAATTATAAATATTGAATTTATAAATTAAATCCCATTTTTAAGAACTGAATTAAGGTCTATTTATCCGTAAAATCTAGATGTAGATTTCTATTTTTAGGGATAATTCATTTTAATTTATTCAATGAAGCTTATAGAATCCCAACAGAATTCAGATGTTATAATTAAGGGATAGTATTCAAAACTAAATTTTATTTTAAAAACCGTCTTCATTTTCGTAAAGATATTTCATTTTTGGTAAAGAAAGACTTTTAAACTGAAAGAAATTGGAGTTCATACGAAGGTATAACTTTCAGGGTACTATATAAAAATTTATATCTACTATCATGAAAAGAAAGACTGGTGTTTTTATTAATGCATAATATAATAAATACTAATTTATAGTAAGATGTAAAGCAATTGAATCTCATTTTAAAATAGTTCTTACTTTCACTCCAGTTAAATTTCTGAGCAAATACTTTGATTTGATATAAAAGTATTATCGTTGATTTTTCTTTAGAATATGTAAATAAAATGATAATTATTTTATTTTTAACAATCAAATGTCTGGCTATTCATAAATAGGCTTGTTTGAAAACCGTACAAATGACTTAGATTCTCTCTCTTATGATGTTCATCTTATTTAGTAAACACTCCATGGATGGACATCAATTTTCAACTAACTAATGGAGATTAGCATATAAACGCATAAGCAAAATTAGTCCAACGTATTGCTATATTATTTAAATAGACTGCATTACTATAGCAATTGATGATTTAATTACAACCAAAATCAAAACAAACCTAACCCAAAGACTAAATTAAGTTATCTCCGATTAGACCAACTAAAACTGAACCAGATGAATACATAAAACCAGAAAACTTTTCTAGAATCTTTAACAATCATAAAAAGGTATGTATCATTCTAAAAAGTATAAAGATTTCGATCATGCAGTTGCAAGGGACTCCGTTTGATTCAGCTTTCGAAAGCATTAATAAGGAACTAGAAGAACCTATAAGGGATGACTTATACCTATCTGTTCCTAAATCTATGCAACTGTCTAACGATAATAATATGCAGAAAAAGAATCACCAATTAGATTTCCATCCGCAAAGTGTTAAAAACACATATGAGAATAAACAATTTGCTTTTAATAAACCCATTCGTTCATAGGATATTAAATCTAATAAAGAGAACACTTAAAATCAGTATACCATTCATAGATAAGATTCGAAACGTAATTAGGATTATCCTCAATTATCTACTGTACTTGAAGAGAACCCATCACTTTTGATGACATCAAATGAGAATAATTATAGACGTATTTCTTACAAATTATCATTAGATTCCATTACTTAATCACACAGATAATATGATTAATAAATTATTTAAAAGCATTCATAGAATAGTTAAAGACCACCAAATTATTACCAATAATAATAACACCAATCATCAGAAAATAACAGATCTTCATCAAAATCTTGTTATGGAGCAGCTAATAACCTTTAACAATAGATTCTCACTAACAATATCAACATTGTAAATTCGCAATAACATTTATAATTAATGCAATAATAATAATCAACATAAAATCATTCTTAGAATAATTTGATTAGTTAAAGTACAAAAAATATCAAATAGAATCAATTCCAAAATAATAATGCGTCGATCAAATTGCCAATAGACACCATCAATTAAGTAAATTAAAAATTCTATTAAGATATCAAGCCAAAGAGCTAAAAGTTATAGTGAATAGACCTGTAAAAAATAAGTAAGCAAACGTATATTAGATATAGATATATTTGATAAGAAATACGAAACTAGTTAGGAGTTGATATGGAAGGCTTAGAAAAACAAAAGTTGATATTATATATATATTGAATTACTTAACTTTCGTGAAATGTATTTAAATTATTAGCAGTCATATTTAATTTCTGAAAACATATATATGTTTTATTTAAACCTCCAATTTTGGTCTAGGTAATTAGGTTAAAGAAAAATGAAGAAAAATATGGATATATTGAAGTAGTAAATCTAACTTTCTGAGAATTTAATTATAACATCAATTGATAGAGATGCAATATAAACTAAATAGGACGATAGAACATATTATCAATTATGATGATCATTCAGTATTTAATTTTCAATAGATTTGTTTAATTGCAATGTTCTTAAATATAAATTTGCTAAACAAAACGGTTAATTAAGAAATTATTAAATTTATGCATTTGAATCTAAATTCTATAAATGATTACCAGAGGGTTCTTAACTTGACTTCATGAAATTCTTTTTAGTATTAACATCTTCAATAATTGATTCATATGTTCAGTTTCTAAATTGATTTTTTATAGTTCTTTAACCATAAGAAATCAATTTAGAAACTGAACATGATTTCATTAATATAGCTTTTCATCCAGTGAAGATATAATTAGAAAGGATCAAAGAATCTTGAATTGTTTTTGGGACAAGATAATAATTGATTAAAATAATATAAATAAATATGCCTATTCCAAATAGTTTTTATCCGATACCATTAAGAACTGTGTTAAAATTTCACCAGTCTGTATGGTACTTACCAATTTGGGAAGATTGTTACCAGTGTGTTTATATGATATTGTATCACTCTCATGAGAGAATTGATAAATTCTTTTGGAGATCAAGCAGATTTGAAAGATTTATCTGATGCAGAGATATGAAATTGCGCACATTCTGGTATGAAACAATAGAATGGCAGCCACTCCTTGAGATATGTGAAAATATATATAAATCAAATTATAAAAATTTTACGTTATGTGTGTAATTTCACATTATCCCTGCTCTTGAATCCTTGAAATCCAATTTTTTCTACCTTCTTTGCCTATTTAATATGTGCCTTACTGAACAACATACGTCAAATAGGTAAAAACATGAGCATTACAATCTCTGCAGAATAAGACAGAAAATAAATTCTTGGAATTACTTTAAAACATTCTCTAATCACTTATTTAGTCTTTTCAAGAGTTCAATTTTAACTCTAATTATTGCTTTATAGAAGTAGCTTGTAAAGCTAGTAGTCACGAAATTTGATTCTAAATAAGTATTGTTGATTTTCTATTCAATATTTTAAGACTTTTTATATGAAAATCTGGCTAATTAACTGGCATGGTCTTTGGCGATGGATGAACTCGATCATCATATTATAAGGGTGATCTACTTTTGCTTATTCGTTCGCTACTTATTAAAAATACGAAAATTCTACGCTTGATACGTATAGCGTGTCCTTCGACAATTGTGCAAATATTCTCTACATTTTTCTATATGTATTTTTTGCTTGTGCACTTAAACAATGACGTGCTTCCATAACAAAAAGTGTATCTATTACTATAACTACCCACTATTATAAGATAATGCTATTACAGTAACTCCAGTTACTACAGGGAGTTTTTATTTTGTTTTAGAAATGAAGACTTAGAATTGAAAATCATTATGTATATTTTTATATTATTAATACTAAAGTTATAAAGGATAAAGAATATATAAATTATTAAGGAAAATAATACTCCTTAAAAGGGGAATATTAGAATTTCAAAAGAATGGGATTAATAATAAATAAGTAAATTATCTTATATACTGTTGATTAATTTGGTAAATCCAACTATACCAAAATGGTTAAAAAGTAATATTTTTTATTTTTCATCATTCACATTATAGAATTCAAATAAGATTTGAACGATTTTTGAGTTTCTATTAGAGAATTCAAGTTTTCTTTAATTTTGCTTGATTTATTTTGCAAGCTGACTTTGGCCATTATTTACGGATTATTTTATTATAATTCATAGTATTCTTTCTTTAATGCATTATAGTCTTCTTAATATAATTACTGATGAGTATCCAATAAAGACATGGCATTTTCAAGTAATTTAATTAAGGGATCTGCAGAACTTTTTTAAGGGGATTCATTTTTTTTAGATACCATTTTTTATAGCAGATTTTTAATAGTTTTTGTATGGATAAGTTTGGTGTCACTTTATGTTTTTTGTGAAGCACAAGAATTTGGCATTACTGATATATTTTCATTTAATTGAACATCCTACATATCCAAAGAGTTGTGATGATGAAATGTTCTATTAGATGGGGAATTAATCACAGAACGAACTTTTGACTTACGATGCATTTTAGCATATTCGATCAGATTTTTGATTTAATTATTTCTGTGTTGTCGAGCATCCATTTAAGTAGTTTTTAAAGATTAAGAGTATTTTTCAAGAAACGTCAATTTAGAGCTGACAAATTCCAAACTTATAGATGATAACTAATCAAGCATTCCCATAATTTACTCAAATAGCATTCTATATTCTTAGTCTAATTACACAACTGAGGTCATTTTATAATCGTTAAGTATTTTAATTATTTTAATTTATGGATCACGATCCTTTGACATAGTTCCTGCATCTTCTCAAATAGAAGCTAGCAATCACTGAGAAATAATTCTGGGAATTGAGTAACGAAGAAGGTCATTCTGCAGAATAAGAAATAGAATTAGCCAAAGAATTAATGATGCAAGAAAGACATATTTAATTGATTGACTAAACTATAAGGTAAATGAAATAAATAATTTTAGATTGAGGAATCAAGATAAAACATTGAACTTTGCTTTCCCAATGAAGTATGCTATGAATTTGATATAAAATCCTGAAATCATTGAAGAATTCAAGCAGTATAATATTATTGATGTTTCAGAAGAATTCGAGAAGATTGTACTAATCTTGTTATTATAAATTTAAGAATCATAATACCATCACAGAAGAGTAAGTTAAAGGCTTTTTGATTATGAAATTTGATGACACAGCTAGTTAAAAAAGTGATGCTTGGGAAGATGATCTAGGTGAGGTTGTGGAAGTTGATAATCAAGAATTAGAAGCCTTAGAAAAAGAGGTTGATTAATAGGAAGAGAAGATAATAGAGGAAGAAGAATAAATGATTAAATAGTAGCCTGAATTATTAGAATAAATTGAGGATAATCACATTGATCCTTGTTGGAAAATAGATGAATCTAAGGCTTAATTATAAATACATAATAAAGTTATATGTACCTTTGCTCAGAATCCTGTTTCAAAAGATTTGATTGCCAGTGGTTCTGAAGATGATCATTTAAAAATTATTAAACTTAGTACTCAAAAAGTGATTTTCGAAAAGAAATATGATGAAACTGTAGGATTAGTTGATTTTAATTATGATGGCAAATATTTAGCAGCTGGAATACTGACAGGAAAAATTTATATCTATTTATTAAATGATATGAGTGAGAAAATGCTTGATGGAAGTTAAACAGAACCAAGTGTATTGAAATGGCATCCAAAAGGAAATGTTATTTTGGCAGGATTCTAAGATTCTACACTATGGATGTGGAATGGAGTTACTGGTGAAGTAATGAGTGTATTTGCTGGTCATGAGGCAGAAATTACATGTGGGGGTTTCACTCTAGATGGTAAATTAATCGTAAGTGGCTCCGCTGATCAATCATTTAGAGTTTGGAAGCCAAGTACTTCTGAATAAGTTTATAAAATAAGTTCAGTTTCACATAAACATAATTATCATAAGGATGATGTTGTCTGTTTTGTATAACATTATAAATAACCAATCATTGCAACTGGAAGTAGTGATTCAACTATTGCATTCATCAATTTCGAGGATGGAAAAGTAATTTCTAATATAAATTTTAGGTTATTGGCAAAAGTGATCCATTAGGAGACAGTATTGTTGAGTTATGTTTCATAGGAACTAATTAACCTATTATTGTTGCTGGAGATATGTCAGGTTCTGTTTATATTTATAATTGGAATTCAATGAAATTAATTGAAAAACTCTGTTTATGCAAAGTAATTTATAACCCATCTATAATTAGAATTCAATAACTAAAATTTTATTTTATAATCAATAATTCCACATCTCAAGTTTAGACGGTAAAATTGTCACATTTGATGTCAGATAAATGCACAATTACAGAGTACTTCAAGCTAAATCAGGAATCTATGAAATGATTGTTGAAGAAGGATGGATTTTAGTTGGATGTGAGAATGGTTTTGTTTATGTTTATTGATTTTTCTTTATGTTTTTATAGTTAATTTCTCATTAATTATGATATCATATAATGGACCATCATTTGGTCTGAATTATAAAAAAATTGTTATGTTTTACATACCAAATTTTTAATAATATTTAAATATAGCATAATTAAAAATAATTATAATAAAAGTTAGTAATAATCAAGATTTCATTACTTCGATAATAAGGCTTAATAATTTTAGTTCAAACTTTCATTTTCTTTTCTTAATTGTTCATTTTCTATAATATAACCACTTAAGCAACCTAAATGTCTTTTTATAGAGGTCTAAGAATATAAAAAATTACTACGTTTTCATCCTAAAGTTACTTTAATTAAACTTTTAAGGAATCATTTTCTAATTGTGATTTGTTTATTTCAAATTTCAATTGATCAACTTAATCGTTGGAACCTTAATTACATTTTCTAACTTTGGTTTTCAATTCATCTATTTATTTCAACCTTTCTTAGTCTAAATATATATTTTAAGTTTAGGCTTCAAGCATTTATTTAGTATGCTAATCCTTTTCAAGCTTTAACTTACTAATTTCCTATTCTAACTCAATTATTATTTTTTCGGCTTTTTACAATTTTCTTTTATGCTTGTCACAATCACCAGTTTTTTCAAGAATCATTTCTGTCAAAATCTTCTGCTCACAATCTAAACCTCTAAATTTATTCAATTCCATTTATTAAGCATTATTTTCATTTTTTAGTTATTAAATTTCTTCCATCTTTGTTTTGAGCGATTAATTCAACCTCTAATTCTCTTCCATTAAAAGCTGAATTCTCTATTCAACTTTACTGAGATCTCTATTTTAATTCTCCTTCATATTGTTTATTTTCAGGTGCTACATTTTCAGTCTGTTAAAATTTACAAATAAAATTATTCAACAATATAAACAAAACTAAACTTTTTTATAAAAAATAAATGTAATATAATAAGAATAATATGTTTGTTTTCCAGTGATTTTTCTATCATTTTAATTTAAAATGTAGATAAGTTTTTTAACTAAGAAGTATAATGATTATTTTCAGGATATAAGTATAAACATAAAAAATATGAGACAATTAATCAATATAAATTTTATGAATATATAATTAAATTAGAATAAATATTTTTGATTAAAAATGATGTTTTGTTCTGAGTTAAAAAGTAATAAGATTTAAATAAAAATGGAACCGCTAGATAAGATTTAAAGGAGATATTCACGATTAGGGATATCATAGAGAAATTTTAGCATAAAATAATTATTAAACCTTATTATGAGGGTGTAACTTTTAGAAATCATTAATTGTGAATTAATAATACTAAAATAGTTTAGCTTCTTAATGAAAATTTTATAAATTATTGGTCTTGGGTTGTAGAAAATGGTTCAGAAAAAATCAATTCTTATAATTTAACTATGGTTAATAACTGGCAAAAGTGAGTAATGTGCTTAATCTTAGAGTATTACTAAATTAATAACCACTTATAGCATTTATTTATAATATATGGTCGATTAAAAACATGTTTAATATAGTATCTATTAAAATAAATTTTAATTAATAAATATAAATTTGAATTTCTCTGTTAGTTCAATATATCTCTAAAATCAATTTATTTGATACGAAATTTTCAAGTGTTCTTGCTCATATATACATCATATTTTATAGGGGAAAATATATTTTCCTTTAAAGATCAATAAATAATATTAAATTTTAATTTCTCAATACTTATTCATAATATATTGTAAATCGTTTAAGTTACAGTAAACAGGTACCGAATTCAATTTCAAATAGGCATTTTTATCAATGAATATTCAAAATTAAATTGTAATTATTATTTCTTAACTTATTTAATTAAGCCACTCCTTTATTACAAGTAATTCCAACAGCCAATGCTAAGAGTGAAGTATGTATAAGGATCAACTAAAGATTTCTGATCATTATAATGCAAATAATTCTGTTTTTACATTAAATGAGGGAACCGGCATATATAAATGATATATTAACTCTATAGTTCCTTTTAAACAGATCTCAGGTTTTAAGACTTCCTAAAATTTCTGAATTAAATGCTTTGATGATCAAATAGGAGTACTCATTATTAATTATCGATAATAAAAATAAAATTCTGACAACCAAACAACTTTTTTTTTTGAGCAAAACAGAAGGATCGAGAATGATCTATTATGAAATATATGTTTATTAATATTGCTAGTATGATATTATACATTTCTTAAATTTCAGATATAGAAGTTTAGTGGTATTTCTCCAGCTCAGATTTATTATTTTTTCATTAATAAATGTTTCATTTAGTATTTTTCCTTACGATTTGCACATATGTCTATGCTTAAACCAAATTCTTATTGCAAGGTCCTCTGCCTCTCAATATTGATTGCAAAATCTAAAGTCCAAGTAAGGATATCTCCTAAACATTAAAGTTGAGAATGGGTTTATCGGAAATCAATACTTTTATAATTCTCTATCTTAAAATGGAACCTTATTAAATTTGGATAAGATCACATTTAGTTTATGGATGCAAGTTCATTCAGATCCATAGTTGAAAGAAAAATAATTAATATTTGCTTTTTATGACGGCAATCAGACAGCTGTAAGAATCATAATATATTAAGACTATAAATGTGATGCTGTACTATCAAACAGAAAAAGATGGCACTTATTTGTATTTCATAAACGAGAAATTTTCATAGTAAATAATAAAGCTAAAAATAACTATGTAATTATCATTATAAATATGTAGAATCAATAAAGTATGGAATTTTTTATTTATTTCAATTGATTAAAGCACTGATAATTGTTTTATTAATCTTAAATTTTTTTCAATCGGAGATACTTCCAATAATCCTTAATTTTTTCAAGCAATTGAGACTTTAGTAAGCCAAAAGTATTAATCCTACTTTATTTTAGATTGCCATATATTTTTAATGAACGCTCAAGAATAACAAATGAGATGTTTAATGGATTTTCTTCAAGAGATCAAAAAGCTTGCATAAATATAGCCAATTTTTATTATATCAATGGGTGGATTAGTATGGACAAAGAGTTTTATGTTGATTACGATTCAGAACTTAAATTTCAATTAAAGCCTTTTGCAAGTGATGGAATAGTTGTAAGTAATACTTATACTGATATTATCTTGAGAAAATTTACAATCCCAATTGAATATACTGGAAGTATAGGGATGAACTTTTATAAAAATACACAAATAGTGTATAATTTTTTTGAATAATTGCCCTCAGTAACAATAATGTTTTGGGTAAAACCTTAATCTCTTGTATCTTCATTTTAATTTTTATCATTTACAGATGATGTATTATAAGAAACAAGCATAGGTTTCGGAGTAAATAAGCTTTACAATTTATTATTTTATTAAGGTTTCTCCAAAACACCAGTCTGTTCTTTGAGTTCGAATGTATGGAACCATGTCACCGTTGGTATTTTAGATATAAGTATTAATGATGATTTTAAGCCATTAAATTAAAGGAAATTATTGAGAATCTTTATTGGCAATGTAGAACGAAACTTAACTATAATTACAAACGTTAAGCCTTATTAAAAATTAGTGTTAGGACCAGTATTTATGGATGATTAGGGGTCAGAAATTGTTGAAATTTAAGATATCAAAATTTTTAAAGGATTTGGAATTAGATAAACTTATAATTAAGATTGTTAAATATTTGTTGGCAGCTATTGTGCATTTTGTAAACCCAGCACTCATTTCTGTAAAGAATAAGATCCTAATGACGATTCAAAATTTTATATATGTCCAGCTGGATATAAATATGAAAATTACCTATGCAAAAAAATAATGATTCCAAACTGTCTCAGGATGTCATCATCATCACCTTCATGTGAAATTTGTGATTAGAATTATAACTTAATTAGCGGTTTATGCTAATTAAAAAACTTAGCGGCATCTTCCCCATTCACTTGTAGTGATACAAATGCACAACTTTGCTCATTCAACATTACTTAAGATGTAATTCTATAATCTTCAAATACTAAGCAAGTAAGTAAATTATGCAGCAATAATAAATACTCCAATGCTCAATCAACATGCGCTTTAATAACAGTACCCAATTGCGATAAAGCTCAATATCAAAGTGGTTGTAGTTAATGCAGCCCTTCCTATATAATGACAGATAAAAAAACTTGCGCAACTTCTTGTCTAAATGCCTTAAGATTTATTGGATAAAGCAATATCTGTGTAGGTAAGTGTGATAGATACCTCTTTAAAGCTGTTTGTTAAGGTCTGAAATATAAAAGCATATAATATAACTGTAGTCTTTAAAAGAATTGTACAACTGCTGAAATGGATATTGGTTATTATTGTTTGCCAATAGAATTCAGTGTTCCTGGTAAAACTCAAAATTGCTTAAAATTAACAGCAAATTGCAATTCAATCTGCAAACATTGTTTTGGAACTGATATAACTCATTGTTTGGCATGTTATTCAGATATGTATTATAACCCTTATATGACAACTTGCATGCCTAACTGCAATAACGCAGCCAAAGGTAATATATTTTTATTTAATAACAAAATTAAATGGTTGTGTGAAAAAGAATGCCCAACTAACTTATATACATAGAATTCTGATTGCGTTCAGATATGTAGTGCCGGATATAAATTATATGATAGAAAATGTATTCTAACAACTTAAAATGCTACATATGGAGTATTATAAGATTTCCCTAACAATGCACCACCCACTTAAATGGTCGTACTTAAGTATTGTCCTTAATTTTGTAAATAATGTACAAGTGAAGCTGTATGCACTAGTTGTTTAAATCAATATCCAATGGATTAAAATATGTGTGTTGAGTCATGCCACCCTCAATACTTAGAAGTAATAGATAACATTGGTTCGTGTAGAATGTCTTGTGACCCTCATGATTTGATTTATGATAATGAAGACATTAATGGATATAAGATTAAATAATGCTTTAAGATAAAATGCGGATCTATAAGAGTCAATAAAGATTATTAAACTTTTCTTCATTAATCTGACTCTCATCGATGTATGTATCCCTGTGACGACGGATATTATGGTAATACTTTACTTTTATAATGCTTACCTTGTAATCCTATTTGTGCTACTTGCTCATAGAGTGCAATCTACTGCACTTCTTGCCCATACTTTAAGTTTTTAGATTAATCTGGCTGTTACGATTCTTGTTAAGGTAAGTATCAAAATTATTTGAACTCAAAATGTGAAGGATCATGTTCATTAGGATTTTAGGTAATGGACGTGGCTAAAAGTATATTTGCATGTGTTGAATATTGTGGAGCTAACTATCCGACTTATTTATATTCTTGGAATAATAGATGTTATGAAGAAGCACCAACGATAGGAGCTTATTGTGTAGACAAGAATTGTTATAATTGTAATTATAAGTGTAAAACCTGTTTTGGTCCTGACTAAAATCAATGTTTAAGTTGTAAGGCTAAATCATATTTACTTAACAATGAGTGTGTGAAACAGTGTTATCCACTATATAATGATAATATAAAATGGGAATGTGTTGATAAATGTACTGATTCCATTTAAACTTATGGTCCACAAGTTGTTAATGGTTCGACATAAACAGTTACATATTGTTCAGTAACTTGCTTGTTTAATCAGTATCAATTCAAAGAAAAATGCTATAATTCTAAACCTGCAGAAACCTATTGCTTATAGAGAACCAATTATTTATTTTGTGATAGCTGTGCCTCAGTTTGCAAAGAATGCCAAAATGCTTACTCTACATCCTGTTCAAGATGTGCCCCTGGTGCTTATATCTATGGAACTACCTGTTATACAGATTGTCCGGACAATGCACCTTATAAGGATACAGGCAGACTTTAATGCGTGACGAATTGTGATTACTATGCTGAAAATGGAATTTGCGTTTATTCCTGCTCCTCTTCCTATTACTAATATCCAGAAATGAGAACATGTTACCAAATGGGCTGTCCTATGGGTACTTATAATATTAAACCTTATAAAATTTGCTATAAATGTTACACTGGATGTGCCACTTGCACTAGTGGATATTAAAATGGATGTTTGACTTGCTAAGTTGGATACTTTATGAATGGAGGGACAACTTGTATCAATAAATGCATTGTTGAACCTGATTTAGTTTAAGATTGGGTTAATAGCAAATGTGTTTAATAATGTCCTTTTGGAACTTTCATAAGAACATTAGATAATGGAGCACTTGCTTGTACTGAAGATTGTCCCAAATATTATTATTCAAACATATGCGTTTCTGAATGTCCTAGCTAAACCTATTTAGATAAAAAGATTTGCAAAAGTTGTGCTGGTCCTTGTTCAGAATGTTTTGGTGTTAAAGTATTTGAGTGCACTAAATGTGATATTGGTTATTATAGAGATGAAACAACATGCTATGCTGTTTGCCCTGACCCAAAGCCTTATGCAAATTTAGCTGACTCAACATGTGTGACTACTTGTCCTGACTACTTATATTTGAAAAAAAAATATTGCTTTAGTCCTTGTCCTGGATTTTTATACTAATATGAATTAAATGGTAAGAAAGAATGTGTAGATTAATGCTATTCAAATTCATACTTATGGCTTGGGAAATGCTATTAATGCGATCCCATTTGTAAGGAGTGTTTTGGGCCTAATAATGGTAATTGTCTTGAATGTCAACTTCCTTATTTTTTGGATGAATAGACTTGTGGGAACACTTGTCCTCAGTTTTATGATTTAACTGATCATGTCTGCAAGGATGCATGTCCTGTTAATTTAGTAATCTAAGGAATGAATTGTTAAAATGAATGTGATTTAGGATATTTAGTGTATAATTAAGTTTGTGTAAATACTTGTCCAAATTTTGCATATCAAGTAGGTGATCACTGTTATGATTGTAATTTATATTGTAGCACTTGTTTTGGACCAACAGCTGATGAATGTTACTCTTGCATAGATAATTACTTTTTATATTAACAGAGTTGTAAATCAGTGTGCCCTCATTTTTATAATAAAGAAAATAAAACTTGTATGGAAAATTGTAGTAATATGTATGAAATAGCAGAAAAAAAAGAATGCGTTACAACATGTCCATCATAATATATCCTCTGTGAATCTAAGTGTATTTTAGTTCTAGAAGATGGATATTATTTAAACGGTAATCAATGTGTAAAATGTGATCCTAAATGTTCCAAATGCACCTCAGCAACAGTTTGCTAAGCTTGCGCCAAAAATTTTTATCTAGAAGTAACTTCATGTGTCAATTTTTGCTCAAATGAATATTTGTTCATGGATCCCATTTCAAGTTCATGTGTCACTAAATGTCCTTCTACTTTATACCATTTAGAATCGTTTGGTAAAAGGTTCTGTGTTTCAGATTGCCCTTATAAACTTTATGATCAATGTGTATCAGCTTGCCCAAGTGGAATGTATCCAAAAGATACTATTTGTACTTAATGTCCAAAATATTGTAATGAATGTGAGTCAGCTACAAAATGCTCATCCTGTTTATTTGGCTATTATTTATAAGATGAACAATGCTAACTAAGTTGCACAATTGGAAAGACTGATAGAAAGAATATTAAATGTGTTGATGAATGTGACCCTACTTTATTTGAATACTAAAATGAATGCTTAGAAAATTGTCCTACTGATCCAATTGTCTATAAGAATAAATAAATCTGTGCTCTTAGTTGTCCAATAGCCACATATTAAGATGCATAAGAGTGTCGAGATTGTGATTCATCATGTACATCATGTATTGGCCCTTCATATTAAGATTGCATCACTTGTTCAAATGGATATTATCTAGATAATCAAATTTGCACTTAAACATGCTCAAATTTATATGATGAAGTTAACAAATAATGTGTACTTACTTGTCCTACTAATCTCTACTTAGATCTTGATAAATGTGTTGCAATTTGTAGTATATATGAGTACAATAGCGTATGTGTTAGTACCTGTCCACCATTAACGTACTTTTTGAATAAAAAATGCCATGATTGTTCAGAAAACTGTTAGGAATGTAATTCTATTGGTTGTATCAAATGTGCTGTTGGCACCTATTTAGATGATGGATTATGTAATAATTATTGCCCATATTATTACAATGATGTTAATAATGAATGTGCTTAATTATGTCCTAAAGATACATATCTATATATTGACCATTGTTATTCTCAATGTCCATTGAGTACTTTTTAGTATAAGAAAGATTGTCTTTTAGCTTGTCCATCTTTAACAGTCTTATAGAATACTTAATGTGTATAATGTCCTGAAAGATGTTTGACTTGTAAGAATGAATATGAATGCTCTAAATGTGAAAGTCCATACTTTTTATTTAATGGCTCTTGTGTTATACATTGTCCATTATAACTACCATTTGAAGATATTACTAATGGCTAGTGCGTGTCTGTTTGTCCACCAGAAGCTTATGAGAGAGGATATGAATGTATAAAAGAATGTAATTTAATCATATACTAAAAATAATGTCTTTAAGCATGTCCTACTGGATATTATGGTAATGATTATTGTAAGCCTTGTCGATTAGAATGTAAAGCATGTTCAACTTTTGAGGTTTGCACTGAATGTAATGATAACTTTTTCCTTGAATACAATTAATGTGATACATAATGTACAAAAATTAAGGATTTAAAATCCAAATCATGTGTTGATACATGTAACTCATTACTATATAAAAATGTTTGTTATCAAACTTGTCCTTAAAATACTTACGAAAATACGAATGAATGTGTTTTAAGTTGTAATGATGGCTATTATGGTTCTTAAGACTTTAAATGTATAAAGTGTCCTTAATAATGTGGAACTTGTACTAGTGTTTTATAATGTACTAAATGCAATATTGGATATTTTCTTTACAATAAGTAATGTTTGGACTAATGCCCAGGATCATTTTTTTCTAACCCTATACTTAATGAATGCTCAAATAAATGTCCTTTAACTACATTTATATTTTAAAATTCATGTCTTTTTGAATGTCCATCTGAATATTTAAATGATATGGAAAATTATAAATGTGTGAATAGTTGTGGATCTTAATAATATTTAAGTAAAAAGAACTGTTTAAGTTGTGCAATAGAATGTGATTCATGTACTGGAAGAGGAAATAATAATTGTATCAAATGTGCAAGCGGATTTACATTAACTGAAGATGGAATTTGCTTAGGCAGTTGTAAAGATGGATATTATAAGTCAGATAATTCATGTCAACAATGTTTACATAAATGCTAAACATGTGAAAATGGAACTGATTGTAAAAAATGTAGAGGTACTAATCGAAACCTTGAAGATTGTTCTTGTTAAAAAGGATATTATGATGATGAATATTAGGATGATTGTAAAAGATGTCCTTGTGATGAATGTACTGCTGCTGATAATTGTCTTATATGTAAAAACAATTTATAAGTTCCAAAATGTTCTTGTGATAGAGTACTCAATCAAGATTGGTGTATAACATGTCAAGTAGCAAAAGTCAATATTTATTACACTGATGATCTTAATGAAATAATTGTTCATTTTGGTTATTTGATTTCCGTTGATTTAATCAATCCATTTTAACCCTTCAAATTGTTCATTGTGGTTTGATAATTCTGAAATCTTTGGTTAAAATGCTTAATGTTATTTATCTTGGAATAGATATGCAGTTCATATAACCCTTAAAGCCATATGCATCTGTTAATATTGGAGACAAGTTGAGTTTTAAAAATTCATTTTATAGAGATGTGGATCAAGGAATTTGTGATGGTTAATTTATAGAACAATTTATTGAAAACAAAGTAGGAGAACCTAAAAGCTTGTAAAAACCATATATTCTATTTGATATTCCTTCTTTTGTTAGTACTTGTAAAACAATATATATCAAATAAATTCTATTAGATGGCACTGGTTAAAAAATCTAAAATGTTCTATCTTGGACACTCAAAGAAATGAAGGATGAAGAATAGTATTTATAAATGGATGCATTTTTAGCAAATTAGTTAAATGAAATTACAATTCCTATTGGAACATTATAACCTAACCTTACATATACAATCACAGCTAAATATGTTAATTTCTTGCAAAGAGTAAATTTCACAACCTTTACATTCACAACTCTTCCAATGCAAGCTCCTTATGTATTTTTGTCATATGACACCTCTAATAGCAAGAGTTTATATATTTGATTGTCATGTCTCGTACTCAGATATGAAAAACGTATTTAATGTTGCTATTGAAATAACAGATGCTAAAAACAAAACATACATTTCTTTAACAGAATAAATAAATCCAATTTATGAAATTCCACTAAATGAATCTCTACTCCCTAAAGAACACTCCTTTAATATTTACTGCATCAACAGGAAGTTCAATTATAATTGAAACTATTAATCTAAAATCAAAACTAATTGATATTAAATTTTTATAAAAAGATAGATTTATTGGTTTAGATAATCAAATTAATGCAAGAGGGTTTGATAGAAATATATAGGATGAAATTTTGAGCACAATGGAAATTAATTATGAATGGCAATGTAATAACTTATTTAATTTATAACCTTGCAAAACAGATGAAAACTAAATTATGCAATTTCCTTCTCGAAGAGTTGTCAACCATTTTTGCTGATAGTTAAAATACAACTTTAGTATTCTTTGCAAAAGCATCTAAAGGGAATAGATGGACAGTCAAAGAATAGTTAATAGTAATCACAGATTTTAATATTGAAGAAGAATTTTATATCAACAATAATGATCCATAAAATTCTATTAACGCAAATGATGAAGTAACAATCTTAATTAAAAAACAATAAAAGTATGCTTTTATTATTCAAATAACATAAAATTTTATAGTCCCTGAAAATATCAAGTTTGTCATTAAAATTTAGATTGGCTGGTTTAACTACTGATTATATAAATCCTGTCTACATCTACTTGGTACCAGGTAATGAATCAATTGGTTTCAAACTGAACGATCCTCCTGAACAAATTTATTTCAAGATTGAGCCTTTGATTGGAGAATCACTAGATTATTTTAATTACACTCTTTCCAATCTTAAACCTGGAAATTCAATAAGTTTCTATTATTATTTTGAAAATTCCGTTCTTGAAAATGATGTTAATATATAATCTATAATTAATGGAATACCATTAATCAAAGACTCAAAAGAAACTTTTGGATAATTTTAGTTGCCTAATGGAATTACTAATAATTCAATTTCGGTTCTCTGTGAGATATCATCCTCTTATGGAGCTAAAACTTATTTAAAACAAGAAGTTTATGTAATGAGGAAAAATTATGAATTACAATAATTATACCAATCGTTCACTAATAAAACAAATTTAGAAAACTTATAAAGTCTTCATACAATGATTGCACTAATCTAGTTAGAAGAACATTAAGTATGCTTGAAATAATGCTCAGGGGTTGGGACATGTGTAAATAAGAAATGTTAATGTCCTCCTGGATATTACTTTGCTGATTGTAGTGGAAATTAGGAATAATAAACAAAATTCAATGATTTTATGTTTAATGCTATGTAATCCCTGATCAAAGCACCAATAAAAAATAACGATGATATGAAATTGTTTAGTCAAACTCTCTACTTTTTAACATAATTTAGTTCTAATAATACATTAAGTTTAGAAGATTGCTCTATTGTTTTACAATAATATATAAAGAATACAAATTCTAGATTAGAACAGATAAATTAATTTTCAATAAATTTATAATATTAATCAACTGAAGATTTTAATTACTCTTAAATTGATATTCGCTCTTTAGTAAACAAAAACGATTTACATACAGCTCTTAAAAGTACTGTTTTTATGTGGGAAAAGACATTATTTACTTCAGGTTCAAATGTTTATTCATTATAAAATCAACTCAACAATTTGATAAACAATATCATTGAATTAACTATCTTCTCTTTAAGTCCTAATGATAAAGTAGACTTTTCAATAGATACTGCATCTATAACTGTTTAAAAATCCTAAAGCCTCCCATATAACTCAAGTAGAGTGTTAGAAGAAATCAATAGCTAGAAATCAGCAATTTATGATATCGTTTATGCAATTTACATTAGAAACTTTTATGCTTTTGATGGTTACTTCCCATACCCATAGTAAATTTATCCATTATATGATTATTAAATCAGATAGTCCAGTAGAAAAGAAAATATATAGTTAGATTAGCCAATTTCCTATCGATTTGGAATTCAAAATGATACTACTAATTTAGTTTGTTTATAAAGAAATGCTAAGACCTATGAATGGTTTGATTAAAATTGCACCATCTCTGAAATAAATTCAACTTACTATTGTAATTGTACAACTCTCTCTCCTACAACAATTTGCAATGACTATGATTTTCTTTATTAAGGATCTTCAGGATTCAGGATAAGTCTTCCAAATATTTTTTACATCGTTTACATTATTTAATTAATAATACTAGGAATATTTGTGAGCAAATCAAAAACATAAAATGGAGAATAAAAAACTGAAGATACTAAATTTGGTCGTGTCTTTAAATTAGCTAAACATAACAAAGTGAATGTAATTGGCAACTAAGTTTATCCAGTTGATCATGAAAAGGACACAAGAGAATTAATAATAAAGCCAGAAGTAGCCAATAAAGATAATAAAAATGATAAGTTTCATTTTAATTATTTCTGGGTACTCAATTTATGCATATATTTAGAAATACCACTGCTTAGCATAATTGATATTTAAATAGTTAGCTTACCTTAGCCCATTTATGAGATCACTTTTAATATTATTAAGATGGAATTCTGCAATTATTGTTGGAGAATTTCTATCCTTGATTTACTTTGACTACTAAATATCTATCTGGATTATATTTGCATCAATAGTCATAATGAGACTTAGTGAGAATTTCTTAAAAGTAAATATAATTCTAATTTTAGAAATAAATAAAGTATTTTTTTGTCATGAAATAAATTATTCTGGTGATATTAATCAAAGGTTTTATATTTTTACTATTGGTGTTTACAATATTATGTGGAATTTACTTTTATTTACTGATAGATGACTAAACAAGTTTGGTATTTTAATCTATTATATTTAGATACTTTCTTATTCCGCTGCAATTATAATTGATATCCTTCTGCTTGATATCATTATTTTTGGCTCAAAAAGATTTTTAGGGGAAAATAAGAAGAAGAATATAAGAAAAAAGATTAATGAGCTAAAATAAATTGCTAAAGTACATAAGTAGAACGATTGATATAACCAATAATATTAAGAATATGATATTATTCAAATAGTATATAATTTTAACTTTATGTCTATTATATCTTTGATATTCTTATTAATACCTAGCTATGATTGTTATTTTTATGTCTATTTTAGAAATATGATATTCACTTACAAATAATAATAATCTTTAAGGATAGTTTAGTCTTTTTAATACTATAAGTTAAACTTTTAAAATAAAATAAGAAAAAGATTTGACTTACAATAATTTATTTTGATTGCCTTTAATTTATAATACTGAATAATCTTATAAGATAACAAACTAATTTCATAAAAATGGAATATCCACCACATTAACAAATAAATAATCTCTTCATCATTATTTTATTTACAATTACAGATCGGAAATTAATATTCACCCAGATTTGATTTTTTCTTTAAGATGTAGAAAATAATGATGTATTTAAATAGTTTCTTATCTATTAATTTAATATATCGGACACTTAAGCTTAAGTTTTGGGTTGATTTTGCTTAATCTATTATTGAAAACAAAATATTTTAATGTGCTTATTTGAGTAATATTTAAAATACTTTTCATTCCTTGAATTGCATAAAATAAATTAAAATTATTCTGTCAACTCTGCTAATATTTTAGATAGAAAAGACCTTCATTCATCAGCTTGATGCATTTATCATCACTTTTATTAATTGCAGCTTATTTATTAACTATTCTATCACAATCCTATAATTTGAAAGACATCCTATATCACAATTACTGTATTACTAAAAGTTTATACATTTAATGGACATAATTGTATTTTATAACTGAATCGGATTAATACAAGGACTTTTTTGTATCTTTCCTTATATCCTGACATCATTTATTGATTCAAGTATATTTTGCACAAGTTTGTTTATAATATGTATTCTAAATTGAATTGATATTCTCTTCTAAATTATATTGATAAAATTTAAGATGGTTGGTTTTTAATATAAGTACTTAATTATAAAGATAAGTAAGGTCTTATATTTTTCTTATGCATCAAAGGGAAATGGAGAAAATTTCCTTGATAATAATATATTTTTTCCAACCTTCCTAAAGTTTACAATTATTTCTTAAAATTTTTATCATTATTTATTAATTAAAAAATTTAATAAAAGTATATATTTTATCCTTATTATAAATATAAATAAACTCTTTCTTTAATCAATATCTTAACTTTTATGGTGTTAACTTAGAAATTACAACTTTATTCTATCTTATGACTTTATCCATCTCAGTTTTCCAATACTATAGAATCATAAATGATAAAATGATTACCTTTAATTCTTGTTACAACTCAATTATTTGCTTACTAAATTTATCTTTCAAAGATTATTCTATTTCATTTTTTTTACTCAATTATTTTTCATATTGTCCAATTTTTACATGCAAATTGGAGTTCTCATTTTATAGAAATTTCACTTGCTCATTATTTTTATTGGCTTAATTCAGCTTGACTTCCATCTCATTCAATTATTCTTGAAAGTTCTAGAAAACAATATTTCAATCATAATTTACTCTATCTCTAGGACTATAAATATTTCTTGATGCTTTTTTTAATAATCCAATTTCTTCTTAATAATTTTATTCTTTTACTACAAAGTCTTTGAATTTTTTTTGATAATCAGACATAGTAATATTAGATTATTACATCAATCCTTCATACTTCTGAATCATTTCCTGTTCTTTTGTTTTATAATAATCTATTAAATTAACGGTTGAATACCTTCATAATATTTCCTTAGCTTTTCTCTCTCATTGTTATTTTCCTACTAATAGTAATATAGCTTATTTAGTGCTTCTTTGGCAATATCCCCTTGTCTTTTCAATTCTTCTAATAAATTTTTCTCATTCAATTTCAGATCCTTAATTTTACTTTCTTGATTTATAATTATCATTTCAAGATCCTCTCTAATTTTAGTAAGCTATTACTTGTTTTTTACTAAGGTTTCAAAATTTGATCTTAAATTCAAGACTTATTCTTGATTAGCTAGTGACTTTGATTTAACTTTTTTCTTGGAAGTTTTAGTAGAGTTAATTTTGTTCTCTTTATGTTTCTTCTTTGAATCATGAGGATTTGTATTCTATCTAGTAGCCATATAAACGTAATTAAAGAAATATAATTAAATAATAATATAATCATATTTTTTATTATTTAGAATTTCTAATATTTTTTTGAAAAAAAAGGGTCATTTCGTTTGATACTATAAAAGGGTTTGAATTCATTTAAAAAACGAGGATTTACATCAGCGCATGAATGCACATTCATCTACTTCGATTAAATTGAGTATTAGGTCTTTGTTTAATACTTATTATTAAGAGTAAACGATGTCATCTAAATAAATGTAAAATTTTATTTTTTATCAGAACTCTAAACGCTTACTTTTAGAGAAGTTATAAAAATGGAAAAATTTCTAATTACTCAAAAATATTATTATCTAAATTGATATTATATAAGGAACAAATAGTGCAAGTCATGTTTGATTTTAATACATTGATTATTTAATTTCGAATTGACTAATTTCAAGGAAATCTAAACATAATTTACTATTAGAAGTCGAAATAAGAAATAGAGTTAAGTACTTTTTGTTGACTTTTAAAAAATAAATTTATTATTTAAAAATTTCTATGACTAATTGTTTTTTAGATATAATTATAATGATAAATGTAATAAATTATGTTCAAAATGAGAATTTAAATGACAAGACAGAATCATTTTTAATTAATTATATTAATATGTGTTTTTTTATAAAGGCATTTTTATTTTTATTACCCTTTTTAAACCAAGCCCAAAGATTTAAACTGTAAGGATCGAAGCCGTTATATATGAATTGCATAGACATTAATGAAAGTTTTAAGAATTTATTATGTTGTAGGTGATAATGGCTTTGTGGGAAACTAGTACTTTTATGATTAGCTCTCATAATCTGGAAGTTTGGTAAATCTTGACAAAATTACATTTACCTTATGGATAAATGTATATTAAAAATACAAACTGAATGGAAAGTAAATTTTGTTTGCTTTTGTCGATGGTAACACAAATAACCCTGTAAAGTATTAACTCATATTAGTATCTTAATTTAATATTATATTACACAATTTCATCAGGATAGTATACTATGACCTTATCAAATGAAAGATTTTCTCCAGAGATAGTTTTATTACCATTATCACAGTATACAATTTATATATTCCAGGTAAAATGATCTTTATATTGGCAGTTGGTGTCATATAGTATTATCTATAGATTAGAGCACAAGTAATACTTTTATTAATTTGAAATTTTTTTCTACATATGATAATTCACTGAATTAGATTCAAGACGTTCTAGTGAATTAAAAGTAATTAATTTTTTTTTTATAATTAGATTAAAATATAAATTTGGAGTGCATTCTAGAATAACTAATGAGTAATTATTTAAATCCTCTACTGATTACAAAGCATGTGTAAATATTGCTAATTTTTATTATATCAACGGATGGACAACAATGGATTCAGAAACTTATATGGACTATGATTTAGAATTGAAGTTCTTTCTCAAACCTTATAGGGCCAAAGGCTTTAATGTTAACGACTAATTTATGAATGTAGCTTTGAGATAATATTCCAACCCTGTATTTCTGGGTAGTCCTATAGGATTATACTTGTATAAGAACACACAGATAGTGTATACTTTTATGGAAGATCTAGGTTCCTTAACAATGATGTTTTGGATTAAGCCAATGAATATCGTATCGCTTTTTTAGTTTATTTCTTTGACTGATGATGCATTATAGTAGACAAGCATAGGATTTGGAGTAAGTTCTGACTATTACTTATAATTTCATTAAAATTATGGTAAGTCCCCGTTAGGTAAATTAGAAGAAAGCACTTGGGCTCATGTGACAGTTGGTGTTTTGGAGCTAAGTTATAATTCTGATTTTATTCCTACAAGCTCAGTTAAGCTATTAAGAGTTTTTATTAATAAATCTTAGGTTGAATATAAAAAGATCTATTCCGTGATAGCATACAAAAGATTAATATTGGGACCAATATTTACTGATGATTATGGAGATGAATGCATCGATATTTAAGACATCAAAATTTATAAAGGCTATGGTATCTAAAAATCTCAAGGGGATTGCAGATTATTTGTTAGTGCATATTGTGCATTCTGTAGACCTGATACTCATTATTGCAAAGAGTAGGATCCAACTGATGATGATAATATTTATACTTGTGCAGCTGGCTATAAAGAAACTCCAAATGGCTGTTCTCCTATAACAATTTAAAATTGTCTTAGACAATCTGGACCACAATGTGCAATTTGTGCAGATAATTATAACTTATCTTCCGGAAGTTGCACTTAGATAAATCCCTTAGTGTCACCATATGAATGCGATGATCCTAATGCAATATTTTGCAGAAGAACAATTTATAGGGATAATTCAAAGTCTACTTTCGAATAGAGTAAACTTTGTAAACTAGATTATGGATAACAGTCTAATTAATTTTACTGTGAAAATAAATACTCAAATAACTGCGTCTAGGCTCAATTCTAATAAAAATGTTATAAATGCAATAATAATTACTACTTAACCGAATAAAATACATGTTAAGTAACTTGTACACAACTTAACAAATTTTAGTCTAACGGAGTTTGTTTAAAAAAGTGTCCATTTAAATATTATTATACGTTTAATTGTTATAGTACATCATCACTACCTTAATATTATTGTAGCTCTTAGAAGTGCGATCAATAGAAAGAACTAGATCTTGACTATTATTGTCTAAATTATTTTTATTCAAATGGTAAGTATAAATATTGTACACTACGTGGTTAAACCTAAGAAAACGAAAAATGGATTGATTGCCATTCTGACTGCAAATATTGTTTTGGTTGGTAATAAAATTAATGTTTGGGTTGTTATTCAAACAAATTTTTTAGTCCGTATGACACAAAATGCGTAGATGATTGCAATGATCTAAAATATTTTAAATATAATAATAGAGATAAAATGGTTTGTGAATTAGAATGTCCTTCAGATTATTTCACATAGGATTTAGAATGCGTGAGGAGTTGTAAAATTGGTTATGCTCTTTATAATAAAAAAATATGTTAACCAGATACTCAAATTACAGATAATTTCGTATCCATCTTGATGTTCAAATCTGTATTTGTTGATTGTCCTCAAGTTTGCTAAACATGCACAAGTTAAACAATTTGTACTAGTTGTCTAAATAATTATATTTTAACTTAGAATAGTTGTCCTGTAACATGCTATCCAAAATATCTCTACATTGATGAAGATGACGTGAGTCATTGCTTAACCAGCTGTGACCCAACTGATTTAGTATATGATAATTCTAATATTGACGGGTATAAAATTAGACAATGCTTCAAACTTAAATGTGGTTTTATCTAACTTGGTAGGACATAATAAACTTATTTACATTAAACGAAACCTCTTACTTGTGTGTATCCATGTGATCCTGATCATTATCCTAATCAAAACAATTATTCATGCGTTAAATGTGACCCTATTTGTCTCAATTGTTAAAACTCAGCTACTTTTTGTACTAAATGCTAACCAGGGACCTATCTTTAAGATAATAGTTGTTTCACTTCCTGCAAATCTAAATTTAAGAATTATTACAATAATCAATGCGAAGGCACATGCTCTTCCGGATATGCAGTTATTGACAAAGCTCTAGACATTTAAGCCTGTGTCCAATAATGTGGGATGATGTTTTCTATGTTCCTCTATACACTCAATACTCAATGCTATCAGGCTCCTCCTGTCATTGGAGCATATTGCGTAGGTTACTAGTGTTACAATTGTTATTATAAATGTAAGACTTGTACTGGTCCCAATTATTATTCGTGTTCATCTTGTTATGATAAGACATTTCTCTTAGATAATAAGTGTGGGACAAATTGTGATGATAAGTATTATGATTTGTTAAATTGGAAATGCGTCGATGTTTGTCCAAGCAATGTATACACTACCTCTGGCTATTAATATGTTAATGGAAATTTGACTTTTGTCACATCCTGTTCCTCCACATGCTTATATGATTAGTTTTAATTTTAGGGTAAATGTACTGATATCTAACCAGAGGGAACTTACTATACCCAGAAGTCTAATTATAAATTATGTGATAAATGCACAGCAGTATGTTTAACATGTTTTGATTCCTATTCAACTACTTGTACGGAATGTAATGTAGGATCTTATTTATATGATACTACTTGCTCCTCTGAATGTCCTGATGATGCACCATATAAAGATACTCTTTAAAATTTGTGTGTTGTTACTTGCACCAGTTATTAAGAAAATGGATATTGCGTTGCTGGCTGTTCGGATAATTATTACACATATGATGCTCAGAAATAATGTTACGAGTTAGGTTGTCCAGAAGGAACATTTAATCTGGCTAATACACTTGAGTGCTATGCTTGTGCTCTTGGATGCGCTACTTGTACAGATGGATCCTCAAGTTCTTGTATCACTTGTATAGAAGGATATTTTCTGCTAGGCACATCAACATGTACAAATGTCTGTAATGTGAGTCCTGACCTTATTTAAGATTGGATTAATGGAAAATGTGCTAAATAGTGTCCAGCTGGAACTTACTTGTAAACTTTGGCAAGTGGGTAACTAGCATGTAAAGACACTTGTCCTGTTCTTTATTATTCAAATATTTGTGTTGCAGCATGTCCTGCTCAAACTTATGCTGATGGCATTATTTGCACTCCATGTGCTGGGCCTTGCTCTGTTTGTTTTGGCGAATTAGTAAACCAATGCACAAAGTGTGATTCTGGATATTACTTGGCTGATACTAGTTGTGTTGATGTATGTCCAAATTCAAAACCTTATGCAAATTTAGCTGATTAAACTTGTGTCTCGACTTGCCCAGATTACTTGTATTTAGCCAAAAAAATCTGCTTTAGTCCTTGTCCAGGTTTCTTAGCTATTTATCAATTAAATGGTAAAAAAGAATGCGTTGATTAATGCTATTCAAAATCCTATTTATCTTCTGGAAATTGCTTACAATGCAATGCCATTTGTAAAGAATGTTATGGACCGATCAATGGAAACTGTTTATAATGTGAAGCACCTAACTATTTATATTAATAAAAATGTTCACCTTCTTGCCCATCGTAATTATACACTGACTTGATAGATAGAGTTTGCAGAGAATCTTGTCCATCCAACACTGTTATCTAAGGATAGAAATGTTAAGCTTAATGTGATGCAACTTATTTACTGTATGGTTAATTTTGTGTCGCAACCTGTCCAGCATTTACCTACAAATCAAATACAAAATGTTTACTATGCAACCCACTATGCAGGTCTTGTAGTGGACCTTTAATCACCACTTGTTCTTCTTGCATAGAAAACTATTTATTAGATGGCACTACTTGCACATAAACTTGCCCAATCCTATATGATTATGAGGCTTAAAAATGCGTAAGCACTTGTAATACAAAGTTTGAATTAACTGATTTGAAAAGTTGTGTGACAACTTGTCCAACAGGATATATTAAATGTAATAAAAAATGTTTGAAAACTGCACCTGATGGATATTATTCAGATGGAATAAGTTGCCTGTAATGCAATAGTAAATGTACTAAGTGCACATCCCAAAATGTATGCTAAGCATGCAGTAAAAACAACTTTCTATCTTTGTAGACCTGTGGATTTTTGTGTACTAACAAATATCTTTATATGGATTCAACAACAGGAACTTGTGTTACAAAATGTCCACCTCAACTTTACCATTAAGAATCGTATGATAGAAGGACTTGTGTTGAGGATTGTCTCTTAGGCTATAAACTTAATGATTAATGTGTTAGTTCTTGCCCAAAAGGAATGTATACTAAGGATAATTTCTGTACAAATTGCCCTTAGACATGCGAAGAATGTACCTCAGCAACAAATTGCACTGTATGTATCAAAGATCATTTTTTGGAAAACGGACTTTGCTATATAAGTTGTTTGGTTGGCAAAACAGATTATAAAAATAATTCATGTGTCTCATAATGTGATCCATCATTATTTGAATATCAAAACTAATGTTTAGTAAGTTGTCCTACAGATCCAGTATTTTATTATCATTCAAATATATGTATGGATGCATGTCCAGAGAGTACATACTAGAATAAATAAGAATGTCTGGATTGTGATGTGTCATGTTTGTCATGTATTGGCCCATCGAACAACGATTGTCTAGTTTGTAAAGACACCTATTACTTACATGACTAATAATGTATTCTCACTTGTCCTAATTTATATAATGAGGTAGATAAAACATGTGTTCTTTCTTGCCCTCCAAATCTTCTTTTGGATGGAAATAAGTGTGTTTTGATTTGTAGTTAGTACATGTACGACAATACTTGTTTGTCGAGCTGTCCTATAGGAGCATATGATGCAAATTACATTTGTTTCGATTGTTCTGAGAATTGCCTTGAATGCAACTCTTTTGGCTGCACTAAATGCGGCAACGGAACATTTTTAAATGATGGAAGTTGTAGTAGTTTTTGCCCATACTTTTACAATATTATCAATTATCAATGTGAGTAATAGTGCCCAGAAGGAACATATCTTTATATTGATCAATGCTATGCAACTTGTCCAGCCAATACATATACATATCTGTAAACATGTCTTTTAGAATGTCCTTTGAAAACTATTTTACTAAATTCTGTTTGCTACTAATGTCCAGAGAGATGTTCAGTTTGTAAAAGTTAATATGAATGTGGGACTTGCGATGCTCCTTATTACTAATTTAAAGGAGAATGTGTTGTGGCTTGTCCAACAGTACTTCCCTATTAGAATAAAATTTATTATGTATGCTAATCGGAATGTTCTCCTGATACATATGAAAAAGGATATGACTGCGTTAGAGAATGTGATTTAATCATCTATTAGAATAAATGTTTGACAAATTGTCCTTATGGATATTATGGTAATGCAATATGTAAGCCTTGCAAATTGGAGTGCAAGGCTTGCAATGACTTTAATATATGCACAGAATGTTCAGACAACTTTTACCTTGAGTATAACTAATGCGAGACATAATGTACAAAAATCAAAGATTTGAAATAAAAGAAGTGCGTCGATTCATGTTCTCAATTTTTGTATCAAAATGTGTGCTATGAAACTTGTCCCATAAATACATATTAATATACAAATACTTGTCTTCAAAAGTGCTTAGAGGGATATTTTGGTTCTGCAGACTTCAAATGTGAAAAATGCCCTTCTTAATGCATCACTTGCTCAACTTTTAATTAATGTAACAGTTGCAAAATTGGATATTACTTATATCAGAAATAGTGTTTAGATTCATGTCCTGACAAATTATTTTCAAATCCATTAACCAGTTAGTGCACACAATCATGTCCAGATAAAACATTTATCTTTACAAATTCATGCTTGTATGAATGTCCAAGTGATTATTTCAATGACACTGAAAGTTATAAATGCGTTACATCATGTGGCAAGCAATAATATCTTAATAAAAACAGTTGTTATCCCTGCTCTTTTGAATGCGATTAATGCACAGCCTATGGAAATAAAAATTGTGTAGCATGTGCAACTAATTTCGTTTTAACTGAAGAGGGACATTGTTTTGGAAAATGCAAAGCTGGTTATTATTAAACAACAAATTCTTGTGAGTAATGCTTACATAAATGTCTAACTTGTTAGAATGGCACTGAATGTTTATAATGCAGAGGAAATAATAGAAATCAACTCGATTGTTCATGTCCAAAAGGATATTATGATGATCCATTTTATGATAATTGTTAAAAATGTCCATGTGAAGAATGTATTTCTGAATCAGAGTGTCTAGTATGCAAAAATAATCTTTAAGTTCCCAACTGTTCTTGTAATAGGAGACTTAACGACGATTGGTGTATTACTTGTCAAATTGCATCTGTCAATATATACTATTCAGATGATCTAAATTAAATCATCGTTTATTTTGGATATTTGATATCAGTTAATTTAATTAACCCTTTCTAACCCTCAAGTTGTTCATTTTGGTTTAATGATTCTGAAATATTCGGAGAGGATGCTTAATGCTATTTGTCATGGGACAGATATGCAGTTCACATCATATTAGAACCATACGCTTCTGTCAATGTTGGAGATCAATTAAGCTTCTAACAATCCTTTTATCGAGATGTAAATCAAGGCCTTTGTGATGGATAATTCATTGAAACATTTATTGATAGCACTGTGAAGGGACCTTCAGCATTAACTAAACCTTATGTGCATTTTGATGTACCATCTGTCGTAAGTACTTGTAAGACTATTGAAATTAAACAAATATTATATGATGGAACAGGAAAGAAGATTCAAGAAGTGTTATCTTGGACTCTTAAAGAAATGGATAATGACAACTATTATTTGTAAATGGATGCATTCTTAGCAGATCAAAAAAATGAGTTCACCATTCCTATCGGTGCCTTAGCCACTAATGTTACTTATACCATTACAGCCAAATATATTAATTTCCTCAAAAGAGTGAATTTCACAACCTTTACATTCACTACACTACCAGACTTAGTCCCTTATGTCTTTCTATAATATAATCCTTTGATGGCTAGGGTTTATGTTTTCGATTGTAAAGTCACATATTCTGATATGAAAAATGAATTTAATTTGGCCATTCAAGTTTCTGATTCCGATAATAAAACTTACATTTCCATACAGTAAGCCATTAACCCCATTTATGATGTCCCATTAAATGAATCCCTTTTACCTAAAGAAACCCCATTACTTTTTATGGCATCAACAGGAAGTTCTGTCATTCATGAAAAGATTTATCTAAAATCCAAAAAGATTGAAATTTAATTCCTTTAAAAGAATCGATTTATTGGATTAGATAATTAAATTAATGCAAGAGCCTTCGATCGAAATATCTAAGATGAAGTTTTAAGTACATTAAAAATTGAATATCAATGGTAATGTAATAATTTATTCAATTTATAACCTTGTAAGACAGAAGAAAATAAAATTATGGAATTTCCATCCAGAAGAATTGCTGATATTTTTGCAGATAGTTAAAATACTACTTTCGTCTTCTTTGTTAAAGCATCCAAAGGCAATAGGTGGACAGTAAAAGAATAGTTGATAGTTGTCACAGATTTTGAAATCGAGGAAGAGTTCGTTTTAAATTAAGAAGTCCCTCAAAACTCTGTCAATCTTAATGATGAAATAACTGTCTTAATTAGAAATAATTAAAAATATGCTTTCATTATTCAAGAATTCAAAATTTTGGCTTCAATCAAAACTAAAGGCCAAACATTAAAATTTAGACTCTCAGGATTAACAGCTAATTACAATAGTCCTGTGTACATCTATCTAGTCCCAGGCATTGAATCTATATCTTTTAAGCTAAACGTGCCTCCTTCAGAAGTTTACTTCAATGTAGATCCACTTATAGGTGAATCTTTAGATTACTTTAATTATTCAATCCAAAACTTACAACCTGGAAATACTTTCAGTATTTATTACTATTTTGACAAACTTCTTCTCTAAGATGACGTAAATCTGTAATCCATAAATCATGGTTTCCCTTTGGTGATTAGTTCACAGGAATTAACAGGTTCCTTCTAACTTCCAAATGGAATTATTGATAATGCAATATCCGTTATTTGTTAGATTGAATCAGCAAAGGGATCAAAGTCCTATTTAGTAAAGGAAATTCAAGTCAAAAGAAATAATTATCAGATAAATAAATTGTATGAATCCTTAAATAATCAAACTAATTTTTCAAATTTACAAAGTATTCACACTATGACTAAACTAATGGAAATCGAATAATAATAAGTCTGCTTGAAACAGTGCTCAGGTGTTGGTACATGCGTTGACAATAAATGTAAATGTCCTCCAGAATATTACTTTGATGATTGCAGTGGAACCAGAGAAGAATACGATAATTTTAGCAGCCTTATTTCAAATGCTTTGCAACAATTAATTAAAAATCCAATAACAAATGATGATGAGTTTAGATTGTTCAGCTAATCTCTATTGTACTTATCCACTCTAAAAGATTTAAATAGTTCAATTACTAATTCAGATTGCTAATAAATATTGGAATAATACATTTAAAATCTTAATACAAGATTAGAAAAAATCAACCAATACTCAATTAATCTTTAATATCAGTCAACTGCTTATCTGAATTACTCCCAAATTGATATAAGATCTTTGGAAAATTAGAATGATTTAGGAACAGCTTTAAAGAGCACGGTATTTATGTGGGCTAAAACCTTATTTACTGAAGATTCTGCTGTCTATTAATTGCAGAGTCGCTTAAGAAGCTTTTTATCAGCTATAATAGAATTATCTCTATTCGGTATTGAACCTAATGAATCTATCGATTACTCTTTTGATACTGCCTTTCTAAAAATGTAGAGAATTAATAATATATCCAACATCACAAAAGGAAGACTATTAGTTGAATCCACTGAAGTTAATTCCAGCAACTCAGAATATTACGATGTTGTTTAAGCCATATATATTCGTAATTACTTTGCTTTTGATGGTTACTATCCATATCCCTTATAATTATATCCACTTTACGATTACTAAATACGTCAAGAAAATAGAAAATAAAATATTTAATTAAGCTCATATATCTCATACAAATTTAAAGTGCTTAATGATACTACAAATCTGGTTTGTTTAATGAGAAATTCTTTGTCATATGAATGGTCAAATGAAAATTGCACACTTGACTAATAAAATACATCCTATTTTTGTAATTGTACAAATCTTGCTCCAACAACCATTTGTAATGATTATGACTACCTTTTTTAAAATTCTCCTAAGTTCTAATTGAAAATTCCAAACCTTTTATATATTATTTACTTTGCATAATTATTGATATTAGGAATATTTTTCTTTAAGTCTAGGAAGTCTTAGTATGAAAAATCTGTAGATAATAATAAGTTTGGTTAAGTTCTAAAATTGGCAAAGCATAATAAAATAGGAGTTTTCGGAAATAAGATTGTTCCAATTGATGATGAAAAACAAGTTGTTTAGGATGAGTCAAAATAAAACTAAAATTAATAATAACCTACAGATAAAGATAAATTTAGTTTTAATAATTTTTGGGTACTTAATATATTTATTATAGAAATATCATTTTTTAACTTCAATGATATATAAAAAAATCTTTTACTTTAGCTCATTTCAACGTTCTGTTTTGATTTTATTGAGATGGAATCAAGCCATTATTGTTGGAGAAGTCTTAACTTTTTATGGATTCAATTATGATGTTGCTATGTGGATTATCTTGTCATCAATCATTTTTAGCAGAATTTTTGAATACATTTTCAAAGTAATCAATTTTTAATATTTTAGACTTAAGTCAAATACTTTTTTTATATGAAATAAATAATAGTACTTATTCTAACTAAGTTATTCCTATTCTTAATAATGTTAGGCACATTTTTATTTGGAATATATGTCTATTTGATAATTTATAATTAAACAAACTTGGTATTTAATCCTAATTAATCATTAGATTATTTCATATACTTTTGCCATCATAATTGATTTCCTATTTTTGGACATAATCTTATTTAGTGCCAATAAATTTTTTGGATAAGAAAAGAAAAAATTAATTAGGAAAAAACTTAAAGAATTTTAATTTATAGCTAAAGCATAGAACGTCAATTGATTCTGATATTATTTTTAAATAATATCTAAGATATATAAACTTTTTAATCTTTGATTATTCTTGAAATTTGTAGTTATTTATAAAAGTCATCTTCTCTTAGTAAAATAATTAATTAAAACAAAATATCAATCAAAATTATTAAACAAAGATATGGAATGAAATTTTAGAAAAGGCATACTTGTTTTTGAAATTAGTTCTTAATGAAAATTAATTATGTTATCTCAATACTTGAAGGCTTTAAGCAAACATTAAACTACTATTTATTAAAATATTAATAAATAAAAAGTTTTTTCTTAACTTATAAAATGATTCAATTGCTCAGCCTTTGATTTTTAAATAGACTCTTACTTAACAAGTTGAAATTCTTATTTTTATAAAGCCTAATGCTTTTAAAATATTTTCTTTTTATTCCCATAGATAAGATAAAATTTTTATTAAATATATAGACATTAAATACATATTTCTCCAAAAAAGTGAAGAAATAAATCTTTTAGTAAGCTAAGAATAGAATAAGTATTACATAAACCTAAAAATCTTATACACTAGTCAATATTTAAAAGTAATTGGTTTACAATCTTAGTACTTATTTATTTTTAATATTGGTATTTTTCATTATAAATTTTTCTGAATTTTCAAATCCAATTGCTGAAAAATTAGTTTTTGACACTATAAACTTATGTACAATTAATATCATGATCAAAATTTTGAATTTTTTCACTCTTCTAGTCTTTAATCTGATATGCTTACGATAATTCTATTATAATTGAAAATAAAATGCTTAACTCCATCAGATTATAAATACAGAATTAAATTTATTTATAGGCATTTTTTTATTAAGTTTAATTAATACTCTATCATTTAATTATAGGCTTATTCATTTTTAAATAATTATTAAAAACATAATGAATATCATCAGAATTACTAACTGCCAATACATAATAGCTCTTAGAAGGCATGATATTGTTTATAAATCCCAATTACTTTGGATAATTTTATAGTAGAATACATGATAAATTCAATAATAAATTATTAAAATTAAATTGTTATGGATGAACTTTATCAATCAGAAATTAGACAGAGATATTATTCTTCTATGACATATTAGGAATATTTAGATACTCATGATTAACCACCTCCTACACCTAAAATAAAGTATTAATTATACTTTGATTAGGGCTAAATAATCGCAGTAAATAGTTGAACCTCTAACCCTTGAACCACATAAGGGACCTAAAATTTAGTAGCAAAAATTAGCGATATATACACCAGATGAAGTCATACTGGAAGAATCAGAAAATGATGAAAAGCAACGATCAAATTAAAATCAAAGAGTCCCATGTTAAAAAGCTTTAATTGAACATGTAAAAATAATTATATAATTATAGGATATAAGAATGCGTAGCTAAAGCGAAAATTTAAACTTTTCTGTATTTAGATTCCTTTAATAAAAGAAAAAAGCATGATTAATTATAATTTTTTATATGTTTCACTTCCAAAGATAATTTATATGAAAATCACTTTGTTTTAATGGTTAACTCATTCTAATAAATTAGAATTAACACTTCTAAACGTGAAATGAATTTAATCTATAAAAAGAAGTTGTAATTATAATCTTGATACAAATTGAATTCTTTTATAGATATTAAAAATATTTAAATTATTTGGACCAAATTTCTTAACAAGCTGATGATGTTCATTTATTTCATCAATAAAATTTAGACTTAATTATTAAGTAGTCAATTTCCTTTTGAATAAATTTAATCCTTTTAACCCTTAAAAAATATTGAATTCAAATTTATAAATTTACATTTACTTAATTGTGTATAGAATTTAGACATAATGTCAAACAATATTTTCATTTGATTTTTCCAATTAACTCTAACAGAAACTTAAGAAAATCAATTCATTTATTTTTAATTATATAAAATTTGTAAAATTAATAATAAGAAAATTTAAATTCGATTCAAAAACTAAGAATATACTAATAGCAATAGATATTTTACACATCATAAATCATCAGAAACTTATTTTTTTCCCTATTTGTCTATAAATTCACTAAGGGCCTCTAATGTTAATGGTCCATCAAATGTAACAACCTATCTTGTTTAAGCATTGTACCATCTAACCATAGGAACTTCCTTAATAAATTAATCTTTCACCTTAAATAATAATTTTTAATATACTTCGTTTTCACTTGCATCAAACATACCAAATGCTTTTTATCCTCTATATTTTTTAAATAATTGCTCAAATTTAGGAGTAAATTCTTGACAGACTTTGCACCAACTGGAATAAAAATAAATGAAAATATTGTCGTGCTTTGGTAGATCATCACCAACAACGGTCAAGATTTATTTTTCCCAATTCTCGTTTTTAACAGTTGGTTAACTTTTGTAGTATGGTTCTAATTTATTATTTAGAAAATTATTCACAAATTTTCTAAGATCACCTAAATCGGCAAATTGTGTTCTATATTTCTTTTAAGAATGGTTTTAATCATAAATAACTGCCAAAGGACGTTAAATACCTTTAATTCCTAAATAATTTAATAGTCTATCTGTCACCTGATCCAACTTAACCAATATAGTATTAATCCTAGAATTATTGTTATTATTACTCTTTTTAATGTATTTTGGCCAAATCTCTATAATCTTTTTCATCAAAAATAAATAATATTGGCTTTTTAGGTTAATAAAAAGCTGTTTCAATAGCATCTTATGTAAATTCTTAATAGTATTTCTCTTCATGATCCTCAACAAATTTAAATACTTTTTCATAAGTTATTTCACCATCATAATCATATCGATTTATACCCTTCTCTGTAAACATCACAAGGGTGGTTTCTTCCCCAACATTTAGTATTGATCGAGCATTTGGTAAAGTAGTATAAGTGAAATGGATGTGATGCTTTAGAGTTTTGAGCCATTTCAATTCCTACTTGAATTTTTCGTTGAAAACTAAAACGCTAATATTATGAGCCTCATGGATCCATCTAATCGTTGGTTCTGAATCAGAATCAGATATATAAGATAATGCTCTTAGATCTGCCCATTCTTCTAATTACTTCGCTGACCATTCCCCTGAATGTTCGGTGTAAAGACCTTTTACATATAATCTAAGCACAGGGTATCTATTAAGTTCGTAATTCTTAATTCTAGCTACTGGAATACCAATACTTCCAGGAGTACCAACATTAATCAATTAAGAAGCTTTTTCTAATTCTTCATCCAATCTCTAGCAATGATTACAATCATCTCGCGTGAAAAAGATCATAGTGTAGTTTTAATTTTGGACCCATTTCTCTAAATTTGTAATGTTAGTCATTTTGCAAGAAGCTAGAACAACTAAAAGAATAAAATACACGTAATGCATTAATTTTATTAATGGGAAACCAAAGCGAAAAAAAAATAGCTTCATTTAAATAAAAAGTCATTGGTTATTACTTTTACCCAACAACAGGAATTTGCACTTTATTTTTGCTTGCCAATTTGTATTGTGGTTATGCATTAACAATTTGGGGTGCTATAGTAATTTCTATAATTACTTTTATTCAATACTTTTGTTATAATTAGATAAGCAAGTCATTAGAGTTTGGTTTGGATACAGATTCATATTCCATTTACATAGATATATTAGTTTTAAATGGAGTCATTTAAGTAAACTTTTTATCTACTTTAGCTTGGCAGCATTATATTTGATGTTTTTTGGTATGGTTATTGGATTATCCCATTAATATTGCTATATAAAGGTTCCCTAATTATTTGGGGATGGTTACAAAAACCCCAATATGCTGAGGAGGATAAAAAAGATAAAAAGAAAAAAGAAAATAAACCTAAAGTAAAATATGTTAAATGAATATTAATATGCATAAATATTTGTTATATATCAATCATTCTATTTCCAAAGCAGATTCTACTATAAGACTCTTTTTTATTCTGTGTTTGTTTGGATAAAATATTAACAAAAGTATTGAAGTAGGAACATAATCACTCAAAAGATACAAAAAAAATGATATTATAGACCTTTCATTTATCATAAAAAATACATACCACCATATAGTGTCTTAAGTATTTTAGTCATTGAACCCATACTTAAACTAAATCAAAAAAGAGGAACACCAAATTCTTAACTATGAAAATACTAATCTTAATGCCTGTCCAACTATTAATAAACCAATTGATAAATCAAGCTATATTGGTTATGTTATACTTTACGTATTTTTTATATTAATCATTTATAGTATTTATGTTCTTAACGTGTTTTCTAAATAATAAACATCCTCCAACAAAGGCCACTAAAGAGACAAATGAGTATATGAAATAAAGAATTGAGTAGCTAACTATCATATTTATTATACATCTTGTCTATTTTTTAATCCCATGTTTTGCTGTGATAATACTCAGCTATGATTAAGAATATTTGACATGCAAACCAAAAAGCAAAAAAGAATAAATTAATAATCATTTCAATATAAGAAATACTTTGAAAATAATGAAAAAATTTCTGCATAATTGAAATCCTTAAATAAATAAATTCTTTAACCATTTTGCTCCTATTACTCCCAAGACAAGATCATAAAAAATGAAACTTGATGATTATAAAGTTCTAAAAACAGATGGCTGAAATAGTTATTATTCAGATTCCTTTAAAAAACATCCAAAAACTGCATAAGAATAGGCTTGTATCCTTACTTTTCAATAAGTAAATTATTACTTAAACTTAGGATGAACACTAAAGTGTTTATTTTTAAAAGAGTTGGATCCATAATTTTGAGAAAGAATCTAATTAGTTTATGAAAATTTGAAGCCTGCCATAAAATCATAATTGTATTCATCATCAAAATTATAATTGCAAAAGCCTTTTCTAAATCATTTGTTATAAAATCACTCAAGTTCTATTTATATGTCTCCTTAATCATAATATAATTAGAAAATATTTCTAAAGCACTTTAATTAAAAAATAATAATAATTTTTATCAATATCCCTAATATCAAGTTCAGAAGTCTATCATCAAGAATCTAAATATTTAGCAAACTTTGAGAATATGAAATAAAAGTTTTAACTAAATTTAGACTAAATATTTTTGAAAATGAACAGAGCACCTAAACTCAAGTTTCAACTGATGTATAATTAAGACAATATCATTAAATCGAGATTTTAAATTGAGCACATTATAATTGTTGGCAAATTTTAATACTTTTAAAATTACCAAACTAACTCGTATAATTAAAGAATGATTGAAATAATTAAAATACTTTTAAGTTATATTGAAAAATATCGTATATGTTATAAAATCAAAAAAAATACATTTATACAGAATTTATTTACCCTGAGTTATTTATTAAGGCAGAAAAACTTAAAAGATATAATGATTATAAAGTATTTATTAAAAATTTATTAGTTAAAGATTTTTAATCAAAAAAATAATATAATTTTGGAGGGATATTTTTGTTAGTAAAATTAATGTAAATTGGACAATATTATTAAATAAAATTTATAAATTTACATATATATTAAATTCAAAGTCAAAATTTTATTAATTAGATTTAGAATATTCTACCAAAGAGAACTGAAATATGTTTATGTTTTATTATATATTTTGGTTCTTTTATTAAATTAAACTTCTGCGATAAAGGTAAAATTATTTTGAGGAAATAATATTACTTTATAATAATTTACGTTTTCTTATGTGAATATATATTATAGATAATAAAATTAAATGATGTATTTAGTGTTCGCAATCCTGAGCTATGTTAATTCGTAAACAAAGATAAATTTACAAGGAGCTTTGCCATTACATATGGATTGTAGTAATGTTGATGAAAGTAGCTATGTAAAGTCTTATCAATAGTTGAAAATGGATTCGTAGGATTGCAATACTTCTACGATTAACTCTCGCAATAAGGATAAATTAATAATTTAGATTAGTTGACCTTCAGCATTTGGATAATGGTTCATTCGTAGATGAAATTAGGTGGAAGATAAATAATTTTTGCCTTTGTTGATGGTTATACAAAAAACCCAGTAGGAAATTTATTTTATATTTAGTATTTAAACTTAATGCTTTACTATTAAATAGAGTCTGGCGATTATTACATGTATTTGGTCAATTCTAAATTTGAGCCAGAAATTTTAAAGCTAAAAATTGATTAGTAAAATTTTCCTTTTATAAATAGAGTCAATGATCTCTACACAAGCTATTGGAATCATATATTGCTTTCAATAGATTCAAGAACTGAAAATGCGTTTATAAATCTAAAATTTTTTTCGACTTATAATTACTAACTCTCTTAAAAACTAGAAACTTTAGTTACTCAAAAGTAATGTTTTTCATAATTGAAAGGTTAATTTATCGATTTGGATCGCATTCAAGAATAACAAATGAATAACTTTATGATATGACTTCTGATTATATGGCTTGTATAGATATTGCTAATTTTGATTTAATCTATGGATGGACAACTATGGATTCAGAAATCTATGTTGATTATGATGTCTAACTAAAATTTCTTTTAAAACCTTTTCAAGTTAACTCAATCAATGTGGAAAGCTAATTTTAAGATATCAAATTAAGAGTAAGTCTTAATCAGGCCTCATATAGTGGACCAATTGGTTTATATGTATATAGAGACAAGCAGATAGTCTATAGCTTTGAGGAGTAGATGAGTTCGTTCACTCTAATGTTTTGGGTGTAACCAAGAAATATAGCTAAAGTTTTTCAATTTTTCTCCTTCACAGATGATTTAGTGCAAGAGACAAGTATAGGATTCGGTGTTAATTCAAATTACAAGCTTGTATAATATTAAGCCTATACAGTACAAAACCAATTAGGCAGCCTCTCAGCTAATATATGGAATCATGTGATGATAGCATTATTGGATATAAGCATAAATGAAAATTTTATTCCTTAAAACTCGAAGAAAGTAATGAGAACCTTTATTGACACTTCCCAGACTTCTTTAATTATAGTTCAGAATATCAAGGCGTATAAGCGACTCGTAATAGGCCCTGTTTTTAAAGATGCTCGAGGATATGATTTCTTGGATATTTAAGACATTAGAATATTTAAAGGTTATGGAATTTTATAATCATCTGGTGATTGCCAATACTTTGTTGGACCCTATTGTGCTTTTTGCAGAGGAGGAACTCATTACTGTAAAGAATAAGATCCTAATGATGACGTTTTCTACTATAACTGCCCTGCTGGATATATTGAATAATCAAATACTTGTGTTTCAACAACTATACCAAATTGTTTAAGATAATAAGGTAATAATTGCAAGGCGTGTGAAAGCAATTATTGGTTGGATAATAGCACTGGAAGATGCATTTTGTCAAGCAGTTCACCTAAATCCCCTTTCTATTGTTAAGATTCATAAGCAATTTTTTGTCAAAAAACAATTTTATATTCAATATCAACATCTCAAAAATAGGAAGTAAGTAAACTATGCTAGGTAAATGTAGCATAGTATAGTTCTTCTTAGCTAACTTGTTAAGGTTGGTCAGTAGATTCATGCAATTAAGCATAATATCAAAGTTAATGCTATAATTGTGGTTATAATACTGTTTTAACTGAAAAAAAAGTATGTAGATGGCAATGTACATCAAATTATAGATTCAACAATAATAAAATTTGTTAGAAAAGTTGTAAGTCTAAATATCTTTATAACTATTCTTGTACTTATTCTAGTCCTTATAATTATGTAACTTATTACTGCAATCCTAATTCTTATTGCTAGTCAAATGAAATAGATTTAGGATACTATTGCTTAAAACCTGAGTAACAAAGAGAAGGAAGAACTAGGGGGTGTATAATTACTGGCAGAAACCAAATGAGAGACAGCACTATTTATTGCCATAATAGTTGTAAATATTGTTTTGGGCCAGGTGATTAAAATTGCCTAGGTTGTTATTCTGATAAATTTTTTAATCCCTATTTAACAGCTTGTGTTACTAATTGTAGCAACAAAGGTCTTTTCAAATATAATAATTAGCAAACAAAAGTTTGTGAATTGGAATGCCCTACTTATCTATACATAAAAAATTATGATTGCGTGACTGATTGTGGTTTAGGATATGCTTTATACAAGAACACATGTTTACCAAATACATATTTAACAGAAAATTACCTTACTACTTCTGTGGATTCATCCTCCCAAATAATAGATGTAATGCTTGATTGCCCATAATTGTGTTAAACATGCACTAGTCCTACCATTTGTACAAGCTGTCTGAACACATATCCTATAGATTAAGGTATGTGTGTATTGTCATGCTTCCCCAAGTTCTTGTTAAGACAAGATGATGGTGTTAGTGTCTGTTTATCTAATTGTAATCCAAGTGATTTAGTTTATTAAAACGATAACTTTAATGGTTATACAATAAAATAATGTTTTCCAAAAAAATGCGGATCAATAAAGGTGAACAAGATCTATTAAACTTATTTACATCAATCTGATACTCATCGATGTATGCAACCTTGCGATGATGGATACTATGGCCATCCTGCCACATTTGAATGTACTCCCTGTGACAGCAATTGCTTTACTTGTTAAGACTTTGCTAATTTCTGTACGTCTTGCAATTTTATGGAATTTCTATTAGATAATGTTTGTTTTAATACATGTGGTACTAAATTTTAAAATTATATAAATTGGAGATGTGAAGGAACCTGCTCTACAGGATACTCTATTATTAATAAAGACTTAAGCATCTATGCTTGTGTCGAATAATGTGGACAAATTTATGCTTAATACCTCTATTCTTTTTAAGGCTAGTGTCTTGTTACCATCCCTCTAATAGGAGCATATTGTATAGGGAGCAATTGTTATGAATGCAACGAAAGTTGTAAAACCTGTTCTGGACCTAGTTAAAATGAGTGCCTATCTTGTTATTCTAAGACTTATTTATTGAATAACACCTGTGGAATCAATTGTGGGTCATAAATGTATGACATGGCTAATTGGTTATGCGCTGATGACTGTCCATACTCCACTTTTAAAACTAATAATGGTAGCACTTATTACTGTTCATTAACTTGCCTTTACAATTAATATTAATATAAAACTAAATGTTATAATAGTTAACCTTTTGGAACCTTTTGCCAATCTAGAACAAATTATGTTTTTTGTGATGGTTGTGCTGATGTCTGTAAAACATGTACTACATCCTATTCTACCTCTTGTTCTTAATGTAATCCAGGAGCATACTTATATGGAACAACTTGTTACTCAGATTGTCCCGATGTTGCCCCTTACAAAGATACCATTTCTAATAAATGTGTCACTTCTTGTAGTAACTATCTTGAAGACGGATTTTGTGTGAACACTTGCCAACCTACTTCTTACATATATACTCAATAAATGAAATGCTTTATTATGGGATGTCCAGAGGGAACATATCAATAAACAAACACTAATTATTGTTACGCTTGCAATACTGGTTGTTCTACATGTACAGGTGGAGGAATCACTCAATGTCTAAGTTGTATATCAAACTATTTTTACAATAGTGATGGATCATGCTCTTCAAATTGCTTAACAAACCCATATATTATTCAAGATTGGGTTAACTCCCTTTGCGTATAATAATGTCCCTTTGGTACCTACATGCAATCGTTGTCGGGAGGAGCTCTTGCATGTAAGGATACTTGTCCACAATATTATTATTCAAACATTTGTGTACCTAATTGTCCAAACGAAACATATATGGATGGCAAATTTTGTATCAGTTGTGCTGGTCCATGTTCTGTCTGCTATGGCGCTGCTGTTAGTTAATGCTCTTAATGTGATATTGGATTCTATTTGTATGATACTACTTGTGTTGAAACTTGTCCTAATCTAAAACCCTTTGCAAATTTAGCTGATTAAACTTGTGTTACTAATTGCCCATAATATTTATATTCACCTAAAAATCTTTGCTTTAATCCTTGTCCTGGGTTTTTATACTATTATGAATTAAACGGTAAGAAAGAATGTGTAGATTAATGCTATTCAAAATCATACTTATGGCTTGGGAAATGCTATGCATGCAATTCCATTTGCAAAGAGTGTTTTGGGCCCAATAATGGTAATTGCCTTGAATGTGAACTTCCGTATTTCTTGAATGAATAGACTTGTGGGAATACCTGCCCTCAGTTTTATGATTTAACAGATCACGTATGCAAAGATGCATGCCCTGTTCATTTAGTAATCTAAGGAATCAATTGTTAAAATACCTGTAATTCTGGATATTTAGTGTATAATTAAGTTTGCGTAAATGCTTGTCCAAATTTTGCATATCAAGTAGGTGATCGCTGTTATGATTGTAATTTATTTTGTAGCACTTGCTTTGGACCAACAGCTAATGAATGTTATTCTTGCATAGATAATTATTTTTTAGATTAAAATAGTTGTAAATCAACATGCCCTTAGTTCTCAGATGTTGATGATAAGTTATGTGTATCTGATTGTAGTGGAAAATATGAACATAAAGATAAAATGTAATGTGTTTCAACTTGTCCCACAGATTACTTGTATTGCTTATCAAAATGCGTTAAAACTTTAGATGATGGCTATTATAAAGATGGTAATCATTGTTAATAATGTGATCCTAAATGTATAAAATGCACATCAGCAACAGTTTGTTAAGCTTGTGCTAATAATTTTTATCTAGAAGTAAATTCTTGTGTGAATTTTTGCTCTAATTAGTATTTGTTCATGGATCCCATCTCAAGATCATGTGTCACTAAATGTCCTTCTATTTTATACCATTTAGAATCATTTGGTAAAAGATTCTGTGTTTCAGAGTGCCCCTATAAACTTTATGATCAATGTGTTTTAGCTTGCCCAAGTGGAATTGTTCCCAAAAAGATACCGTTTGTACTAATTGTCCATAAATTTTGTAATGAATGCGAATCGGCTACAAAATGCTCAGTATGTTAATTATGGTTACTATTCAGAAAATGATCAATGCTAACTAAGTTGCACAACTGGAAAGACTGATAGAAAGAATATTAAATGTGTTGATGAATGTGACCCTACTTTATTTGAATACTAAAATGAGTGTTTAGAAAATTGTCCTACTGATCCAATAGTCTATAAGAATAAATAAATCTGTGCTCTTAGTTGTCCAATATCCACATATTAAGATGCATAGGAGTGTCTAGATTGTGATTCATCATGTACATCATGTATTGGCCCTTCATATTAAGATTGCATCACTTGTTCAAATGGATATTATCTAGATAATCAAATTTGCACTTAAACATGCTCAAATTTATATGATGAAGTTAATAAATAATGTGTACTTACTTGTCCTACTAATCTCTACTTAGATCTTGATAAATGTGTTGCTATTTGTAGTACTTTTGAGTACAATAGCATATGTGTTAATACCTGTCCACCATTAACTTACTTTTTGAATAAAAAATGCCATGATTGTTCAGAAAACTGTTAGGAATGTAATTCTTTTGGATGTACCAAATGTTCTGTTGGCACCTATTTAGATGATGGATTGTGTAATAATTATTGCCCATATTATTACAATGATGTTAATAATGAATGTGCTTAATTATGTCCTAAAGATACATATCTTTATATTGACCATTGTTATTCTCAATGTCCATTGAGTACTTTTTAGTATAAGAAAGATTGTCTTTTAGCTTGTCCATCTTTAACAGTCTTATAGAATACTTAATGTGTATAATGTCCTGAAAGATGTTTGACTTGTAAGACTGAATATGAATGCTCTAAATGTAAAAGTCCATACTTTTTATTTAATGGCTCTTGTGTTGTGCATTGTCCATTATAATTACCATTTGAAGATATTACGAATGGCTAGTGTGTATCTGCTTGTCCACCAGAAGCTTATGAGAGAGGATATGAGTGTATAAAAGAATGTAATTTAATCATATACTAAAAATAATGTCTTTAAGCATGTCCTACTGGATATTATGGTAATGATTATTGTAAGCCATGTCGATTAGAATGTAAAGAATGTTCAACCTTTGAGGTTTGCACTGAATGTAATGATAACTTTTTCCTTGAATACAATTAATGTGATACATAATGTACAAAAATTAAGGATTTAAAATCCAAATCATGTGTTGATACATGTAACTCATTACTATATAAAAATGTTTGTTATCAAACTTGTCCTTAAAAACACTTACGAAAATACGAATGAATGTGTATTAAGTTGTAATGATGGCTATTATGGTTCTTTAGACTATAAATGTCTAAAGTGTCCTTAATAATGTGGAACCTGTACTAGTGTATTATAATGTACTAAATGCAATATTGGATATTTTCTTTATAATAAGTAATGTTTGGACTAATGCCCAGGATCATTTTTTTCTAACCCTATACTTAATGAATGCTCAAATAAATGTCCTTAAACAACATTTATATTTTAAAAATTCATGTCTTTTTGAATGTCCATCTGAATATTTAAATGATATGGAAAATTATAAATGTGTGAAGAATTGTGGATCATAATAATATTTAAGTAAAAAGAACTGTTTAAGTTGTGCAATAGAATGTGATTCATGTACTGGAAGAGGAAATAATAATTGTATCAAATGTGCAAGTGGATTTACATTAACTGAAGATGGAATTTGCTTAGGCAGTTGTAAAGATGGATATTATAAGTCAGATAATTCATGTCAACAATGTTTACATAAATGCTAAACATGTGAAAATGGAACTGATTGTAATAAATGTAGAGGTACTAATCGAAACCATGAAGATTGTTCTTGTTAAAAAGGATATTATGATGATGAATATTAGGATGATTGTAAAAGATGTCCTTGTGATGAATGTACTGCTGCTGATAATTGTCTTATATGTAAAAACAATTTATAAGTTCCAAAATGTTCTTGTGATAGAGTACTCAATCAAGATTGGTGTATAACATGTCAAGTAGCAAAAGTCAATATCTATTACACTGATGACCTAAACGAAATAATTGTTCATTTTGGGTATTTGATTTCCATTGATTTAATCAATCCCTTTTAGCCCTCAAATTGTTCTTTGTGGTTTGATAATTCTGAAATCTTTGGTTAAAATGCTTAATGTTATTTATCTTGGAATAGATATGCAGTTCATATAACCCTTAAGCCATATGCATCTGTTAATATTGGAGACAAGTTGAGTTTTAAAAATTCATTTTATAGAGATGTGGATCAAGGAATTTGTGATGGTTAATTTATAGAACAATTTATTGAAAACAAAGTTAGAGAACCTAAAAGTTTGTATAAACCATACATTCTATTTGATATTCCTTCTTTCGTTAGTACTTGTAAAACAATATATATCAAATAAATTCTATTAGATGGTACTGGATAAAAAATCTAAAATGTTCTATCTTGGACACTCAAAGAAATGAAGGATGAAGAATAGTATTTATAAATGGATGCATTTTTGGATAATAAACTAAATGAAATTACAATTCCAATTAGAACTTTATAACCAAATGTGACATATACAATCACAGCTAAATATGTTAATTTCTTGCAAAGAGTAAATTTCACAACCTTTACATTCACCACTCTTCCAATGCAAGCTCCTTATGTATTTTTATCATATGAACCTCTAATAGCAAGAGTTTATATATTTGATTGTCATGTCTCGTACTCAGATATGAAAAATGAATTTAATGTTGCCATTGAAATAACAGATGGTAAAAACAAAACATATATTTCGTTAACATAATAAATAAATCCAATTTATGAAATTCCACTAAATGAATCTCTACTTCCTAAAGAAACTCCTTTAAGGTTTATTGCATCTACAGGAAGTTCAATTATAATAGAAACGATTAATCTAAAAGCAAAATCAATTGATATTAAATTTTTATAAAAAGATAGATTTATTGGTTTAGATAATCAAATTAATGCAAGAGGGTTTGATAGAAATATATAGGATGAAGTTTTGAGCACAAAAGGAATCAATTATGAATGGCAATGTAATAACTTATTTAATTTATAACCTTGCAAAACAGATGAAAACTAAATTATGCAATTTCCTTCTCGAAGAGTTGTCAACATTTTTGCTGATAGTTAAAATACAACTTTAGTATTCTTTGCAAAAGCATATAAAGGGGATAGATGGACAGTCAAAGAATAGCTAATTGTAATCACAGATTTTAATATTGAAGAAGAATTTTATATCAATAATAAAGATCCATAAAATTATATTAATGCAAATGATGAAGTAACGGTCTTAATAAAAAAATAATAAAAGTATGCCTTTATTATCTAAAAACACAAAATTATATAGTCCCTTAAAATATCAAGTTTGTCATTAAAATTTAGATTGGCTGGTTTAACTACTGATTATATAAATCCTATCTACATCTATTTGGTACCAGGTAATGAATCAATTGGTTTCAAACTGAACGATCCTCCTAAACAAGTTGATTTCCAGATAGAGCCATTGATTGGAGAATCTCTAGAGTATTTTAATTACACTCTTTAAAATCTTTAGTCTGGAAATTAAATAAGTATCTATTATTATTTTGAAAATTCTGTTCTTGAAAATGATGTAAATTCATAATCTATAATAAATGGAATACCATTAATCACAGACTCAAATGAGACTTTTGGAGAATTTTAGTTGCCAAGTGGAATCACTAATAATTCAATTTAAGTTCTATGTGAGATATCATCTTCCTATGGATCTAAATCTTATTTGAAACAAGAAGTTCATGTAATAAGGAAAAATTATGAATTGCAATAATTATACCAATCGTTCACTAATAAAACAAATTTAGAAAATTTATAAAGTCTTCATACAATGATTGCACTAATCTAGTTAGAAGAACAGTAAGTATGCTTGAAATAATGCTCAGGGGTTGGGACATGTGTAAATAAGAAATGTTAATGTCCTCCTGGTTATTACTTTGCTGATTGTAGTGGAAATTAGGAATAATAAATAAAATTCAATGATTTTATGACCAATACAATTTAATCTTTGGTAAAAATACCAATAAAATATAATGATGATATGAAATTGTTTAGTCAATCTCTCTAATTTTTAACATAATTTAGCTCTAATAATACATTAAGTTTAGAAGATTGCTCCATTGTTTTACAATAATATATAAAGAATACAAATTCTAGATTAGAATAGATAAATTAATATTCAATAAATTTGTAATATTAAGCAACCGATGATTTTAACTACTCTTAAATAGATATTCGCTCATTAGTAAATAAAAACGATTTACACACAGCTCTTAAAAGCACTGTTTTTATGTGGGAAAAGACTTTATTTACTTCAGGATCAAATGTTTATTAATTATAAAATCATCTCAACAATTTGATAAATAACATCATTGAATTATCTATCTTCTCTTTAAGCCCTAATGATAAAATAGACTATTCAATAGATACTGCAATAATAACTATTTAAAAATCTTAAAGCCTCCCATATAACTCGAGTAGAGTGTTAGAAGAAATCAATAGTTAGAAATCAGCAAGTTATGATATCGTTTATGCACTTTACATTAGAAACTTTTATGCTTTTGATGGTTACTTCCCATACCCATAACAAATTTATCCATTATATGATTATTAAATCAGATAGTCAAGTCGAAAAGAAAATATAGAGTTAGATTAGCCAATCTCATATCGATTCGGAATTCACAATGATACTACTAATTTAGTTTGTTTATAAAGAAATGCTAAGACCTATGAATGGTTTGATTAAAATTGTACCATCTCTGAAATAAATTCAACTTACTATTGTAATTGTACAACTCTCTCTCCTACAACAATTTGTAATGACTATGATTTTCTTTATCGAGGTTCTTCAGGATTCAGGATAAATCTTCCAAACATTTTTTATATCATTTATATTGCTTAATTAATAACTTTAGGAATATTTGTGAGCAAATCAAAAACATAAAATACTGAATAATAATCAGAAAAGACAAAATTTGGCCATGTTATGAAATTAACTAGAAAAAGTAAGGTGAATATTGTTGGCAACAAAGTTTAACAGGTTGAGCAAGAGAAGTAACCTGGATAATTAATAATATAGCCATAATTAAACAAGTAAGATTAGAAAAATGATAAATTTCATTTTAATCATTTTTGGGTACTTAATTTATACTTATACTTAGAAATACCATTGTTTAACATAGTTGATATATAAATAGTTAACTTACATTAGTCCATTTATGAGATCACTTATAATACTATTAAGATGGAACTCTGCAGTGATTATTGGAGAAATATTAGGTTTTTTCGAATTTGATTTCTAAGTATCTATCTGGATTATATTTGCATCAATAATTCTAATGAGAATTAGTGAAAATTTCCTAAAAGTAAATATTATTGTAATTTTAGAAATAAGTAAAGTATTTTTTTGTCATGAAACAAATTATTCCGATGATATTAATCAAAGGTTTTATAGTATTGCTCTTGATGTTCACAATATTATTTGGAATATCTCTTTATTTAATGATAGCTAACTAAACAAATTTGGTATTTAATCTTTTATATTTAGATACTTTCTTATTTTATTGCAATATTAATTGATATCCTTCTACTTGATATCATTATCTTTAGCTCTCAAAGATTTTTAGGGGAAAATAAGAAGAAGAACATAAGAAGAACAATCAAAGAACTGAAATAAATTGCAAAAATTCAAAAGCAATTCAATTGATTTTATTATCAAAATCAAAATTATGATTTATTTAAGTAGTATGTAGTTTAAATCTTTATGTCTATTATATATTTATGATATAACTATTAATCTATAGCTATCAATTCTATTTTTATGTTATCAAAAATACAAGATTAACTTTGCAATAAATTCTTTAAGAATAATTTAGTCTTTTTAATATTATAAGTTAAAAGATATTACTTCACATAGTTTATTTGATTGCTTTTCATGATTTTATTTTATTATCATAAAGTCCAGTCTTTATTTTTTGTAATTTCTATATATATAATTAGAAAAGAACTATTTAGTTACTAAATCATAGAATATTTATTTTCTAGCCTTTTACTAAAACTTTAAATTTGAAATTAAATCTTTCTAAATAAACAAAATCTATAATTCTTCACATAAATCTTTTTTTATAGAAATTAATTTTATACGATATTAATTTTGATTATTACTTTTACTATAGTTTGCGTATGATTTGCATTAAGAACCTTAAGACTCCAAAATTAAACAAACCAAAATAAATCAGAGTAAAAATAAGAGATTATTTAAAAGTAAAGTAAAGATTATATTTAACATCACTTCTATTCAAATGATTAAGTAGAAGATTTATCAAAGATAATCTTTAAGTAAGACCAGCAAAAATGAGACATCGAAGAAGAATATCACTTTTATAATGTGGAATAATCGTATTTAATCTTGCATATTAAGTTTATAATTAAAAAGTAGAGTAATTAGCAGCTAGATATATGTAATAGATATGGAAGCAATTGAAAATTATTTTTTTTTAATCAAAATCTTCTTTTTAATAAATTAATCTATTATCTAAATCTTGATTAAAAAAAAACATGGATTTCTAAAAATTAAAATATATGCTATTTAAATAACAAATTTTACTAAATATCAATACTCATGGTTGATTTAATCTTGATTTTCTTTCTCTTCTTTCAGGAATTCCATTTTTTCTTGGAATCTCATCATCTTTCTATCCAAAATAATATATTTTCTCTTCATCTTACTGGTTTTGTTCCTATTAAAAGTAAGAATTGCTATGATGCAAAAGTTGCTAAGATTATTATTTTTTATGTTAAAAGTCTCTTTTTTATAAATTTCTTTAATTTATTGTTCTCGCGGTTTCATTCTAAAATCCTTTATTATCTTATCTATAATTGTAATAATCTTTATTTATATTATAATTCTTATTTTGATAATTAGAATGATTTGAATTTCCATTATAATTTTTATTTTTTTAATCATGAGCGGATTATTGTCTCTTAAACTTATCTGACTCTGTATAATAGTCAATTTAATTGCGTTCATTTCTTTTATCGTAATAATTGGTCTTTTGATTTTGATAATTTTATTATTAGAATGATTATTCAATAAATGGATTTTTAATTAGATTATGGTATTTTTAATTCTAAAACTATTAAACCCGTCTTTGATTATCTTCGTTAGACCTATTCAACATTCTTTTAGTATTGTGATCATTATTATTAAAATTATTTAAATTTGTTTCTTAATACCTATTGTAATTAGATTTAGTTGATTAATTTAAACGAATTCTAGGATCAGAATTATTAAAATTTCCATTAGAGTAATGCTAATGATAATTTTATCTCCCGTTCGATCCAACATTTAAATAATTTTCATTATAGCCATGATTGTCTTTTGGTTTTTTATTATAAAACTTACCTTCATTTTTATTTTCTTAATAATTTGATCTTCTAAAATTTTCACTTTAAACTCTTTATCTACTTGTATATTATTCCTCTTAATTACCAGTTTAGTAATTTCTTTTTTTAATGTAAATTTGATGTAATTACATATTATTTTCTTAAACAAACCTTTGAAAAACTTGCTAGTGTTCTTTCAAAGTTGCTGAAGGTTAATTAAATTTATTAGTTTAATAGTAATCATCCTATTTCTAATATGTTTAAGGGTTTTTTAAATCTTACTAAGAACTTTTTTAGTATGACTTTTAGTCCTTCGGCTATTTGATTCTTTCACTCTACATTCCTTGCTAAGGAATGGTTTCAGGGTAATAAATATTTCTGCCAGTTTCCATAATTCTTTTATTCATGCCATACCTGGTGTATTCCCCCTAATTTACAAATACCCATCCAGCAGGGTGTCCATCTCTTTAATAATAGCAACCATTAAAATCTGCCCACCCTTCAGCTTTATCTAAAATATAGATTTCATTTGGATTTTACAAGTAAAACCCGTTCTTAACTTCGCTGTAATATTAAAATTTTAAAGGATTGTGTTCAGGAAATATTGGAATAAAATCCGATTATTTATTCATTAAAATTAATAGAATAGGTTTGTAATAACATTTTTAGAAACTAGGATACCAATATACATTCTAAATTTAATGCATCAATTAATATTAAAGATGGCATTCCTTAATCTATAAAGATGATACCATAACATGATTTTTTGATAAATTTATAATATAAAATCCAACCAAATAATCAAATCAATAAATGAGCTTTGAGCAGTTAACATATGCAAAATATATGAATCTTTAAATCGGGTAAATGACTAAAAAGGTCTATACATAAGTCTTTGAATAAGTAATCAATAAAATACAAAATAAATAATTATAATCTACTACTATATTGGATGAATTCAAGAATATACATAAGGATTGTCTAATCTGAAAAAAGGGATATAAATTTGGAATGAAATACATTTTTAATTAAAAGCAGACAGATTAAAATAAAAATAATAGATCAATAAGCAGACTTAATTAATTTAAAATAAATAAAATAACAGTTAAAGATAAGGTGTGAATTTCCATCAATTTAGAGTACCTCTTTCAAAAAAAACGAGATTAAGTTTTTTCAACTTGAATATTTTATCTTAAAAATGATAATATTATAAAGCATCAAATAAATAGGACTTAATAATCCATTTATTTTATTTTAAATTTGATTTTTTTTTGGTGATTTATTGTTCTATTGTAAATAAACTATTAATAATATACTTCTATAATGAAAATCTCTATAAATAAAGTTAGAAACATTATTTGAAGATTAATTTACTTATATTTATACTAAAATACGTAAATTTGTGAAGAGTTAAGAAATATTTATATTTATAATTAATCATCATTATCTAATTCTAAGATTTGACGTTAAAATACTTTGATTTGGATCTTGATTTTGAATTTATTTGGTTTATCTACCTCTTAGTTAAGCAAGCGATATTGCTTGTGTTAAACATTTTTGACTCTCTTAGTATGTAACTTCTTATCCTTAGTAATTCTCTTCAGAATATATTGTCACTTAGTATCCTTCAGGTAAATAGATGGATTTGATATCATATTAAAAATCCCTAAAATTTGGCTTAATTTTACTCAACTTCCTTCAAAGATTCACAAATTGGTAAGCTTTCTCCTTAGAAATCACATTTTGAATAAATCACAATACAATCTTCTTATTTCTCTTAAACGCTTATATTTGCTTAATTGCCATCCTATTCTGCTGTATCTAAAGCTCTAAATTTATGAAATTATTTACAAGTAAGTTCTCATACCATCATAAGAATCAATTTGATTTCCTAATGAATCATAAACTTAGTTTTCATTTCGAATAGGCCTTTAATTTAATAATGAAATACGTACAATTCTAAACTAGCTGATAAATAATGATTATCATTATCTTAATCTTTTGATTCTTCCTAAACTTATGTATCTTCAGGGAATTCATAAGGGAGAGAATTTTCCATATCCAACATTGGATCAATTTCTGCATCTGTTGAAACTAATTATTAAGCCCCTTCTTATGTAGAGACTTACAAATTGTTGGAATCATCACTAACATTGAGTTAGCTATTAGAATTTTGATCTTAATTATTTTAGACAAGTGGCTCAGATTTAAAATTTTAGGTGTTATCAGCTTAATTTGATACAAAATGACCGTCAATATCAATATAGCCTTATAATTGTTAATGTTATTCAATTTATTGAGATTCTTCTTTTTTAGTTTCATAAACTAATGTAGGAATTGGATTTTCTTAAATTTCATTTAATGCTTAATTTTAAGAGAATGCTAAGCCAATGAACAGGGCTATTAGAACTATTTTCATTAAAAATAAAATATATATATAATAAAGATAAAACGGATATCATTTACTTAATTTAATTATCTCTTCTTCGATATCATTAAAGCATTCTTAAATCTATTATTTCATTGATCTTAATCGTAACAATTTGTCACCATCTACATTATTTTGTAATTAATTTTGCATTTTATTTCTTAAAGTTTATATTATATCCAAATCTTAATTCAATTTTTACATGGATCTTTAACTATTTTGATAACTCAAATCTTGGACACTGCTGGTCAACTTGTCTTTTGCAGTTTAAATTCTTTTCAAGAATCTGTAAACATATTTTCTTAATATATTACTTTTGCATTTCTTGAATTTCATGTTATATATTAGATATCTCATCTGTAACATATTCCTGATAGTACTGATTGAATGTTTTGTTTTCATTTTGACAACTATTTTAAAATTCTTCTTTTTAAATTTATTTAATTCTTTTATCTATTTGACATAATGATGCTTTTAACGAAATTTCTTAATAATCTTCAAAATTTTGTGTGCTGTATTGGTGATTTTGATAAATCATTTCATCCTTATTATAAATTCCATGCTGTTGCTTTTATTTAATGGATTCATAAAAATCTTTATTGGAATAAAACTACTATTAAGACAGTGATTAATCTGTTAAGGATAATTTAAATATGTCATCAACGGTATCAGAATCTTGTTTACCAGAAAATTCCTATAAGAAAGGTTTTTTGATGGATCGCTAGTTCTATATCTGATGAGTATCGTAATAGTTATTTTTACTAATAAACACTCTGTAATCTTAATCATCAGAATAATTGCCATGTTAGATGAGACTAGATTATCTTTTATCTTCATATATTGATTCAGCAGTCTGGCAATCTGGATTAATCTTAGAAGAAGAAACAGATTTCAAAGTTTACACTTTTTGATTATTCATCATCATATCTAACTTTTATCGAATTTTAAATGAATTATACTTTTATTTACTCAATAGTATTTAAATGTTTCCTCAGTTCCAATTTTCCACATCTACATCTATTTAACCAGTCTTGAATTTCTCTATTTGTTTTCATTTTTTTAACGTAACAATTATTTAATAATTATATATATTATTTTATTATCCATACGTAAATAAGATTAATTTTGATATAACTAAAGGATGCTGATAAGTAATCAAGATTGATCAAGTTGGTATTGCAGTATTCCGTTGCCCTTATTAATAATTTATTCTCATAAATTTATATTAATTTGTTATATATTTATTCATCATTAATTCTTGATTATCCAAACTAATTCTTAAATTTTTGCTAATTTATGAACGATTATTTTATTACAGTTAACCCTTAAAATTTCAATTTTCAACAATTCTGTTATATGGAAAATAAACAAATACGAGGAAAGGATCTTGGAGAGATATAGATAAATACATATTTGATTGACTTCTAACAAATTCATCACTCAAAATTCATATATTATAAATCCGTTTTTATTAATATGTAAAAATTATATATTTTAGCACTCTTAGTGGTAATCGGAACAGCTCAAGAGAGTTTTCTTGAAAAACAAAAGCATGTCAAATAATAGAAGGATTTATCAACTGAAATATATACTATTAAAAAATAAGGATTACCAACATTTTTGGGAAGAAGCTCAGATGAATCAATCAAAGAGTAATTGTCATCACTTTTGAATTACGAAGAAGCATTATTATTAACACCATCTGAAGAGACCGATCATACAATTAAATTCATTGAATCTATGTATATTATTGATCAACCAAATCCTAATGCAGTAAGAGCAACAGAAAAACCTAATTATTCATTTGATGAACCAAAACCATAAAAAAAGGTTTACAACAATGATAAAGTAACATCATTTAAAGAGGGTTGTATTTATGTTTTTAGCGAATGCAATTTTAAGGGAGAACATGCTAAATCATGCCCAGGAGATAATGTTACATTTTTTGGATTACCATTTGAAGTTTTATCCATTCATGTACCAGATGGAGGATCATTGAGTCTTATTTAAGAAAATGGAACCACTGCCTACACTGTTTCCAATAAATGCATGAGAAGCAGACCAATTGAATTCCTATTTGTTGAAGGAGCAATCTAATAATCATTTGGAAATGGCGAAATATTCATTGACTAATGAAAATCAATATATTCATAAGAAATATGATTTTATTCTTGAAAAACACTTTATTCTTTTTCTATTAATTACTTCTTGTCTGATTTGTAAAAATTTCTAAGAATAAATTTTTTAACTATTCTTTAAGTTGTTAACAAAGATTCATTCAAAAATGAACCTATTCTTCAATTAATATTAGTGTCTAAGTTCTTGATTGAGAAACAATTCCTAACTCATTTATGTCTCTATTTGAAAATTTAGTTTGCATAGCTTTGATTTTTTCGACAAACAAATTTATGTCAAATCTAATTACAAAAAATCCTTGGAGAAACAAAAACATACTTCTACCAATAGAATTTATGTCAAAAGAAGATAGAATCGGCAAATAAGACCGATTAAATTATAAAGAAATGAAATTTTATTAATATTCTATTATACTTCATAAGAAGTATCAAAATGTGTTCTATCTAAATACTTCATAAGAAGTATGGCAAAACACTCTTGGGATTAACGCTCTTGGCACTTTCAGGGACTTCTTTGAATGTCTTCCAAGTTTAATTCAAGTTTTCATCCAAACACAATATTGAGGCTATGTTGCCACATCTGTAACAATAATTTGGTGCTGACCACACTGTTACTAAGTTTTAGTCCTAAGAATATATAATATATCATACTGGGAACCAATACTTATATCCTTCCATTACTAATTAATGTGCTCTACATATCAAAGTGAGATCATTAAGTCGGCAAAACTCCTTTGTCACTTTGGCTCCGAAGAGATAACCAGCTCCTCTGGAATTAACTGCCCAATATTCTACTTCTTCAGGATCAGACCACATCAGATCACAAAAGGGTCCCTCATGAGGTATTTCAATCTAAAATGGGAGAAATTATAATAATTTAAAAATACTTTTCTATCGATTGTTCTTATCTAATCAATTGTTCTCATGTCTGGGGATAAACCACCGTGGACACATAATATCTATCCCTCTATTAGAGCACCTAATGGCAGGCAGTCAAAGACCTCCATAAATAATCTCCATGGACTGCTGTTTCCATATTTACGTAGTAACTCTTCATAAAACCCGTAAACTTGAGTGCATTAACGGGATTCATGATTTCCTCTGAGTAACATAATGTTCCCAGGGTATTTTACTGAAAATAATAAAAAAGATTACCTTTTAAACATAATAGGTATTCCATTGTTTCAACTGAATTATAGCCTCTATCAACAAAATCCCCAATAAAGATATAGTTTGATGAAGGAATGTCTCCTCCTTCTTTCATTAAAGCTTGCAAATCGTAGAATTGTCCTATATATTTAAAACATTCCTTACCATGTATATCCCCACAAACATTAACTGGAGCCCGAACAGGTTAAACGTTTGATTCTTCAAGAAAGATTTCCTTTGCTCGGTCACAAATCAATTTAAGATCTCTTTCTGGTAAACAACCTCCACTTAAAAGTGTTGCAATATGCCTATCAATATCCATATTTTTCCAAAATTTATAATTAAAATAATCCTTCGCATACTTGTTCTTAATTAGTTAAATAATTAAAATTAAAGATTAGAATCCTATCAAATCTTATATAATTTTTTATAAACAAATTTTTGCTTTTCTCTCAAATATTATTAACTTTATAAATAATATTTTCATTTTTCCTCACTTTTATATTTATTTGCTTGATCTCTATCAAAAACTTAAAGGTAAGACATTACGCTTATTACACAATTAATGATAAATTATATTTTCAATCTTTTGTAATTATTAATTTATATTTATTTCTTTAAAAAAATGGAAGAGAATAGGGATCTTAAAATATTAGTAGTAGGAAATTCTAGTGTTGGTAAAACAAGCTTGATTGTCAAATATAAAACTAATCAATTCTCCCCATAAACCAGTGGAACAATGGGAGTAGATATGTCGATTGATAAGAATGTGAAAATTAATAATAACCTATATGATGTTGCTATTTGGGACACAGCTGGTCAAGAGAGATTCTAATCAATAGTGAAAATTTCATCCCAAGTATTTTTAGTTCATTTATTTGTAGAATGCACATGCTTCTCTAATATGCTTTGATTTGAGTGACCCTTTGTCATTAGATAGCGTTGCATCCTGGATTTAATTCTTGAAATCTGAAGGACCTTAAAATCTGCAGATTATAATTGTGGGTACTAAAAAAGATCTGCAGGGATAATATACATAAGATTAATTAAAATCAATTTCTACAGCTTGGAAAGCAAATTTTCAAGACGAATTTCCCATTCATTTAACCTCCTCAAAAACAGGAGAAGGAATCTAAGATGCTTTTAGATAGGCTTTTGAATTGGGAGCCAAAGCTAAGTATGATTTAAATGCCTAATAATAATAATAATAAAGCAATAATAAGAGTTTTAAAATAAGTACCTCTTAGTTAGTAAGAAGTTAACAGCCTTCAAATCAAAAAACAGAAGCAATAATTTCTAATACAACCACTCTCAGAGAAAGCTAAATGAATTTTAATGACAATAAAACTACTCAGCAAGGTTGCTGCTGAATTTATTTATATTATAATTAATAATGAGAAACACTCAAATTAGTTCTAGTGGGGTAGTTAGGAGCAGGGAAAACTAGTCTCTTATAGTCTCATAGATAATAAGAGTTCCGAGCTCATAATGCGCCGACAGTGGCTGTAGACTTTGCTGGAGTTAAAAATGTACAAGTTAATGGGAGGCTTTATGATATTTCCATCTGGGACACAGCGGGTTAAGAGAAATTTAGATCAATAACGAGGATGTCATTATAAGTAAGAAAGTGACAAAAATAATAGAATGCTGATGTTGCAATTCTTTGTTTTGATTTGAGTGACCCTGATTCATATAGACATATATAAGGATGGATAGACTTTTTACAGGTGAATTGCGTTTCTGAAATGGGAATTATAATTGTGGGAACAAAAATGGATTTACCAACTTTTTATAATCAGGAAGATCTTTAAAAATTTCTCTAAACTTTAAATTCATAATAATAGTAGTTAAAATTATTTCTTACTTCTGCCAAGACTCGAGAGGGGATTGAAGAAACCTTCTAATACGCTTATGAATAGGGGGCTAAAATCAAAATGAAGGCCTCACAAATGGAGAAATCAATTTTACTTGTTCCTCCTTAATCAACTAAGAAACACAAATCCTCTAATAGAAAATATTTTGAGGGTTGTTATTGTTGTTGATGTTGGGGGCAGTGATTCAATATATTTATTAGCGAATAGGAAATTGGTTCAGATTTGATATTTCCTTTTATATAAAAAAACACATTCCGTTTCTTCTGGGTTCTCATATAATTATAATGATTTAAGTCGTATTTTGTATTTATTAATTATTTTAAATGACTGATCGAAAAGCTTGGAATTAAAAAGTAACAGCAAATAAAATTAAATCTCTAGGAGGATGCAGCTATATTACAACTAGTAAAACAGTACGGAATCAAGAAGTGGACGATAGTGGCCGAGAAGATGAAAGAAATCTATGGTTTATTTGGCCGTTCCGGAAAATAATGTAGAGAACGCTACCACAATCACCTTGACCCTACTATCAACAAAGACCCATGGAGTGAAAATGAAGAGAGGGTCATCTTCATAGCCCACAAGGAGCACGGTAACAAATGGGTACAATATTTAAAATATTTGTAGGCTGAAATTGCGAAACTGTTACCAGGAAGAACTGATAATGCAATTAAAAATCATTTTTATTCAACCTTGAGAAGAAGCCTAAGAAGAATCAATAAATTAATCGGAGATAAGAACAGTAAATCATATAAAACTATATATAGTAAAGAAAAGGGTACTCAACAGATAAAAGATATAAAACCTGGAGTATTATCAAAGATTTTCATCCTGGCAGAGAAGAGTCCATCGGAATTGAAGGACGACCATATGAAAAAGCTTTGTTAAGCTTGCAAAGGACTACAAGACTCTATCTTAGAATTTGCTTAATCTAAACAAAAATCTTAAATCAACTAATTTAACGAGGATAAGTTCAAATAATTGATTGATAAAATTATGGACTTCAAGTATATTATTTATTTATATGGTAGTGCTCTTTACACCAAACAAAGAGAAAGTAGATTGAAATTAAAAAAGAAGAATCACAAAAAGAGAAAGAGTAGAATCGATGATGATGATGACGACGATGACTATACAAGTGATTATAAATACGAAGAGATAAGTCATAAGTTCCCTTTAAAGAGATCTTCAAGACTAAATGCTAAGAAGAAAGTGGTATCAATTACATATTATCTAAAAGCATATCGACAAGGAAGATTATATTGATATTTGCATAAGAACCAAAAAAGGACCACTGTATACTATATTAAGAGATGAATTAGAAGTCTAACAAGTTGATTAAGAAGTATAAGAATAAAATTAAATAAAATTAGGAACAATCTTCCGATTATCAATAGTAATATGCTTATGAATACCAGGGTACCAATAGCCCAAATAATCATTAATTTGCTCCAGCTTTTCATGTTTAGACTCCTAGACAAATTTTATTTTAAAGACCTACAAACCAATATTAGGATGACGGCATTCATGGCGAAGAAGCTGCAATAAGTAAATCTAATTTTGTCCCTATTGTGATAACTAAACAGTATACTTAGTACAAGGACAAGACCCTTGAAAACTTAGCCTAATAACTATAATAAAAAATAAGTAAGGATATCAAGTATGATTTTAGATGCAAATGCTGAAAAATACATTCATAATCATCAATAGGATTCGGATTTAGAAATCAATATTGGAGATGCTTTCGAAATTCCTAAGGACTATAAATCACCATCAAGCAAATTCGGTATCGGTGGTTACAGTCCAAGTGCATTTAGAAAGTATAGAAAAAATTAAGAGTCAGGGTTAGTTAACTTCATGATAACACCTCGTCATTATAAATGAAATAAATTACCATATTTTCAAAACATTATTTATTTCTGTTTTTATAGAGTAATATACGAGAATGGAGGATTAGGACCAAATGTTGTTAAAGAGTTTGCAACTTTAAGGTATTTAGATATCAACGCAATCTCTCCCTCAAGTAAGACTTACTTTTATGGATAGCTAACATGTGAAGACTTGATAAATATTTTCTTATAATTTTTTCAATTGAGTGGAACTTAGGCTTTTGAAATCAGCTCAATAAAATCAATCAAGAGTTCATTTAGAAAGGCAGGGAAGATTCAAGAGATGCTCTTTCCAATTGGTATTAGAATTGACATTCAATCCATTGTGAATCCTAATCCTTAAGAATCAAGAAAGATTATTGTAAGTTTGCTTGCCAAATTGAGTTAATCGAATAAAAAAGAAACTGGGGCTAAGCATCTCACATTCGAAGAGAGATTATAAGAGGAGAAGGCTACTTTTAGGACCAATTAAATATAGAATTTCTTTCAAGAATGGGTTAACCCCTCCTTATGTTCTTTTCCAGAAATTGAGTAACGATTCCTAAGATTGCATGTGCTCAATATTTTAAAGAAAGAGCCATTAATTAAGCAAGTAGCCAATAAAGGAGTAAGAAAACATTTATATCACTCAATTGTTAGAGTTATGGATCATCACTTATAAAAGAAGGATTTGGATTAGCCCCTCTAAGAGAGATTATAATTAATTAAGAAAATTAGGAGATCTGATGACCCTGACAGTGTTCTAGGGCAATTTAAAGGGTAATTCCAAGCTGAAGCTGAAAAGAATGATTGGGAAGATATCTAGAAAGGAAATAGATAATTGAAGAGAGCAATCAAATTATTAAAAGAAGAAGATAAGGAAGAGGAGCAAGCAAGAAAATAAAAGGAAGATGAAAATCAAGGTTTGTTCAATCTAGAAATACAATTTTAAGAAGAGGTAAAAGAAATCTAATAAGAAATTTAAGACACTTAAGAAGCAAAATCGGAGATTAGCGCTTTGCTTGAAGATATTTAGACTAAATTGATAGAACAATAAAAGATATATGACAAGTTATAAAAAAGGAGATAAAAATTGGAAGATGTAAATTAGAAATCTTAAGATACTTATTCACAATTACAATCTGAAAATAAGGATAAGTAATAAGAATTAGAAAGTGCACATTCTATTCTATAATAAATTGAGTCAAAGAAAGGGAATGATCCAGAAATTCAATAACTTGAATAAGAAATTGAAAACATCAGGATCGAATGGGAAAAAGAAAAAGTCTTATAGTAAAATGAAGCTGATGATTTGGCTCAATAAGTTTAAGATAGAAAATTAAAATTGGAATAGATCTAAGATAAAATGAGGAGATTGTAAGAGGAGAACCAAATGATCAGAAATCAGGGAAGAGTCAATTTAGAATACAAAGAGAAATTATTAGTTGATCTTTAAAATTAGCCCAAAGAAATTGCAAGAAATCAATACATTAAAAAAATTGTGGATTTGAAGAGTCAATTGGAAAAACAAAAAGCAGAATATCTAAAATAAGCCAAAGAATTATCTTAATTAGAAGATTCATTATAATTTTAAGACAATATGATCAATAGGTATTGCATTGAGATTGAGAATCTCATTAATCAGGATCCTAAGAAATCAGAGACAGTGGTTAAATAAATTTAAAAATAATATTCAGATTATAAAATTGTTTATAAGCAATGTGCTGAATCTATGCGTAATATTGGAGAAAAGAGAATTCAAATATATGATACAGAATTAAAAATGGAGGATATTTTACTTAAGGGATACAAAAAGAATGTAGAAAAACTAAGATAAGATTTAACAGATATTTAAGCGGAAAATAAAAATCTAGAAAAACAGAGAAGATGATTATTTATTAATGAATTTTAGAGCATTATTAATTTTAATATTAAATGACTGAAAAATATTGGCAAAGATATAAAGAAACTCATGATAAGGATCCTCTAAATACAAACGAATTATGGGTTAGAGTCAAGTAGGATTTAAAAAGAAGAGAAAAGCCAAAGCATCATCTTGAATTGTATTCCTATTGCAGAACCGAGAATCCTTATATAAAATAAATTAAGAGCTCTCCAAATATCACAATGGAGACAGTGGCAGAATTAATTTGCAGATAATCAGCATGTGAATTGTAGTATTGTATGAGTCTCCAAAAATTGGCAGTGGAAAATAGCAGATCTAAAATAGAGTAACAGTAAAATGCAATCAAATAGTTTATAGGGATGTCGAGATCAATACAAAACTATGACCACTTGCATTATGAATGAGAAGACTAGAATAAAATAAAAGGAAGAAGAATTAAGAAATCTTGTATTAGGTTTAGAATAACCAGAAATTAAATAAGAGCCTTAAAAATAACATCTTCTTAAGGAAGAACCTGTTATGTGATTATTAATTGTTAAATTTATTTAATACAATCAATTATTTTAGGAAATAATTTGGACAATCTTTAGATAATTAAAGAGGTCATTATCTTACTAAAAAGATCATTGAAAATCAGAAAATAAAGAAAGTTTCCATAATCAAATCTAAAATAACAAGATAAACACTTCCATTTTAGATAATTAGCACAGCTATAAATAAAAGTTGTTAATCCGCAATTAAATTTTAATAAACATACTCAAAATTCTTAATACGGACTATATAGAGTAATCATATAAAATTAAATGATTGAATACATTAATATAATTTGTTCATATAATTTTTTCATTTTAAATTTGTTTTCTTTCCTTCTCTTTTTCCATTAGTTCTTACTTATCTTAAATAATTCTTCTCATTGGACCTTCTACAAAGTCTTATAATTATTATATCGACATCTTAATATACAAATAGTAAATACTTTATCCAAAGTTGAATGTTCATTTATATAACTTTCAAAACCTTTAAAGTATAATTCGAAACCATCGTTTGAGAGAGTATCTCTTAATACTTAGCAGGATTACTGATTATTCAGACTGCCTACGTTGTTAGTATCTCTTTTAAGAAAATACCTCTTGACAATAGATTTGCAAATGTCTACTCCCTAAGCCAATGATAAGAAATTAAACCATTCCTAATATGATTGCTTACTAAATTACTTATAGAGAAATGCTTCCACTCTTATCTTTATCTAATTAGGCAAACCTTTTTTTGGCATCTTTAATTATGATCCCTTCAAATCCATAAATTAAGTAAGGCAATTCTCTCACAGATATAGTACCATCATCATTGATATCAGTTGCCTTGAATGCTGACCAAGCATAATTGATTTCATCCTTGACTCTATCAGAAACTAGTTTCTTTCTTTGTAATAGTTGACTGTAGCTTTCTTCAGCTTAGTTAATGTAGTCTTAAATCCATTTCTCTTGATCCCGTTTGAACAAGGCTTTAGAATCGAAAATCTCTCGAGTTCTTCTCTTAGCATTTTAATAGGTTTGAGTTAAGGCATATTTTAATAAAAAATCCTAAAGTTGATAGTTGTTATCCAACCAATAATATAGTTCTTCATATGAGATGGTACGATCTAGATTTTTGTCTATTTCAATAAAAATGGCATCAACATAATATTCAATATCAGTAAATCCAGGAGGTTTCATCTTGACAATTTTGCACAATGCTCTGATGGCTGTTTAGAAAATCATGATAAGTTCGATCTTTTCAAGCTTTTGAGATTTGTCCAAATCGAATACTTAACTTATGTATTTGACCTTAGTAGCAAAATCGGTATCAGAAAAAATGATCTAATTCTAAAAGTATCACTTACTAAAACTGCTTGACTCTCATAGATATCTGTTTAGCCATCTGTACTATGATTATTCTCGAGAGTCTCAAACATTTCACCACAATGTTATTTAAGTATGTCATGATAGACATCAAAGAATTCACCCAAGGATAACAAATTAGTTGCTGGGTAATTTTATTGTACATATTTGGAAACCTTTTGAATTTCAGGTAAGTTTAGTTATCTTAAAAATTGTAATAATCCCTAATTTGGATTTGCTTGTTGGTTGAAGTAATTACCCATTTATTTATTAATTAATTCAGTCTACGATTATGGGAAAACCTAATAATACTATCAATTGTTTAATCGATAAAATAATATTATACTCATTTCACTATCATCTTGAATTAAAAACATCTATTTTCTATTAGGTGAACATCTATATATTATTAATTAATTATTATGCAGTTACTGAATTTAGATCAACTAGTTTATCCAATTATGATGTAAATTAGAGCACTTAGGGAAGTTAAATAATAGGATTTAATGATATAGTCGATCCTTGTAAGTATTCAATTAAGGTAGGAATGTCAAAACAAAGTGGAATGCTTGGTTTTGTGTTTAATGAAATTTGCATTAGATTACGTTATAGATGGCCCAAATAAAGTTTAAATATAGTATCATTACGAGAGAAGCATAATTAAATAAGAACTCAATTGTAAATTACAGCGTTTGCAAGAATTTCTTAGTAAATATGAATTTTCAAAGCTCAAAAGATAAATCGATGAAGAAATTTAAAACCCAGAAGGATTTAGTGAGACTTCTAGTGATAATGAATAAGAAAGTTTCTAAATTAAATTGGTATAACGTCTATTAATAAGACAGGTCATCTTAAAGAATTTAGCCCTGAAATTCAAAAATTGAATGCTATTATCCAGGATTTGAAGTCGTAATTATAATCATATGAAGCCAAAGAAATGAGGAGAAGAAATTCTATTGATTAATTAACTACTGCGCATTTTAAAGAAGTTTAAGCATTGAAATAATAGATTAGAATTTAAAGTTAAGAGGAAGAACTTAACGAATATATAGAAGTCATATATTTTGATAGAACTTCCACTTTAGAACCAGAGATCTGTGAAATGATGAATGAAAAAATTAGGAATATTAAATAACAATATGAAAGATATGTCTAATAGTTTATGTAGAGAAAAAAATCATAAATAATTGAACCTATCTAAGCAAAACAAAAAGATGAATCGAATAGATCCGTTGAAAATTTAACAGAAAAAGAATTGACTAAACTACTTTTGAATAAACAATCGAATCCCTATATAATTTGGAAGTTGATTGAAGAATAAAGATCTTGTAGATTTTTACTTTGTGTTTTAACCAATCAAGAAAAGCAATATGGGATTTCTTACAAGGAGATAAATGAGATATTAAGATGCAATAAACAGGACCTAAGAAAACTGCAAGAAATAAAAAATTAGATGTAGGAGTCGGAAATCTTATTGTCTGCTCAATTTGCAATTTAAATATAATCGTATAAAAGATAAGTGGTAAATCTTACTTCCTAAATCTAAGAGTAATCTGCCTATTATTCACAATAGATAAAAATTTAATCAGATAAAAATCTAAATGAGAACTCATTGTAATTACAGTTACAAATAGATTTTTTCAATAAAAAGATATAATAGTTACTAAACGATAACACCAATTGCAAATTAGAAATAGATAAATTATAGATTACAATTAAATCACAATAGCAATAAATATAATTTATGCATGACAATACTAAGTTGTTATATACAATTATTGATTCAAAAGCACAACTTTATTCTTAGTTAGATAAATTTGATTGGTCTAAAGATTAATTCAAGATAATTTCAACAATCCAACAATAAATAGCAAATATAGACCCATTTTTATGTGTACTATTTTAATCCCAGTAGTCACTTCTACTTTTTCAACATCAAGCTTATAAAATAGCATCAAATGTAGATATAACTCCCCTCTCAAAATGTACTCAAACAGAGGAAAAAGATTAAATGTAATGCATAATATTAAATTAACCCACTTCAGATCGAGAAAATAAATTTAAAAAAGTTAATAAACATACTTAAACTAATTAAGTGAATTAATATTCTACAAGGAAAATAAATAAAACTGAAAATCTCTTGGATTCTAAACATCTGTAGATTAATCAAATGAAATTTAAATAGAGGATTGAAAATGATGTATTTGATAGATTGTTTGAAAACTCATAAAAAGTGAATCAAAAAATGTAGTAATTGAGACCATTCATAGAAAGAATGAATGAAAAAGAATTTTCTGACATTTTGTAGATCTTCAACTCTTTATAATATGATCATTCAAATGATAAATTTTAATTAGATCTATCATCTCCTAATAATCAAATTATAGAATTACCATAACAAAAACCTCCATCATTGGATTTGACTTAAAGATCACTAAAATTTATGAATACTCTTAAATAGAATAAACTTAACATTCAAAAGAAACCTAGCAGATCTGTCGATTAAAGCTAAGCCTATTAATAAGCTAATTAGTATAAATTTTATTTAATTTTAGACTTTTTACCGATTTGGATAAACAAAGAGCATAAGCCCAATTCTAATTTTAATAAAGCCGTACAGGATCATTAAATAGAAGAATTTCTCGATTTATCCCTACTTCTTTGGATGAAAAAATAAAGTAAAAAAGATTGTTTTCTATAAACTGATTCAAATATTCACAAACTCTTCAAGAATTGAATAATATCTGCTCTTTCTTAAGGATTAGCAATCTTTGTTTATGCCATTTTAGTATCTCTAAAATAAGCTTTTGGATCTTTAAGAAATAGAAACATGTTTTTTTCAGTCCAAGTCTCATTACAATTTCTCATTGATTTAGAGTAATGAAACAGAGTTGATCCTATTCTTTTCCCCATAATTTTTCTTGATTGATGATTTTAATTGATACTTTAATGTTGGTGCAGCTAATTCTTATTTATCATCTTCAAAATTGTGACAAGCACCACACTTAAACTCAAACATCTGCTATCCCCTTTTTGCATCGCCATTAGGAATCTAAACCTATTCATTAACATCAAATCTCGATTAAGACATTAAAATTGTAATAAAAATTATTTATTCAAAATAACTTTAAATTGTACCTCTTAAGAATGATTATAATATCCCAATTAATTTTTTATAATATAAATATTGCTGATATCCTTTAGTTACATATTTGTATGAATTTATCATAAAAGATACAGAATTTTAGAAAAATATTAATTGAATTTTTGATTAATTATAAATTAAATTAATATCTAAAAGATTTCGCTATTTTAATATAATTTAAGTGATATCTTAATCTAAAATGTTGATTAAATTTCCTCTTTTTAAAATTGATTGCAAATTAATGAATCTTTAAATATAATTGTAGCTAATTAAATGTAATTATTAAATAAATATTAAATTAGGATCATTTAATAGAGGATCTACACATAGGGCATATTGGTTTTTGTTTGACCCAGTTGTCTATACATTCCTTATGATAAGAGTGATCACATTGAAGAACTATATATTTATCTGTTATTTTCTCTAAACAAATTATACAATCTAGTTCAGTTTCCAAACATGTTTTCTCTTGTAACTAGATATTTACATTTTCTATTGGGTAATTCTGTAGTGTTATTTGATTATTTCTTCTGAAATTGAAATTGGAAAATAAAAATAAAAAGCAACATTTAATTACACCTAGAAAGGGAAGTAATAGTAATTAAAATCTTCTAGCAAAATATAAGGTGATTTCTAAAAGGATGATATATGAATAAGAATTAATAGATGCTTATATGTATCTATATACTTCATAAGGTGTAGATAAAAAGAGAACGATTTCAAAACTAAGTAGGATACAAATTGATACATTAAATTAGAGATTTTGACTATCAAGAAATTTGTGTGATATATTATTATGCTGTTGTTTAATTGATCTGAATCAAAAGATTATAGATTATTAAATGGTTCACTCCAATTATAATCAAAATTTTAAACTTAGTTTTTGTGTTTATAAATTAAGTATGAGTAATAATGGGTTAAAGCTATGCTCTTTTCTAATGAGGAAAAGTATATTTACCTAAATAAAAACTATTAATGAACTCTAATAAAATTTGTATAATGTAGTATTCTTTTGAATAAAGCAAATAGTTATCAAGTATACAATAACTTCAATGTATTTTATGAGTAAATCAGTTCTAATATTTCTTAAGAGTTTCTTTAAATTTTATAGGATAATTTATTATTAATCCATTTAATATAAATTAATGATCAATTTTCTAATTCAAGAGCTAGCAAGAGCAGATGATTAATACGGTATGGGATATCTGTGATGAATTTGAATGTCAAAATTTTGGAATTAGAACTAAAAGAGTTATAATTGAATTTGAGTGAAAAGCATATTATTCAAGATGATTTATAAATTTGATAATCAACAATGCAATTCTAAATACTTGAGAAATATAATTGTTATTAAATTTGAAAAAGAAATAGAAATAAAATAGAATTACACAAGAGTGAAGAGAAAAAGAATAAAATAAAGATAATAATTACAGATTTTTATATGTTGCTTAGAATTAAATTTAATAGATCATTAATTTTAGCTATAGATGTGCATTAACTTAATAACATTCTAGGCTTGAATCTAAATGCCATATTTACAATAAGAATTTAGAACTTCGTTTTGAACACATTATTAACAAAATTTCACTTAAGAAAAAGCCATGACATTTATTTATAAACCTGTTTAATAAGAGATAGAGTTTGTTTGATTTTAAAATTATGTTGGTATTATATATTATGATGAAATCAATACTTTCTACTCCAGGGTTTATCATCTGGAATTTCTGATTTGGATGCAAATTGATTAGCTTTTGCTTAAGGGTTCTACTCGAAGTATTTCTTGGCTTCTTCATATATTTGATAATCTTCTGAATATTTCTACATATCTAAAGATTGAATTAATAATATGTTTACTCTCTGAAAATTAGCTTAAATCTTATTCATATTAATCTTATTGACTTTTCAAGTTTTCGGAATCCATGAACATGGGTGGTTGTTATTTCATGAATACTCTTTGCTCAATAAATTCTTCATCCTCGTATTCTAATGGGAAATTCAATTCAGCTATTTTCTACAAGGCTTCTTCTTCAGTGCCCCTTTATTATTTTATGAATCTTTCATCGGTGTCTATAACAATCTAATTCGATAGGTCATCATACTTATCTGAAATTCTTTGATGTCTCTTCCCCATGGACTTAGGCTAATTCTAGTAACTCCTATTTATATTCTCTCAAAATCTGCAATTCTTAAGGAGTAATATCCCTTAAATATTTAGCTGGAGATCCTGCCCATACTTCTCCTTATTTGACTTCTGTGCCTTCTGGAACAAGAGAACCTGCTGCAACAATTCCTTGAATATTTGCACCTTCTTTAATCGTTGATCCCATGCCAATAAATGCATCATCACCTATAGTACACCCTTGTAAATTAGAATTTGGTCCAACTAAAGAGTTGTTGCCAACTGTAATTGCTTTGGTTGCTTTTATGTACACATTATCTTAAATAAGAGAATTCTTTCCCACTGTTATTGAATTATTATCTGCTCTTAATGTTGCCCCATACCATATAGATGAGCTATCAAATCAATATCTTAACCTTACTTTTATTTTAAAATAACATTTCCAATCAATACTGAATTTGGGGCTGTAAATATGGCATCTCCAATCTAGGGTTTATGTCCCTTTGCTTCCACTTATCTCAAACATTACACTAAACGATCATCGCTGGTCTCGCTTCCCAAAATATCATTCCCCTAGGTTAATAAGCTCTTTCCTAGTCTTCTATAGTAAGGACCAACTGTATTAAGCACAAAGGAGTCAAATAATTGGAGAATCTTAACTTTGAACATAATTATTATGTAATTTTAATCAATTTTAACTTAGAAAAGAGAAGAATTTCGAGTTTCCATTAGAAAACAAGAGATAGAAGCTATTTTTAAAAGCAGACGATTAATGTTGGTTGAATAATCTTCATTGACTCAGTCACTATCCCAAATCTTCGTTCAAATCAAATAACATTTACTAGCATAAGATTAATCCTAATTGCTTGGTCTCCTCAAATAACTATACACAAAAATTTTAGTAGAAAAAACAATATCTATATAATTGAATGAATTCAATTTCATTTTTGAAATTCTTGAAAATTATGCTCAATATTCAGATGATGTCTTAGAGACTATTTTATTGATAATCTATGGTTTGACATTTTCGAGTACTATTGATGAATTCGAAGCCTTTCTATAGTCATCACAATTGTTAAGCTAACTTAATGGTTTATCTTATAATTGCTCTTAATTTTCATTGGATTTCGTAGATTTACTCTTACTCATACTAGAAAATATAGCCAGAAAATCGAATGCATGTTTAAATCAATTGATATAAAACAATTTCTTAATCGTAATCAAATGGATGCTAGAGACTGTTGAGATTTAAAATAATGAAAAATGCGTAATTAGTCTTCTAGGATTTCTATCAGTGTTTGTTGAATAAAGTTTTAATAAAGAATACAAAGACTTACAAATAATCTTGTTAAACATCAATATACTCTGTAAAATCTTATTGAAGATCAACTATTTCTCTATTGAGCAACTGTTGAATGATTCTGACAATTTAGAAAAATATGAGATAAAGATAAATTTGATTACAAAATTACTAAATGTGATCAAATATTACACAGACAAATTACAATAATAAGCTAATATATATGAATACAAATACGTTTGGAAAGTTGTTATATTAATCAATTTTTCTGATTGCTAACTAATAATATTTTAGAAAATTACTTCATACATATTATCAATATAGACTTAGAGTAATGAATTTTCAATTAAATATATTCTCAAAGAAAATTAATAAATCCTTGAAAATCTTATTAGTACTTTAAGCAAATAACATAACCCTTCAGGAGATATTGAAAAATTCAGAATGCACAATGCCAATACTTTTAGAAATATTTATCAACACTTAGATTAAACAAATCTTAAGATTTATGAATAAAGTTTAACTGATTTAATCGAAATCGAATGTAATATATCATCACTATAAAATAGAATCATGTAAAGTACTTTCCATTTTGCTTGAGTGTCTTTATATTTTAATCTAAAGATTCGCTGACTTAAAATACCTGCCATTGATTGAAATCAAATTGAAATAATGCTATGAATGTTCATGTTGGTAAAGTCTTAAATATTTAATGCTTTGTAAGTATCTCAATTAATATTATAGCTATTGCATTGATAAGTGAATAGGATGCAATGAAATCACTCAAGGAATCGAAGATTGGTTATTATCTTGAGCTCTTAAGTTAAAGTGGAAGCAAACAGATTCAAACTCTAGCTTGTAAATTATTAGAATAAATTTGATTTAATAAAATCTCTATAAGATTAAATGAAATGGCTAATCCAAATTTATTTTCTTTTCATTTACAACTTGAAATTGAGGATATATAGACAAATACTTCTTTTTTAGGATAGAAAGCATGCTTCTTATCAAGGAAGTAGCTTATTATTATTGTATAAATAAAAATTAAATAATTAAATGCTTCCAAAAATTTAAGGACAAACAGTTGGGAGAAAAGAGAATTTGGCTTCATAACAGATAGTAGAAGATCATCTTAAAAACATTTTGAAAAAACAAGAAAACTAAGTAATACAATTATTGAATTATATACAGAATTATAAAGCTTGGAAAACCCCATATGCTCCAAAGAATCCTCATTCACCATTTGGAGATTTTCCAAGAGAATATTTGCCAAAAGAAAAGGCTAATTAATAAAAAGTAATTGAACCTGTTCACGAGACTTCCTAAAATGCTCTAATAACAAGTAAAGGGTTGTTTGAGATTAAATAGATAAATATTAGGGGACTCATTAAGGAACAGGAGGAAGAACTAGTTCATAATTATAGAAGAAAGAAGAATACAGACCTGCACCACCGAAAGCAGGAGCATACGACTAGAGAACAATATCAGTTTCAGATTTCAGGAGATATTATGATCGAGGGGATTTACCCATTAAAGTTTCAATTTTCAAAATATCAATAGGTTGATCATTAAGGAAGTGTAAATAGAATTATATGGAAAATATCTCCAGAACAATTGGATTATCATCATTATTTGCCAATCTTTTTTGATGGATTAAGAGTATTTTGATAAATTTAAAATAAGGAAAAAATGGATCCTTACAGATTCTTGGCAATCTTGGGAACATATGGATTACTCGAGAATGGAGGTAATAAGATATTACCAGTTATTCCATAATTGATTATTCCAATCAAAAGTAATATGCAGTTTTAGAATAATAGCAAATTTGAATACTAGAGATCCAAGTATTATGGAAGTTCAATTAAAGGTATTACAAAAATTAGTGTTGAGTGGAGAAATGGTTGGGGAAGCATTAGGTAATACAGAAATCTCAAATTATTAGTACCATATTATAGACAATTATTGCCAATAATGAATTTATATAAAAACAGAAATTCTAATTTGGGTGATTTTATTGAGTACAACCAAAGAAAAAGAGTTAACGTTGGTGACTTGATCTAAGAAACATTAGAATTATTTGAATAAACAGGAGGAGAAGTAACACTTTTAGATTAATAAAATAATAGGATGCATATATAAATATTAAATACATGATCCCAACTTATGAGAGTTGCATTTTAAATTGAAAAAGAATAATAATATATATATAAACATTAATAATTACACAAACAATTCTCATAATATCACCAGATATTTAGTATTTAAACTAAAAGCTAACATTCACAAGAAAGAATAAAGCTAATTATTATGCCATAAAAATACATATATAAGATTAATACGACTCTTCTTAATGAGATTGGTAAGAAATTAATTCAAAATTTTAAACATTATATAAAACTAAATTTATTTGTTATCAAATTTCAATTATTTTCCAAAGTGTTTGATTGTCATTTGGCTTGCCACAATCTATCTATTATAATGAGACTTTTAATTGGCCTTCAAGATTACACTAATTTACATGAGTTTGTAAATAGTACCCAGTGTTTTAGTGTTTAATTTCTAACCAGGTTATAATTTTTAAATTTATTTACTTATATTATCACTTATTTTCTCTATGCTCCATTCATCACCTTCGTCGCTTCCTCCAACTTCAATCTACCCATTATTACTTCTTTTTTAGGCTTTCAAATAGTATTTAGTTAAAGGATGATATAACTAACAGTTAAATCAATATTTTAATACTTTAACTACATTTTCATTAATGTTTTCAAAAACCCAAGTATCATATTCATTATGACAATCCTAGCAACATAGAACTTCATTCAATCGAGAATTTTGATGCCGTATCCTATGAGAATGGAGATATCTCTCAGAACTTACATTAATCAATTAAATTGTGTTATGATTAATACTGCTTTCCCCTAGGTTTTAGTTAGATGTGCACTAAGTAAACCTACTGTTTTTATGACCACTTTCTCTGATTTTTTGTATTTCAGTCTCTTTTCCTAATTCTTCTTTGATTATCAATCTACTTACACTAGGCATTAAGAGTGATTGTTATCGGTTGAATAAATATTTGTCAATTATGTTTTCTTTAATGTAAATTCCACTTCTTGGTTCAAAATAGATAGAAGATTGATCAAAACAATTCGCATTTTATTCTTTCTTACACAAATTACCCATAAAATTTTAATTTAATTAGTAGAATTCATTCAAGACCAACAGAATTTGAATATAATTTTGTAGTAATTAAGTCAAAAATAATCAACTAACTAAGAACATCTAAATAGATTTTATTCTAATTTTAATAAGACCTTAAAGCCTTCATTCATCAATTAATCTATAGGAGGACTTAAATTATAATCTTTATAAGGAATTTAGTCTAATCATGCATTTTAAAATTATTGAATAACTCTATATTAAATTAAGAAGATTCCAAATTTATTTAATTTTTATAGATTATACATTCTTAGAAGTTAGAGAAAATCATAGAATCTTTTGGATTAAAATTATATCTAATCTTATTTAAAGATTATATTTTTAATATGTTGCATTTGATTAATTGTAGACAGATTATAATAAGATAGATTTAGAATTGAATTTCATAAAAAAAATTGCTATTTAATATCATTTAGGCCTTCACTAATTGAATTTAATTACTATTTTAGTGATTTGTATTGAGGATCTATGGATAACAACTCTTTGTAAGATTTTAATAGGATTAACATATCATTATCTTGTTTTTTAATCTAAAAATAGAGGATTAAATACATGATTCTAAATTTCATCCAAATCTTCTTTTATGCTTTTGGATTGTTTTGCTAAGTGATTACTTTAATTTTCAAGAAAGTTAAATCTATCATTAAGGATAAGATCTAATTATTATGGGAATGTCGAAAAGTATTTGTCTAATGCTTATTGTTATATTTAACTCTTTTAAACCTTCTCAATTAATTCTTCCTAAAGTGGAATTACTACTTAAGCTATTCTATTCACTACTTACTCTAAATCATTAAGCTTATTCTCGAATTCATTAAATGTCTTGAAATAACTAAAGATTTTTTCAAAGTCTTGTTATTTCACTTATATTTCTCTTAAAACTGACTATAATTGAGTAAAAAATAAATCCAAAACTTCATATGTAACAAAGGAAGAAGGGTTTAAAGATTATAATTTTGTAACCATCTCCTTATTTAGATATGATTATTCACTAGAAGTGTCAACTCTTAAACTTTTGCTTCTCGGTTAATTCATTACTAAAATTTAATAATAAAATAATATCGTAATACTATTATATTAAATCTATATATAATTTGTTTTTGAATTAAATATTCTTTTATTCAAAACACAAGCTAATATGCAGATAAGACTCTAAAAATCTTAAATATATAAATAATAAACTAAGAGTTTTAACTGAATTTATATTTCTGTATTAATGTGTTAGTTGAAGTAAGTTCTTTCTTAAAAATAACGATATTTCAAAATAAGAATATGAAACTCTATTGAAAAAGAATCGTATTGGTGATGAATACAAATTTCTTAATTCTTAACACAAATTAGTTAATTAGTTCCCTTATATTAGATTTAGAATATAAAATATTAAATTTTCCATGGGTACAGCATGTTCCTCTGATAAATTTAAGATTTCGCCAACTGCATCTACTTGTGAACTGTTAAATTGTGAGCACCCTCTCATTTTAGTTGCTCATCAATGCAATTAAAACATTGATCTTATAGGATAATTAGAAGCTGCACCAATTATTGTTCAATAATATTGCAAGAAACTTAAAGATTCTAGTTAAGTGCTTAAACCTGCTTTGGAAAGGTTAGAAAATGAAGAGGAGAATTTCCTTAAGGTTTGGAATTTGATTGTTTCAATATTAAAAAATGTTTCGTCTCTTATAAAGAAAGCTTTGTAAGAACCTTAGTTTATTGAATATTTACCCATTATCTCTTATAATCTTTAGGAATAGTAAAATGATTTGGAGATGCTGATAAACCAGAAGAAAGGTTAATAACAGATCAGGAGAGCTTAATCTCATATTATATAGAGCAATGTCATCAGAATCAACAAAAGACATTAAACCGATAAAATTTGAATATTTACATAATCAATATATCCTCAATATTCATTATTATGATTGTTATGAGAGTTGCTTAATTGATTTTGGTTGATAAAATTTCAAAGCACCAGAATTAATTGAATATCTTAAAAATGTTGGTGGTGGTCCGTCTTTAGAAATTTATCCAAGATAAGATTAACAATTCATGCACTAGAGAGCTGAGTACCTCTTTATTGTTATAAAATTACAAATTTTTCTTTAGTCTCAATAATCTTCACACTGTTTTTATGATGCTAAAAGAATGATGCATAACCTGTTTATGCCTAGTATTTAGTATCACTTTAAAATAATGTAATTTTGCAATGGTAACATTAATAAACACCTTATTATTCATGCTTGCAAATATGAAAAAAAATGTACATTGCAAAACTCTCCTGTGAATGGTCTTTCCATTCCTTTGCCAACAGCTATCCAATAATGATGAGGATCCATAGATAATCTATCTAATCTAATTTCTATCTTTTTTTATGGTTTGATTAGGTTTTTATTTAATGCATCCAGAATTTTATTGAATAAAAACTTAATTTTCATTGTTTTTAATTTACCACATAAAAATACTTTATTAAGAAAATGAATTAATAAAGATTATAGTAAATAAATCAGGGAACCAAAAAATATTAGTAGAGTAATATATCAATAACCAAAGCATAAAGCTTAAACGTTTGAGTATTCTTAAAAATTATTGATTATATTATAATAAAATTTTATTCATATACAATAATAATATTTAAATCAAAAAAAAAATATTTCAAAATAAGATCAGCTACTGTGTAAACTTCATATGCTGTTTTGCAAATTTTTACAAACAATCTTATAAGAATGATACTTGTATTTATATATTTGGAGCTATAAATAACATCTATATTTATAGTGTTATTATTCTTTATAGTGTTGAAGTTATTTCTTACTTATTTAGATCTCATTAATACGAAAACAAAATGGAGGTGTTTTATTTGTTATGATTAGGTAACAAATATTTTGAAAAATATTGTTTATTTTAGGTACTTGTATAACTTAACAGAAATTTTTCGGATTAGAGCAGTGCGTCTAAGAGCCTAAGGAATGTAGCAAGTAAATTTTAAATCCTTACCTTATAACATTCCATCAAGACTTAAAATCACTTAAAAGAAGTAAATGACTTTGCAAAATGAAGTAAAGAAGATAAAATTCATGATGAATATAGAGGAAAATAAACAAAATAATAAATTATTTAGATTATTACAGAAATAAAACTTTGATTAAAATAATTAATTCAATCATTAAAATTTTATCTCTATAAATATCTCATTATCCAAAAGGTTTATTGATTCTTCATTTTGATGATGTAGTTTATTTCTTGTCAATTAAATCTTAAATTCTCTTTACTTAATCTGTTGTTTGGATATTATTTAGTTATGTTGAAATTGATTTTAAAAGGATAGCTGGCATTCTAGCTAAATGATGTTAAAGAGCATTTTCAATCCAATCCAAAGTTCTTAGTTTATGCAATAAAAATTCCACTTATGTAGAATCAAGTCTTTCAGTACACGGACCTGTTTTCATCATAGTTGATATAATTATTTAATCATCTAAAGACGTTAATGCAGTACAATAAGCTTCATTGATATTTTCTTTCTAAAATAACATATTAACATTACCTTCAATTGTTCCTCCACTCTTTACATTATCTTCTATTATTCTTTAATTTTTGGATCCTTAAGTTGAGGTTAAGGAGAACTCTATTCCTTTGTATACTTGCTATCATTTGTTAAAATTGATTAATCTCGATTTCTTTATGGAGAAGCCTCTGAAGTAGATCTTTGATGATTTTCTCTTTCTTTGCAATCAGCTTCACTCATTTTTCTTGAATTAAATTCAAAATTTGATTCTCCCAATTTAGAGTCAGAAATTAATTCACATTTTTATCCAAAAAAAAATAAATCTTTCATTTTTGAATTCTCTTATTATTCTTAGTTTGCTACATTTAATGAATCATAGATATGTTAATCTTTTTATTATTAATTTTCTTAATGAAGTAAACAAGGAATCATCTGATCTTCATAAATCTCAACAGGTTGTACTTTTTTCTTCAAACAAAGCAATTATTATTGTTATTATTATTGTTATTATTATTATTGTTATTATTATTATTATTATTATTACTACTATTATTATTATTATTAATTTTAGTATTATTACTATTATTATTATTATTATTATTATTATTATTATAATTTCTTTTCTATTGTTTCATTCAACTTCTCTAATAGTAATTCTATTTTATCTATTCTATTATTAATTTTAGTAAATTCCTGCTTAGTTGTCTATTCAGACTCCTCAATTCTTTTAGCTATTATCTATTCATAATATGCTAACTATTTAGCTTTAGCAGTATCACACAATTTAATCAGATCTGTTTATTATTATTATTTTTTAGGCGTGGAACTTATTAATTGATTAGATGTTTAAATTTCTTAACTAAGATTGACTTATCGTTTCTTGGAACTAGATCCAAAACTATTTATTTTAAGATTGGAGTCCATCTGTTAAATTTATTCTTAATGAGGAGATGCTAATACATTTGATTCAGTCAAAATTTAAAAAGGCGATTATCTTTTTTCATTACTATAAAATCTTTCCCTTTTTAATTGGGGTTCATATCCTAAATTTTATTGTTTTTGTATTTCAACGTCTTTTGGCTTGTTTTCAACAATTTATATGTCATATTTTTTTTCAAAAAAACTTTTATTAGCATTTTATTTAAACACAGATTTATGTTCTCTTTATGATTATTATTATAAGATTGAAGACTCTTTTAGTGATGAGATAGCAATCGAAGCAGCATCTCTTACATGCTTGATTTTATCAAATCTTAATTCGCTAATCTTATTTGAGTACTATTAATTTGCCCTAAAATAATGTGGGAATATAACACTTAATGTATACAATATATCCACTGCAAATTTACTAATCATAAAATAAATGATACCGTGAATTCCATTCAGATGATTATAGGCAATTACAAATTGTATTTAAACAATCTTCCAAACATGGCTCAAAGATTTCTTCTACACTTAAGATTATACACAAAAGACTTTCTAATAAACCTTATTATGTTTAACAATGGGGTGATCTAAGTAGGACTCTAATTTTACTTCAATATTTCTAGAGTTCTTTAAGTATATTATTTGCAAACAAGCTCTAATAATTGAGATTTGCTAGTTTTGATAAGTCTACATAGAGAGGCTGCACTTATCAACTAAGCTACTTTGTTATTATGAATAAAATTAGATTGCAGCAATTCAGTTATTTAGAAGAATAAATCGTACTAATTAGGAGATGTTTGAATTGTGAATTCATTAATATTCGCAAAGGTGTCTGAAATAACCTGTAAAAAAGAAGAGTCTCCTATTTGAAAATTGATTAAATATTTGTACCCTCTGAAATTCTTTTATTAATTATTTGAACTACTCTCGGTATTTATTCTTAGATATCATTACCTCTTATTTCAGATAAAAGCCCAAAGACTTTAATATAATCTTTCTTTGCCTATTTAGATAGATCATTTGAATCAAGCAGATTTGTTAAAATTACGAATTAATTTTATGACAATTAGGCAATCAATTACCTCAATTCACTAAATCCCGTCTAAGCAGTACTTTGGGAACTAAAATAGAAGTTTACAAGTGTACTGCAATTTAGCCAAAGAAGCCAAGAGGATAGTTCTTAATTATGAATTTGAATCATAAGAACTTTGTTGTCTTCTGGATTTATTTAAAGCGCTACTATTCATTTTAAATTTATTTATAATATAACTGCTCGACAATAAAAAAAGCTTTCATAAAATGTATTTTGTTGTAATCAATTTTACGAAGTCTTCATATCTGATTTCCAAATCTTTATCTGGATTTGCTTCTTTAATTAATTAATTTGCTTCTTCCTCAGTCAATCTTTCTCCCATAGATTTGACCATATGTCTTAACTCATTAGCATTTATTGTTCCTTTATTAGATTTATCCAATATTCTAAATGCATCCATTAATTCCTCTTCTGGATCCACATCTCTATGTTTTCTTGCCATCAAACTCAGAAACTCAGGAAAATCAACCATTCCTGTAGAATCAGGATCCACATCGTTTTTCATTTCACTTATTTCTGCCTCTGTTGGATTTTAATTCAATGATCGGATTAATAAACCCAAGTCATCTACCTTTATAAAAATATAATTTAAGTTGATTTACTTTTATTTTATTATCACCATCTTTATCAAAGAGAGAGAAAGCTTCTTTATAATTGGCAATTTAATCTTCTGTTAATTATTGGTCCATTAATTTAAATAATATAATGTTAAAATCGTGGGATTCATTTATGACTGCAGCTTTGGATTTACTTATGGAATCCCCCTAAGCCAGAGCTAAAGTTAAATACTATAAAATCAAGCAATTAGCCTTACTCACCGTCACTGATGATAAAAAGCATTGCATCTTCAAATCAAGAAACGTGGATGAGATTGAGCAGTTTATAAAATTGACAAGTAAACTAATGTTGAATGTTGATCCAACTGAAGTGAAAGAGGATCCTCAAGATGCAAAAACTGATAAAAAATAAGCCAAGAAAAAAGGAAAGGGAAATAAAAAATGAGTTTTATATATATGTATAATTTTATTTTAAATTTTATTCATAATTCAATTATACACTAAGATGGAAAAATATAAATAATATTATCTGTTATATAAAGCCGAGCGATATTGAAAACGAGAGAGTTTAAGTATATTAAATTAATTACTTCATTTTATCAAATATGTCTCCCTTCATCTAATTTATTTTTTGTCTTTTTGTATTCAATCAATATCCATCGATTTTATTGAAAGTTCCTATAAAAAAGGAATTATTAGACATAAAAATATATATTAATTTTATTGTCATGTAAATAACTATTTTTTTTAATTAATTCTTAATATATCTTTAGTAGGAATTATAGAATTCCAAACTCAGAATTTATCAATTTCAGGTAATATAAAACTTTTTTGTAATATTCTTAAAGCCATAAATAAATTTAGTTGAATGACAGATAAACTTTAGTCAATAGGTAACATGATTATAGATTTTAGCCAACAGAGAGGAACAACTTGTAAATACTGATAATAGAGCTGAATTTTCACTTGGAAAATTTACACCTATTGAACTAGCTTGGGATAAACTTATAATAAATGCCACCATAAAAGTTGGGAAGGTAATACCTATTTATAAGTTAAGACTACCACCGAAAAATGCTTGCTTAATAATCTTTAAGGAGTGATGAAACCTGCTCACTTTACTGCTATTTTGGGTCCATCAGGATCAGGAAAGACTACTTTATTGAACTTTTTGTCAGGTCGTTTAATATCTGACAATCTAAAAATATCAGGAGAACTTTCTTTAAATGGAAAACGAATTAATGACATTGATAAATTTAATGATTAAATGGCCTATGTCATGCAAGATGATATTTTACTAGCCACCTTCTCACCCAGAGGTATTACATTATATAATTGTATTAGAGGCATTTTATTTTTCAGCCAATATGAGATTGACAATCAGCGCAGAGGAAAAAGCATAAAGAGTAGAAGCTTTGATTAGAGAATTAGGAATAACAAAATGTGCAGACACTAGAGTGGGAAATACATAAATTAGAGGCGTATCAGGAGGTGAAAGAAAGAGAGCAAGCATAGGAGTGGAATTATTAACAAATCCAAGTCTAATATTTCTAGATGAACCAACCACTGGCTTGGATTCATCAACTGCATTATAAGTGATTGATTTATTGAAGAAATTGGCCAAAAATGGTCGTACTATAGTTAGTACGATACATTAGCCTTCATCTGAAATTTTTAATAATTTTGATAGACTTATGCTATTGGTTAGAGGAAACATAATTTATCAAGGGGATGCAGAATAAGCCATTGATTACTTTGCTACTATGGGATACTAATGTCCTAATTTTTCTAATCCTTCAGATTACTTTATGAAATTGATGAATGAGGAAGGGCTACTAGTTGAAAAGATTCAAGCAGGAGAATCTGAAGATTTCGATGATGCTTAAATAAAGGCTGAATTTGAGTAAAGATTAGAAGGATTTATTGAAAACTACAAAAATTCAAATATGATTAAAGAATTGGATACACATGAAACAGCATTAATTAAAGAAAATGATGTTGGATTCCATATAGGATTTGTTTAATAATTTTTACTTATTTATTAAAGATCATTTTTGAATGAAATTAGAAATCCAATGGATGTAAAATTGAAAATATTTTAATCTATTGTCAATGCTATTATGTTAATGCTCGTTTATTCAGATGTATATTACATTATAAATTATTTAGTTGGGCAAATATAACGAAGGATTGTAAAATAGATTTGGTGCTTTGTTCTTTATTTGTACTGGTAATGCTTTTGGTGGAATCCAAGGAGCTTTACATACTTTTTCAATGGAAAGACCTCTGTTTTTAAGAGAAAGAATAAACAAAACCTATAGTGTTCATTCATTCTTTTGGGCAAGATCATTGGCTGAATTTCCATTCCAAATAATCTACCCTTCTCTTTGTGTTATAATAGTTTACTATGTAATAGGATTAAGTGATGAAAATGTAGGCAAATTCTTTATGCTTATTCTCATCTAATTCTTAACATATTAATATGCAGTTTCATATGGATTGCTTTTATCAACCATTATTCCAAAGATTGAAGTGGCTACAGCACTAGTCCCTGCTTTGGTTATTCCATTTATGATTTTGGGAGGATTCTTCGTAAATTAAGATAATATTCCTTATATTTTCTACCCTTTCACCTACTTATCAATGTTCAAGTATGGATTTGAGGCAGCCGTTATTGTAAGATCTATTATTTAATTTTAGAATGAATTTGATAATATAAGTTACGAGTGCATGCCAGGTCAGCCATGTTAACCAGTAGAGATGTTATCAATTTCATTGACAAAATGGGAATGTTGCTATATCTTAATTGGATTAGCTATAGGGATTAGAATTTTCGCCTATCTGGCACTTCACTTAATATCAAGTCCTGAGAAACCAAAATTATAGCCTCCTGAAAGCATGCAAATAAATAATAAACCAAAATGACTTTTAGTGTTTATATAATTATTTATTTTTAAATATGATAAAAAAAAAGTAATTAGAAAGTTTTTTGCAATAAGTCCCTGACTTTGATGGAAAACCTAATTGGAACCTAGAATAACATATGACTCCTCCTTCTTTTGCTAGCGAGATAATATAATTGATTCTTAATGAAGAGTCACTTGAAAATTTAGTATGTGCAGATTTTGGATGCGGAACAGGAATGCTAACAGCTGGATTATTGTGTTGCAATGTAGCTCATGTTTTTGCTTATGAATTTGATGAAAATGTTGCTTAAGACACTTTATAAACTTTATAAGAGATGCATGATGGAGCATTTGATTTGATTATAACAAATATTAAGCATCATAAATTTCCATCTCAAAAAGTTGACTTAATTTTAATGAATCCTCCATTTGGTACAAAGGAAGCCAATATTGATACAGTATTTTTGTTATAAGCGTTCTAACATGCAAACGGTAATGTCTACTCAATACACAAATCTTCTACCAGGTAATATTTGGAGAAATTAGCAATAGAAAATAAAAGAACCTTTAAAGTACTTAAGGAATTTGAATTTCCATTACCTAAAAAATTTTCTAAATATCACAAAAAAGGTTTCAAGAATATTCTATTTTAGACCTTGCATTTACATAAGTAGATTTCATAAAGTTTGGCTATGTAAAGTAGTAAGAAGAGAAATAAGATATTTAATTAAATTGAATGGTTATATAGAAAAATCTGCTATTTTATTATAAATTTCTATTTTCTGATTTTGAACTAGATTGATTATGGGTAATATTCTTTACCGAATTTTATTTCTATTTTCCTCTATAGATTAATTTAATTTTTGTTTTTATTAAGAAAAGATAAAAGGACGAATAACCCTGTATTGGTAAATTAAGTATCGATAAAATGGATGATTTAGAACAAGCCAACAATGAATAAATTCAAGATAGTTAGTTATTAATTTCTAATTATAAAATTTATTTGTTTTTGAAATATTAAAATCAAGTTTAGATGCTTTAAAATCTACAGATTATTTGCATTAATCCTATAAATAACTTCGATTGTTTTAATTATATAATTAAAATTTATTATGTAAACTTCAGTGACTTACTTTGAACTTTAGACTCTCATATTCTTGATCATTATTGGAATGATCTTGATTTCATTGAAATACTTTACAGATCCAAATCAAAAGGAATCAAAAGTATTTTTTGATCAATTAATCAATAGTTAAAGCTTTGGAATCGAATGATTGTTAATTATGAAGGTATATAACTAAGCATTGATGAAGAATAACTTTTAAAATAAACTTTTAAGAACACTTTGAAAAATCGCAGAGTTGTAATCAATCCATCCATTCCAAGATAGATAAAAACTACAAAAAGGGTTAGCTTTTCTAATTTAGATGACTAACTTTGAAATCTACCCTTTATTGATTTTTTTAATTTAGTATATTTACAATTATAGACATCATTGTTTTTATTTATTTTTAAATTAATAAGTCATATAAATTATATTATCAATACTTCTTTCAGACGATATCTGCCATGAGTTCCTTGAAATTCCTATAAGTTAACTAATTATATTAATAATATTTTACATAGTCTTTTTGATTTAATTCCATTAGAATTTCCATAAAGTATTCCTTTTCCAAAGAAAACTAAGTAGCCAAACTCTCGGCAGTAATAAAATTTTTTTTATTTTTCAATAATTTAAAGCTAGTATCCAAGACTTCTTCTTGAATCAGAGTCTTACGTTTGATGGCATAGAGTATGAATTCAGCAAAGGTGATTTTGCTATCTTTATCCATATCTACTTTTTTAAATATATTCACACAAACTGATTTGGTTTTATCGTCATCTTATACAAAATCTGTGTATGAGGCCAAAAGTTCAGAGAGACTAAAAAATCCATCATTATCAAGATCTAAAGATCTGAAGACAGAATAAATATCACGAAGCTTATCTGGAGGATAATTATTAATTATAAACTTCAAGATGTAAGCTTATAACATATTTAACTTTTTAGATTTTTATAATCTAAGCAAGGTTTCTCTAACTTGTTCTTCTCTCGATTAAACCTCTTATTTTAGTAACCATGGATGTTTTGTTATATCCTTTAATTTAATTCTTTTTTTTGGATTTTTATCTAGTAATTATTACAATAATGAGATAGCCTCATTGGAGATTGATTATTCAAATTACATCTCTGAAATTAAGATTTCTACTCTTAATTTATTAAATGATTTGGACTCATAAGGAGAAGTATGATAAAGTAATTAGTAAAGGATTATTCCCAAAGACCAAATATCTCTTTCTTCTGTATACTGTTGATTTTCAAAATATTCTGGAGGCAAATAATGTGATTCTTCAAAAGACGGTTTCTTTTTCATAAACAGGTGGAACAAATTATATAATTTTATGTATTTATCTCCAAAAAGGGCAAATGAATCTATGGTTAGATGGCCATGAGTGAGTTATTAGTGATGGATATAGTCAATTGCTTCTACTATTTGGTTAAATACGAATGCAACATCTTGTTCAGTAATGAACATTTTTGAATTCAGAATTACTATCTCTTTGCTATTCTCCTCGGCCACATGATACTTTTATTGTTCTTCATATATTTCATATAATTGAATTAGATTAGGATGATGCTATTTAAAATTACGAATATAATTACAAGTTAATAATTGAGTAAGGAAGCAACATATTTTTCATCTGTAAGTTTGTATGATTTGATGATCCTAACTATTCCTGTATTGTTATGCTGGATGGTAGTAAATGGAAAATCTTTATCCTCTTTTCTCAACAAACTATAATAAGTTGAGAAGTTAGTGCTTCTATAAACTAGTGTTTAATTTATATTTTGAAGACTTATTGATGTCAAACCTTACTCAACTACAGTCTAAGGGATATTCTGAGTATTGCATCTTGTGTTTGGTCTTACAACTAATGGCTAAGTTGTCGACCTGTTTGGAGTTGTTGTCTAAGATTGTTTTTATTTTGCCTCTTGCAATTTGGCTTTCATTGTTTTTTTCATTTCTTATGAGGAACAAGAACCCATCTTCTTACAATAATTTAATTTTTTTGGGTTAGATTATGATAATGAGTTATCAAACAAATAATTCACTGATCTGATAGATACGTACGTAATATATTGCAGATTATTATTTACTTAATTAAAGAACACATATTAATTAAATTCATTTTAGAAAAAAAATACATAAAAGTTAATTCAGACCAACTTTAAGAATATCTAGAACATGCAAAGATTGGTCAATCAACGCTAAATAATTTATAAGTATGTATATTTATAATTTTATAAAGTAGGGAATAATCAATATTTATTTTATTGTTTATATTACAGGAAACCTAAATTATATATTAGTAATTACTTATTCCAGGTCTTAAGGATATTTTTTAAACATTTGTAATTTTTATTGGTAATTCATCTTTTACTTTTAAAAATTCAGTAAAGCTTGCAGTTCTTTATTTAAAGCTCTCATTCGATCTAATACTCTCAAGTATTCTGTTGGTCTATTCAGTACTTTGCTATATGGATATCGATTATTTTTAAAAAGAAGACGCCTATTATTAAGATAAACTAGATTTTTATAATAATTATTAGATCGATCGTTAATCAAATTGCGATTAATTTGAATACAGAGACTTTTAATTAAGCTCTTATTCGAAGGTTAATACTTATTACTTACCTAAAAGTGAAGTTGGAGATTATACACATTCCTCTTGACTATTATTTACCTCTTGAAAAGTGATTAATTTAGTCTGGCATAGGGCTATGCTTTCTCTTTGACTTCCCATTATAGCGAAGTCACTGATATGGTTAAGCTCATTCATTTGAACAGACTTCTTTGTTTCTATTACAAAACTAGGTTCTCTACTTAATTTCCGAAGACTCTAAAAGTTTTGCATTAGTTGATCATATCTATTCGACTTATTTGAGAAAGCAGAAGGAGGTGGCACTTATTCAATCAGTTCTTACTATTGAACCAATTCTTACTCATCATTACTATATCTTTTTGCCGATGAAACCTTACCTTAACTATTATCTAATTAAACATATTTGACAGTTTCTTTCATAACCTGTTATTCACTAAATAATTCTGGTTCTACTTGCTTTGGGGATTTTATCAGAGACTCCAATTAAGAAGGACCAAAGGTTGTTCTACAATCATTTCCTTAGACCATCTCAAATTATAAATTAATGGGATTTTATTCCAAACTACTTTCAAAGGAGACATTAATTTTCTTATTTTAATTTGCTGACACTTCAACTGGAATAATTGATGATAAGTTGCTTATTGTAAATTGTGATTTCCCATAAATATCCTCAATACTTTCATTCTGTTATTTTTTCATTTGATTATAAAAACTATTCAAATTTGTCTTGCTGTTTAAAACTGATACTTATTATTGTCTTAATGCTTCTTATTATTATTTTATAATTTCCAACTGCTACTATAAAATTTACGATTATTATTCTAGAAATTATGATTTAATTTATGAGTTTTCCTCAGAATAGAAAATTTCTGGGTGTTTTATGCTCTTTTGGCTGGAATAGTCAAAATAAGGAACTTTTATCTAAGTTTCCTTATATTCTAATATATGCTTGATTTTTTGGTTTTATTTTTGGAGCATTTCCACAGGTTTAGGAGTATTGGATTGATACCTTTTAGTTACTTCTTATAAGTCTCTAAGAATATTTTATTTTAGATTATCAACCATATCCATAATTTAAGGGTCTTCAGGCTACTTAAATGCTGATTTATTTTGGCTTTTGGATGTCTGATTTTATTACACACATCTTAAAGGACTAACAGAACCTCTTCCTCTAGTATTAATTACAATTGGGCTCTTTTAAGCCATTGGTGTTTGTGATCTATTTTCTTAATACAAATGTTTTTTGGATGGTTAATTTTCTTTGTTGTTTTTACAAGTGGAGTTATCGAAATAATTCCTAAGAGATTGTTATGAGTTGATTTCTCTGGTTGTATATATAATTTTCTCTTATTTATCAGTTTTCTCGCATTTTTATACCTCAGCTACTCTTTTGGTGGAGGGCTATATAGTGCTTTTTGTCCGACTAGCTTAAGTAACTAATTATGTTAACTATTAAATTGCATTTATTTATGGATTTCTAACAAGCTTTACAAAATTTTGACGATCGTTGGATAACATATAAATTTTTATTAATAAATTAATGAAACTAGTCCAATAAGAGTATTACTTCAGCAGACCCAAAATCAATAGTCTGTATTCACCTGATAGCAGATTTAAATCTATCTCTCATTATTCTGATAAGTCTCTGGTTCAGAATATTGATACCCAAATCTAAATCAATTAAGTCATACAAAATATACAATACTTGAAGGGCAAGATAAATTATGAAAAGAGTTAATTGTAGCAGCTATCCTTTCTTAATAGCGATACTAATTTCTCATTTACATCTGTTCCTCTTAGCAAATTAGATCCAGAGTCTTATACTATGAAATAAAAGATCGTATAACTTAAAGAGCAAGTATGAATGTAAAATATTAGTTAAAACAATTAGAGAACGAAGAGAAGCGAATTTAAATGATGAATTATTAGAGAATTGATCAAAATGAAGAATACGCCTTTAAAAATTATACTAGAATAATGATGATGAATAAATCTAAATAATAGCTCATTCAGCATAAAACTGGACTTATTAATTAGATCAAATAATTAAAACATGAAATTTATATAGACTAGATGGAGATTAATGTATAAGATCATCAAATTCTTGATTTAGAAACAAAAAATAAACAATATAAAATAAGATCATCCAAAGTTTCAGAATAGCTTAAGCAAATAAAAAAAAATCTCGCTAAGTATTAACAGTTTGATCTGAAAAAGTCTAGATAAATCAAAGATTTTATGAGTAAGTTAGGAGTAGGTGATTCTAAAGCAGACGATATGGATGAAGTACTTGAAAATTACAATAGAAAAATACTGAATAATCAAAAATCTATTGATGAATTTCTATTAATAGCATAATAACGATCATATTATGCATTATCATAAATGTAAGATTTGGAATATCAAATCAAAAATTAAAAAGAAGTTAAATCAGAAATCTTTTCATAAATTAGAGAATTAAAATTACTGATATCTAAATTCTCAAAAACTAGAAGTACCTCTTTAGAAAATAATTACAATAGAGATAATTTGAAAGAGGAAGAAAAAGTTGATTGGATTTTTAATAGTAGAGATTTAGATGAATTTCCATTAACTTAATCTAAAATCATAGATGATGTTGAATTCGATTATTGAAAATTAATTATAATTAAAAAAAAACTACAAGTGTAAAAAAAGCCAATTTTTCTTTAATGCATATATTATAAGCTGATTAGAATAATTCTATTATTATATTTTGTTAGTAATAAAATTATACACTTCTTTTTCATTTTTTGAGGAATGAATTATTCATTTCAAAAAGCATTAAATCTATTTCAAATAATTTAAGATGTATTTTAGTTTTTTCAATAAATTTAGTTTTTTCAATAAATTTAGTGTAAATTAGGTAAACTTATCTTTGTAATTCTTATTACTCCTATTATTAAATCAATTTTTAATCTTTAAATTTATTGACGAGTCAGGATAAAAAATCAAATCAAGTTATTGTGATCTTTGTTTAACCCAATATCAATTTTATTATTTCTATCATCCTTATATCTTAACTGATCTATTTCAAGAATCCCTTTAATTTATTATCACTAAAAATTTAAAGAAATTCCGATTCAAATTCATTATAAATATTTCTTTATATCTTTCAATTTAATCAATCATATTTATTTATTATTTTTAATGAATAGTGGGGAAGAAATTCTTAAATAATTTGATACTTTGCTTAAATAAGTAGATAATTTTGAGGACTAAAGTCCTGATGATGAAAAATTGATGAACCTAATTGAGAAATTCTAATTAACTCAATAGGCAATTATTAAACTTTCACATTTTTTCTCCAAATGAGGAATTCAATGAAATAAAAACAGAACATCTCAAATTTTTTTTTTGGCCATATTATGTTGGTTGGGCATTAACATAAGTGTAAAATGAAGATATTAGATAATAGAATGTCGAAACCTCTAATTATTATGCGATGGAATTTTTAAAACTATTAAAACATTACGAAATCCTAAAAGGGAATCAATTAAAATAATTTAAATCCATGTTGGAAAATGATACTTTTTAAATTAATAGAGATTGTAAGATAGCCAACTAAAAAATGTTGAATAAAAAAATATAGGTATTTTTGGTAATAAAGACTTTAGAATTTATAAAAGTAGGATGATAATAAATTATCGAGAGAAATTATAAAATTGCAATTAAATTAAAAAATTATATCTTCACTTGATATATTGAATAATAATTAATAGGAATTGGAGATACTAAATTTTAAATCACAATTGAAAAAAGATAAATAACTTCAATAGCAATATTAGGAGCAGTAAGAAAAGCCAATCCCAAAAATGAAAGTCTGGAATATTCAAGTAACAATTGATAATAACTATCTTTTAGAAACCCACTATGCAACCCTAATTCTTTGATCCACACTGTCAAAATTGCTAAACCGAAGCAGAGTTCAGGCAAAATCACGTTGCCGAAGTTTGGTAACCTAATGCAGCCAGACTTCCGAATATGACATTAGAAGAATTTGCTGATTCAGAGATGAAAGTAGTATTTTTAATAGATTCTAGTTTGCCAAAGATTAAGAAGTAAAAATGAAAAAAGCACAAGAAGAACAACTAAAATTAGAGTAGGATAAGGATGATGATAAAGATTATTGGGCAGATTAGTAAACATCAAAAGATAGAAACTGGGATGATTGGAAAGATGACAATGAAAAGGAGCTGGTAATAAAATGGGTAGATGATATATAATACATCATTATTTTGATTTTATGAAATTGTATGAATCATGGCACATTTCTGTCAATCCTCTCTTAGCTATCCATCCTAATTTTTCTTTTGTTTTGTTTGGATTAGCTACCAATATGGCAACATCTCCCACTCTCTTATCTGTAATTTGATATTTGATAGGCACTAGTTTTGAATATTCATTAACAATATCTAACACACTAAATCCTTTTCCTGTTCCTATATTAAAATAATCATAATAGTTTTCCTTCTTTTCATCTTTTTTTATCAACTCTTACAATGCAACTACATGAGCCTCTGCTAAATCTAAGATGTGGATATAATCTCTTATGCCTGTACCATCATGGGTATTATAATCATTTCCAAAAACATATAATTATTGAAGATTCCCTATAGCTACTTATTCTATATATGGGAATAAGTTATTGGGTTTGTTGGGCATCTCTCCAAGCTTACCATCTTTGGTTGCTCCAACTGGATTAAAATATCGTAAACAAAGATATCTACCACCTTTCTTTGATAATGATCTAATCAAATACTCAATAACCACTTTTGTTTCGCCATATGGATTTGAAGGTTTAAATGGAGCCTCCTCATCTACAAATTCACCAGGAGCATAAACTGTAGCTGAAGAGCTGAATAAAAAATTCTAGCATTTATGTTCTTCAGCACAATTTAATAGATTCAAAGTGCCTACAACATTATTTTGATAATATTTTATAGGGTTTTCAACGGATTCCCCGACAGCCTTTAATGCTGCAAAGTGTATAATATAATTTATTGGATTTGTCTCTTTGTATTTCTTAAAGACTTCATTCAGTTCATTATAATTCTGAATGTCTACAATGTGCAAATCTAACTTCTCGCCTATTATACTTGTAATAGTATCCAAAACTTAAATGTTGCTATTACTCAAATTATCCAAAATGATTATCTAAATTGAACATTATACGTACTTTGTATTGTTTCCCAATGGCTTTATACAATTCAGTTATCGTGATTGATCCTATATAACCCAAACCTCCTGTAACTAAAATTGATTACATAATATAAAGAACAAAAATTAATTATTATCATTTTTATTAAGAGTTATTATTAACATTTTGTTATAATGCTTTCACTTACCAATGAATTAGATTATTAATTCTGCATCTCACTGTTAAAGGTTTTGGAGTCAATTGTTAAGCAGAACTAGTTTAAGTCCTAAATGTTAAGCTAGTTTAAAGATTATTAAAATTATTAATTGTTTGCAGGTTTAATTTTGGAATATTTTTTTATGTTTTTTCTTTATTAGAATTCTTTTCTAATTTGTAAATCATCAACTTTTTTAGATCATTTGCTTTTAATTTTGATTGCTGTTTATCTTTGCTTCTCTTTTATTCATAGGGATTATTTGAGGATGAGATTGGATTTAAAACACTGTTAAAATTCGTTTGATTTTTGTAACAATCTAATTAGTTAGTTACTTTAATTGATCGATTAGAACAACTCTTTAGTAAGGAAGTTCTATTAATTTCTTTAAATGAATCTGCCTTATTAACTTTACTTAATATTTAATGCAATCCTTTGTTATTTTAGACACATTTATTCCTTTATGATTTTGGAGTGTTCTTTCCCATATCCTTGATTGATTTCATTATTTTAAGTTCTAGCTATTTCATTTCAGGTATTGAATTTTTGGTTTCTTTGGTTTAATCCACTTTATTTTCAAGTCTAGCTCTGCTTAATTTAGAATATTTATTAAACAATGAAATTAAGCTTTCCTTTTGAACATTATTTTCTTTAGTTCTCTCTTAAGATGTCTTAAGTACCTTACTGACGGAGTCTGTAGTAAATCTAGTTGATAAAGGAACTCTGATATCATTGCAACATTTACTTTAGGTCCTTGATGATTGAGACAAAGCAAACTCGTCTAACTTTAGAGATTTTTTAAATAAAGGATTTTGCTTTTTAAATACTTGATACTTCTAAACATTTTTCTGATTGTTTATTTATTGTGGATTGAAAGCTTTCAACATTTGAATAATCTCACTTTGCTAATCTTCTTGGATTTTCGAGATTTTACTAATTTCTTCTTAATTTAACTCTTCTTATTATTTTATATCTTGAAGAATGTTTTCAACATTGTTGTTAATAGTTGAATCATTACTGCTTTCGGATTACGGAGTTGTTTGGGTTTCAATTGGTTTATCCCCCACTATACCTTTTGGAGGTCGATTTGGATTGTTTCGATTCTCATATTCAATCTATCTTTATATTTTGTAGTATTCAAGTTTTCGCTTTTTATCATAATACAAATTCAATATTTGTATCAAATTCTTGTGAACAGTAAACCGAGGCAAATCGTTGTGATATTTGTAGAACTCTGTTAGTAATTTAATTTTAGCAATATATTCATTAATATAGTAATATCTCTTCATTCTTTCTCCTAATTCTTAAAATTGTGTATCATCCTTAATTTATCACTAATTGCTTACATAAAATTAAATAGTAGCAGGTGTTCTGTTCTTACCCAAAATATCATTGATTTCTCTTGTGAAGTAATAATTTTATGAGGCTGCATACTTATGATAAAGAGTATGGTTGATAATGTTACTAGGAGCAGATTCTGATTGATAATTTCTAACATAGCCCAAGGTTTTTAATTAACATTTATGCTATTAATTCATATATAATTAAATAAGTAAATGTCTGACGAATTAAATTCAAGTCTTGATTCCCTTGAATTGGATTTATACCACAAACCTAATCCTCGAATTAGAATGATCCTCAATTACCTCAGAGCCTAAAATATCAAATTTTGCACAGACCCAAAGAAGAAAGAAGAAGACTACTATTTTAAAGGAGCTTCACCAGAGATCAATCCTGATCTTGATTTTGGAATGAGAAAAAATAGATTTTTAAAAAGAGGTCCCCAACGAAATGGTATCACTTTAGTTTCAAATACATCCTGATTTACTATTATATATAATTTATTTTTTAGATTCAGTAAGCTTCTATATTGATATCTATTGGTCACTTAGATGTAGCATCATTCATGCTAGATCATTTATTTTCACTATGAACATTGAAATGAAGTTGCGATGAGCGAGATGTGTTTGATTTGAATCTTTGATTAATCAAATTTGATTTCGTTTTTAAAATGAAATTTGGGAGAGTATGATTTAATTATGAATTTCATAAAATATTGACTTATATATCAAAATTTATTGTTAATATTAAAATTGTATAATAGTCAATTAACTTAAACTATTGCATGACATAAAAACTTGAACTCTTGAAATTTATATTATAATGTTTATAATTTTATTATTCTAGACTATTTATTCATTGGGGCCAGCCAATTTTTTATGTGGATTGAGACTCTATTATGCCCAAGAATCATATTTCCTACTTGACTAATAGAATGAGAAGTAAATTGTATTTATTATACTTGAGTACTATGCCATACATCCTTACAAGCAAATCTCCTCATTTTGCATTGGATGTTTAATAGAACTATTAATCAGCACATGGGATGAACAATAATTCATATTTTCTCATTAATTTCCCTGATGCTTACATATTTGCAGGAAATGCTAGTGATCTATAATGGTTGTAAATTTAGGAATTCAAGGTAAAACAAAATTAAACTAAAGCTGACGTTTTAATCTATAATGATTATTATGGTTATTATGTAGATAAAGCAAATCAAGGTGGTCATTTGTTAATTTCTAAACAAAATCTGATTAGAGAATTTACATTTGGTAAAACGGATGCAGTTGATAAATACCTCAAACCTGGATTTATTTATATTATTGCTTGGTCCTCGCAAGGAGATGTTAGTATGATATTCAAAAGGTTTATCTAATTCATTACTTAATCAGAAGGCATTAATTATTGCGAATTAAAGACTATAACGAATTCTTTAGATTAAATAAAATGTAATTTGGATTTTAATTTCGATCAATTAACTTTCCATACTCCGGATCTCTATCATCCACCAGTGCATTATTATTTAGGGAATCAGACCATCAATGGTTCTCTTACAAACCAATACTTTACAAAAAATTATCCAGGATTATAAGTTTTTGTTGCTTAGAATTTAAGCGATACATTAGAAATTAGATTACCTATAAAAAACATGGAAACTCATTAAAATGCTGTTGAATCTCCTCTAAGTGGGTTAATCATTACGATTTAATAAGAAAACAGAGGATTTATACATATATTAATCTTTGAAAGCGATGAGGGAATCATTATCAACTATAAAGAAGATGAAAATTTGGCTTATGTCACTATAGGAAAGACAGATTCAAAAGTGTTTGTGTTTTCATTTGTTACCTCTTCTTTTACAAAATTTCCTTAAATAGAATTAATATAGCATGTATTTCAAGATTGCGTTACGATAATTTAATAGCGTAATAATATTTGCGAAAAACCAAATAAAGAATGTTAAAGTCTTTCATATGATTATTTTCATTAATTTGATTTTAATTTAAATTTTGATTAATAAGTAACATTTAAAATCAATGGAGAATCATTTTAAGCTCCTTACATAGAATTGTATGATGATTTAAGTACAATTTAAAATGAATTTACTAATTTTATATCATCAACAATAAACAATAGGGAAATGAATCATGGGGGATATATTGGGTCATTTTTGAGAATTACTAATAAAAATCAAAGCATTAATTCATTAATAATCAATGAACAGAATGAAAAATTAGAGGTGTATTATAATATTAATGATAACATATGTATGTAATTTTATGCTATTCATAGATTCCCATTCAGTTTAAAATATTATTGGAAGAACGTATGTTTTAGTATTTGTATCATAAAACGAATTAACAGATATGGAATGTCTATAAATTTTTAGAGAATTCATTCACCATATTCAAAAAATCTTCATAATTGAATAATGTAAGCAATGATAAAATAATGATAGTGGAGTAAAGATGTGAAAGTTAAATCAACAATTTTGATGTGAAACCCATTCAGTATAAAGATATTCACAAATTAGTAAAGTAACCAACTGAATTGCTTTAGAAAACTCACTAATAAGATTTTGATAAGTAAAATGATTTTGAATATTCAACCAATGAGGATCCAGACGAAGATTTAGAATATTTGGATGAAGATGAACAAATGTACGCTATGGATTATGAAAATTAAGCATAATTTATGCCTGATAATTAAGAATAATTTATGCCCCAAAATTAAGATTAATTTATGCCTTAAAATTAAGCTTAATTTATGCCTCAAAACTAAGGATAATTTATGCCACAAAATTAAGGCTAATTTATGCCTTAAGATTAAGGTTAATTTATTCCTTAAGATTAAGGATAATTTATGCCTCAAATGTAAGGCTAATTTATGCCACAAATGTAAGGCTAATTTAATCCTAATGAAGATCCCTCAATGGAAATGTCTTAAGAATAATTTATGGAATATCAAAGAATGTTGGACATGGAGTAATAATAGCAATTTTAATAATAGTATTAATAAGAATAATAACAACAACAATCTAGAAAAGTTGAGGAAATTCATTTTAACAATCCTGGAAATTAAAAAAAATAATAATAATAAATCCATAAAGTTGAATAAAAAGTTTAAAAAAAGTAATAAAACTAAAAAACTGTATAAAAAAAATAAAATGTAAAACCACCTGAAAAGGTTCAATAGAATTTAAGATAAAATAAATAAAAAAATTTGTAATAATAATAACAATAATAGTAATAATAATAATAATAATAATAATAATAATAATATTAAAACTAATTGCCTTCTCATAATGAAGATTCAAAATATTAGCAAACGTTTCATTAAAAAGAAGAGTATTAGGATAAAAATGATAGGTATAGAAGAAGAGATTATAGAGAAAGAGGAGATTACCCTGGAAGGAGAGATGAATATTATGGCAGAAGGGAAGATTACGGCAGAAGGGATGATTATGGCAGAAGAGATGATTATGGAAGATCAGATGATTATTATGGTAGAAGGGATGACCATTATGGAAGAAGAGATGATTATTATGGGAATGATTATGATAGGGAAGATGGTAGAAGAGGGCCTGCATTGACTGGTTAAACCATAATGGTTCCTAAAAATCCAAGTGATTAAGAACTAGGCAGATTCTTTAGAGAAGTAATAGGAAGATTATAAAATAAAGGAAAAAATTGAAAATATAAAATAATATACATCTTCAAAATTTTTACCATATTCCAAATATTGAAACAGATTTTTTATTATTAAATATTGCTTAAGATTTTATTATTATAATAATAGGTTTATTTAAGTTATTTAATTTTATTTATAACTAATCACTGCAATGAATATTTTTATTTAATTTATTAATCCAAATGCAAGCTTCATAAGAGAAAATACCAAATTTAGATCTCAGCAATAGAAGATCACAATCAATGGTCACTTCAGATCCAGCCATTAAGAAACTTAAATAAACATTGTAGGTTGATAATGAAACTAGCACTCGTTAATTGAAACGAAAGTAAGGCGATATTTTGGATTCAATTCTTGAGGATGCGAATTTGATACTAAGAAATAAACTTTTGGAAAAGAATATTTATTAACTGAAGGAATTAGGATTACTTAAATAACATGATCCTACTATAGCAGTTCAATAAGGATTTAAAAAAAGTAATTATGTGATGAATGATTATCATAATAAAAGTACTACAAATGGATATGCCAGAAATTATGGAGGATTGTTTTATAATAGATGATTTATCTTAATAAAATTTAATAAACAATTAAAATACTACTTCTAAATAATATTCATGTAAAAATATGGCCATTCTTAATTATCATTATTCTTAATCTTCTAGTTTGGGTTGCTTATTAAGATTTTCCATAAACTTCTCTAACGGACTAATTGTCTTAGCATTTAATTCTAACTATTTATTCTTCTACATTTGTTTTAGAATTTTTTTGTTTTTTTTCGTTTCTTCCATATCAAATAAGGTTTAATTATCAGATATTTATAAGCCTGACTGGCCATATCGATTTAGATGTTTAATTAATTATATTTTAAATTTCTTTTTTTACTCATCTAACCTATTTTCTATTTCATTCAAATCATTTCTATGTCCAAGCATAGGTTATTGTTATACAAATTAATCTTTTGTTATTATCGGTTGGAGTAAATTAGGAGAAGGAATCATAGATTGATATTTCCTGGATAATTCTTAAAACTCATAATTTGAGAAATCCTCCAAATTAGACTATCTATAGATTTCCTTGTTATAGGATGAATAATTTCTAAGGTTCTATTTTTCTTATTTCTTCTTCTTTAATGCATATTCATCATCTTAAGAATGATAATGATTTTAAGAATTCAAGTCATTTGAAAAATACACGCCATCACTTAATTATTCTATTATTTTGTTATCACATTCAATAAATTAACTAGGATTGCGATGAAATAATTCAAAGCATGGAAATGCACAGATAAATATTTTATTTTCATTGAGTAGTTTTTCACATAGTCTACATCTATAAAAAGGTTTAGTTAATTAATTGAATTTCATACAAACAACACAATACTTAAATGATTCCTCTTATTTTTAAGGGATTGGAGTATGATATGATTCAGAGTATTATTTGCTTAGGCCAAACTCTAATGGCAATGTATTGGTAGTACATTCTTAAAATGTTGAATTCATTTTTTTTTTTGCTTTCTATAAATTACTTTCTATTTGTTGCGCTTTCTCAAAAGTAAAGATTTTAGCTAAACTCAATCTAAAGTTGGATTATAGCATGTCCTCAATCAACAATGAAGTATTATAGATCATAACTTCAAAGTATTCTTCAAACTCTATTCTTAATTAATTGAATCCTTCGACACTGTTTAATTAGGAACATAAGTAAAAATTGCTTCTATATTGTAATAAATTCATGATTGAGTGTTCGTAGTATTGTTATTAAACATCCTTATAGACTTTAAGAAAACTTTGATTTGAGATTGATTGTTTTTAGGGGAATAAATGTACTTAGTATTGATTTTTGATTAAATATAATTATTCTATTTAATATTCACCTGGCAATAAGTTTTAAATTGTTTGATGTAATCTTTTTTCATAAGTAATAACAGGGTAGATATCTTAATCAGTTAATTGTATGATTCTTTCCAAGCTCAATTCAAACATGACATATAATATATGATTGTGATTAGAGTATTTGAAGAGCATTCTCATAAGTCGATTAATCCTATCCTCTTATTGAATCCTATCAGAAACTACTATCAAATCTATAATGATAAGTCGTGAGAAATCAAAGAGATAGTATGCTGTATATGCCTTATAAATTTACTCAATAAGAATCAATTCTTATTCTGGTTAGCAAATAGATTTAACTTGTTTCTGAAATTATAGTACTTCATTTAGCAATTTAGATTTAGCATTTTAGTTAAGGTACATAAATAAATGAGTGTCTAGAAATTTAAATCTGCCAATGGGCATCATGTATTCAATCCCGCATCTAAGCCAAGGTTCTGCATTCCAATAATCGTCAATGTAAGGAAATCTAAAAATTCCAAATAATATTTAGAGTCCAAAATAAAGTTGGATCTCTGTTTCTTTATATTTCTTTTTATTGTATTAAGATGCAATTTTAGAAGGTTGTTACTTTAAGTCTTCTTCTAGAATTGAAAACAAATATTGATTAACTAAATCAGTTAAAGTGACAATGAGAGAAGTTGGGAAGAAGTGATCATATACATTTTATGGTGTTTGGAGTTAGACAATTTTCTTAGCATGATATTATGAATAATCCAAAATGTCAGAGGATGTTGGTATGATTGCTTCAATGATTTTGAAAGTTCTTTCCAGATTTATTTAAGAGTTATATTCTCTTTCATCATCAGAACGTGGTTAAGTACAATATTCTTCACAATCACTAAGAGTAACTTCTTATTTCCAAAGGCAATTATATTTCCTAACTTTTTCTGAGATTTGTTATGTTTGGGGCAAGGAAGTCACAACTGTAGTAGAATTGATTATCACTTCTTGTTTCATAGTAATTATTAAATTAGCAGGTCTGATATGGGATTAGATAATTATCTTGGAAATAAAGAGATTTTTATTGATATCCTTTTATTTTTTTAGAAATTGTAATTATATGCATATGTCTATATTTGCTTATTTAATATAGAGACAATATGAAAAGTTTAAATTAAATAATTTCTTAATTTCTCTCTTAATGCAACGCGAAAATTATAATGATAATAAAAGTAGAAGCAGAAGTCGCAGTAAGTCTAGCAAAAGGAACAATTAACATAACCAACCCTAAAATTAGAAATCTCAAAAAGAAGGAAATTGTTACTAAAATGATAATAAAGAATATATATCTCACAATTCTAGTCCAATTAGATTATAAGAAGAACATCATATTAGCGATGAACATACTAAGTAAATATTGTGATAATGCAGAGAAAGCAAAGAAGAATATAAGATCTTAGATTAGAATTAAAAGATCAATCTAGCGCCTAATAATTAATTTTAAATACAGTGTGAAAATTTAGATTTGGGCAATAGACATTATACAACGATTCCTCTACCTTAGAAGGATCTTAATAGTAACATAAAGGAGTCCCTTGATAAATAGGTATATGAAATGATCACGATAAATGACAGTAGCCAAGAAGACAACCGAGATGCTGGCAGTATTGGAGATAAGACAGGGCATCATCATGATATCGATTAAGTTGAGAATTCTAAAATGGATTCAACAAGAAATGGCCAACTAGGATAAAAAATACCAAAAATTTAGAAAACAAAAATAAAAAGAGAATCGTAATAACAAACTAAATAAACAAAATAATCTTTTGATTGTATAGATTTAACTAAGGATGATACTATCTTATCCTTTTTTGGACTTAATCATCCAATGTTATAAAGTTCTTTGGAATACAATAAAAATGAATTATTCGAATTAGTGGAGCCTTATGAATATTAATGTGGAAATTTCATGATTAGTTTAGGAATACAAGGCCATTATACTGCTATTGTCACTCTGCCTAGTCTATCCTAAAAGAAGGCTGTTTATTATTTATTTATGAAGTTCCAATTTGATCAAAAAAACGTTTATTGCATGATCCCTGAAGATGACTAAACAATATTACTGGTTAATTCTAATATTTAAACACTTTATTATTACTGTAACTCAAATACTCAATAAAAGGGAAACCATAAAACAACCTTCTAAGAAAGCATCCTGAAATACAAATTTCCATATATCTTTCCAACTCTAATCCGAAAATTTGTAGTTTCTTATTAAAAAAATGATTAATAGATTCGATATCAAATCAATTATGATTCGCATGCTATTCAACTGGCAATTGAAGATTATTATTAGGATATTCCTGGGCATTTAATAACAGGTACTAGTCATCCTATATTGAAAATTCTTTTTATTAAAACGCAAAATAATTAGATTCCTTAATTTTACTACAAGTTTTTAAGTGTTCCACTCTATGAAGGACAATTCAGTTTGAAGGCTTCACTTCTACAAAATTCCAATTTAATTGTTGTAGAGAGAAGGTTAATTACTAAATAAATTTTTAGGTTCTTAAGTCCCTTCTGTTATGGCATCCATTCAATCAAAATCGAAGTCAATCGAATTACAAATGTTATTATAATGAAATAATCTGGAAAAGATTAAGAAATTCAATCAAAAAATATTCAATAATTTTGGGATGAAGTCCATTAAAAATATCTTTAATTATATCCTTCGTATAATTTTAATTTATCTTTAGGAAATTGTTATATAATTACTTTGTAGAACTCATAAACTAGGATAGAAAAGTGTTAGAAAAGTATAAGAAATGGAATCAATTAAATGAGTACTTGAGTAAATCTCAGTAATTCAAACCTAATAAGTAGAATGAGAAGCCCATTATCCTCAATAATAAGGAATTCTTTTGTTTTTCTATAGAGGACATAAAAAATGGAAACAGAATTAAATATTAATGATAAATATGAATAAATTATAGTTTGTCTTTAAATTTTCAAAAGTAAATCTATAAACTTGAGAATGCCCAAAAATACATCTCTGATTTAGTCTAAAAGACTGATTGGATCTGTTTTCCAATATCTAGACATGTTTCTTAATAAGTGAAGTATTTATTAATAAACGAAAAAAGATAAGATTACTTGAACAATTTGTCTTCATGCAGCTGCAAAAATAACTCATTACAAAAATACCTATTTCAAAAAATGATAAACTAGCAAGTAATAAGTAGAGAAATCAGAATTTGCAAATATTGTATTTGATAAGTCAATAATGATAATAATCATTTTAGTATAGAATTGCTATATTGACAATTATAAATTGTTGGTATAATTCAATAATTATTACTAATTTTTAATAAGATTGTAAATTAATTTTAAATTTACAATATATAGGGCTACTACTGCTGAAGCAAACAGATGATCACAATTTATATTGCTTTTATTTTTAATGAGAATGGATATTGAAAGCCTAGATTCAAAATCATTAGCAGAGTTATGAGCATAAACAGTTGGCTATACAGAATATCAAAACTAGTGCCTTTGACACTTTAAGATTATAAAATTAAATTTACCATATGATATGAAATTTAAACATAGTATAAATCTTCGATCACTTTGGGATAGAATTAAGGGTACTATTATAATAGATTTTCAAGGGGAACCTAAGGAAAAACTATTTGATGCAGTTTAGAAGAGGCTGCTTTCACTAGACCGCAATTAATCAAAAAGGCTTAATTTAAAGATAAAATTATAGATTAATCTTTTCAGAGCCTTTCTACACTAATTCAAACTGAGCAATATTTAGAAGAACTCGAATTCTATTATGTTAAGATATTTGAAAAGCATAGTTCCATTTATATTAAAGCGATCAATCAAAATTCATATGTATAGTTACCATTAACTTTGTTTAAAATAGCAGAAAATGAGATTTCTAAATAAAGATTACGAATCCTAATGAATATTTATTTATTGAAATTAAATTAATTTTATGAAAAAGTCATATTCATAAAATAATTCAGGACCTTTTGATTTTCCAGAAGTTAATAAACCCAGGTTCGAACCTTAACTTCATAAAATCAGTGCAAGCACTCAGTAAAAGGTTGTAATATAGAAATTGACTAATTCTCTCAATAATAATAAAATTGTTACACAATCAACAGAATTACCTCAGACAATTAGAAGTTAAATTTAAAAGCCTTTAATTAATTCAGAACGATTTATGTTTGATTTAGATGCTTCAATGGTTTATATTCATAGAGAAAAAATAAGTTAATTTGAAGAACTTGAACAATAAAGGATTCTATAATTATTAAAGGATGTGCAATCAAAAGTTCCTTAAGTAAATGATAAAGTAAATCATTTCATAGGATTAGCAGGATAGTTCGAAAATGAAAAAGTCAATCCATTAGTGAATTAATTCATAAAAATAGTTGAATAATTATTGTAAATTTTGGATGAGAAAACAAAGGAAATGAAAGAATATTAATTTGCATTAAAGCAAAGCAGAGAGCAAGTGTAAAATAATAGTAGGTTGATTGAAGATTAATCACAGATGATAAAATATATGGAAAGTCAAAATTAAAATGCTAAAAATGTGACCAGAACCTTTTAGAGATCTAATGAATTGGCTGTAATAAACGTTTAGCTTGAGAAGAAAGTTGAACTTTTGAATTAAAATTTATAATTTTTAATGAATCAAAACAAAGATAGTTTAGCCACTCAATTATAATAGAAAATTGATTAACTAAATAAAACTATTGAGGAACAACAAAATAAATTATATGATGATAACAATAAAGAGATTTAATTGTCACAATAAATATAGGCTCTCAAATCAACCGAATTTAAACATTAAATTCAACTTAAGAAATTAGAAGATAAAATCTAAGATTATGAAATAAAACTAAAAGAGTTAACTTTTTAGGCTTCATACTCTAAAGAATAAAAGGATCAATATCGAGAACTATATTATATGACATATGAAGATTTATAGATGAATAAATTGAATACTCAAATGGAAAGAAAACAAATGCAAAGGAGTTTTGAAAAAATTAGAATGCTATAAGATAGGATAGATGAAATGACAGTCAAAAGAAGTAAAGAAGTGGATGCTCCTTTTTAAAGCAGAGTTGAAGGTGATATGGTCTAATTATAAGCAATTACCAAGATTTTAGATGAAGATCACGTATTTTAAAGGTATATGATGAGTAGTTTCCTAAAGAATGTCCAAGAGTATGATTCAAAATTAGTAGATGCATATGTTGATGTGAAAAGGCTAGTTGTAGGCAGAGATGAAGAAGCAGAATTATAAACATTAAGATATAATTATCCACCATTCACTCTATTTCTGGAAAAGAGGATTGTCGATTAGGAAACTTAATATTTATAAATAAGACCAATCTCTAATAATTTTATGGGTCTACTTAGAGCTATTTTGGATGGCATGCACATTGAATTTCAAAAAAACACTTGCATTTCTTTTTAAAGTTATGTAATTTCTTGGTTAAGTACATTCACAATTGAGAATCATCAAGTTATAATATTTCCGGATGATACAAAAAGAGTATATTTATAAACTATAAATTAAGGTCAAGATAGAAGAGTAATTGCACACTTTTTATCTAGATTTGATGGTACCTAGATTAGATAAAGTTTGGGAAGTAGTACAATTTAGACATTTTTTAAATGACATCTATTCATTAGAGGAATTATATTTCTATCTTCATGCTCGCTTTCTGTTGAGAAGGGGACCTTGGATGGAAACCTTTGATGCAATATATGGTGTAGTCCATTATATGAAAGTACAATAAGCAGAATCCATAATACTCAGGTTTTTAGAATAATTTGATAAAATCAATTAAACTTTAGTAATAAGAGCAGTAAATGAGCGAATCGTAGAAGGAAAAAGTAATTTATATATTTTAATTAGATAAGAAGATAGAAAATTAATATAAACTGGCTTTGTATTATAGTTACTGTTGGAAATTTTCAGAATAGATCGAATGAATAGATACAAAATTCTATCTTTTGCGTTTCCAGCATAACCCATAACCTTTAAATAGTTTCATAAGTTTGTGAGGGGAAATTTTTCAAAATGTACTGAAGGCGAGACTGCTGATTTATGGAGGGAAGTCTATATGATTTCAAATGGTATTCCAAATTTGAATTCGTTTTTCACTGCTGCTTAATCCCTATTTATCAAGTCTCTAATTCTCCCTGCAATATATACTCTTCCTCTTTTGGATTCTAATAAAAAATTAGCCTTTGATGAATTAAACTTCACTACAATGAAAATCTAAGAATAAATGAAAGAACTTGCCGATTCTGAGTTGGATGTTCTCAAAACATTAATTCCTACAATTTATTAGGAAGAAATGCTCAGAATAATAAAATAATTATTACCAAAAAATTAAATTCAATTTGTTAATCCTCTAGAATATATATTTAAATTTATGAAGCTAATCCTCACATTGAAATATAATACTATTCTAGCAGATGGTCTAGAAGAAGATGGTGTAAATAGAAAAGGTTTTATCACTGAAACATTTACTTAATTTATCACTTAAGAGATTAATGATTTGAATAAAATTACTTATAAAAAGCAATCGTTTATGTCAGATTAAGAAATTAGAATATCCAGACTACAAAAATTTGCCAAGAAAAAAGTAAAAAAAATTTATGTTATCATGTCATCTGTATTACAATCAAGAATTAAATAATGATATTATTTCACATATTATCAAAATCGTTGAAACTCTGTATCATTGCTCCTTAATTAATATACTATCCAACGTCATCTACAACTTATTAAATTAGTTATGTTTGCTATGGTTGACCTTGTGCCTAAGAAGTTTAAGTTTATTATTATGGATCTTTTGGCTTAGCAGGCTTTCTTTTAGTAGCCCTGTAATCTTCAACAATTTTCTTTCCTTTCTCCAATTTAGTTTCTGAGGTTTCATTTATGAAATCGCCTTCATTTTATTCTTGTTGATCTTTCTCATACAATCTTATATACATATTATTTAATAATGGTATTAGAGAATCCTATTTAAATAGCTCAATAGTCCTTCTATAAGATTCAGATTTCAATATTATGTCTCTAATTAAAATTTTATCATCAATCCTTTTACATTCGTCTAGCAATCCGATACAGGCCTAAAATAATCGAATATCGTAAGTTTTATGCAGTTTTTCAAAAAGTTAATAGATATCCTTGAATTTTTGCATTTTTAACAAAATTTTGATAATTAATTTGATTATTTTAGACTTTTAATAATTAAAGATGAGGTCTTATGAATAATAGTGACTGAGTACTTCATCTTTTTCACACTTGTATTTATCAATTTATAAGTAATAATACACAAGATCTCTACTGTTTGGTTGATAAATAGAAGATATTTATGCAAAAACTTAATCTATAGGGGCTTAACTGTTAAATTTTAAATGTGTTGCATAATAGAATGATTCAATAACATACCTTTAAGCCTTTTTCCTTACCAATTTTTGTGTATTCTCTATGAATATAGTTAAAAGGTTATTCAAAATTAAATTAACTTCTTATGTATTGTATTCAGTGTTCTCCTCTTATTCAAGTTGTTCTTAAGTAAAATTAGATATTTTGAATTTCCTATTGTCATATTAAAATTAAAATTATAGATCACTCTGATTTTAATTTAATAAATAAGAATACTTTTCTTTGATTATTTAAACTAATTGATTTAATTGGTTGTAAAGTCTGTGCCTTAGAAACCTTCTGATAAATTTATAAATATTTATATAAAGATCCTACTTCATTTCTTGTTCACCGTCATTGGATTGATAAAAATATTCAATTTCATATTCTTTCATTTACTTGATTAAATCAACAAGACTGCAAATATTATCTAAATTTTAACTAATTCTTTCAATTGGAATATTCCTATATTTTCTCATTACTTTTTTTTCATAAAGTTGTAAAACCCTGAAGTTGTTCTCTATTTCAAAAGCATCTTTTGGCAAATTGAATTATTTCTGATAAAGTGCCTAATATCCTTATTCTGTCTTTTTATACAACTATTCATTACTTGAATGTTAATATTCAACCTACCTTTGCATTAATTTGATAAGGTCCATAATATATCTATATTCATTTAAGTGATTTAATTGAGGATTCTTATTCACCAGTGCCTAAATCTTTTTCTAACTTAAAAACCAATCAATTTCAGTTTAATTCTTCTGCTTAAATTACTTTTGGGCTTATTCAAAAGTACCTTAATACAAATAATTCCATAAAAATGGTGATTCTTTATAAGCTAAAGCATAACAAATATTTTTAAAATCAATCTTTTGTTGACTTTCATTAAAATTCAGTTCTTCTGATTTTTGAATTTGATAATATAAGTTTGATTTGTAATCACACTACAAATTGTTCTGATGAATACATTCTTGAAATTCTTTAATTGATTAAACTTTTTATTTCTGCTTAGTAAATATTGATGAATATAACCATTCAGCAAATTCCTAAATTTTAGTATCATTAAATTTTTGCAGAGACTTCTTAATGACATCAAGAATAAATTGATTTAATTATCTCTAATCTTAAAATAGCTTTGAAAAATGAGTTAAGAAATAACCCATGAACTGAAGCTCAATCTCAGATAAGTCTCTTGTAAATTCTTACAATAGATAATAACTTTTTAAGAATATGTACTAAAAGTTTTTGCTTAATTCTTTAGTACTTAATCCGAATTCAACTCTAATTTTCTCTTTAGCAAATCTCTTTATATGTTCAATAATTTTTGGATCTCCCATATTAATTTTGATAGTATGATTTTATAAGAATTCAACTGATTTAGTGGGGAACTAATAATTATACTTTCCTATCTTAAAGGCATTTTCTGTTTGTTCTTTTGTTAATTATAGATTTTAGTATGATTTCTAGAATATGTCATCCGATTCTACTTCATCCTCAGAAGCACTTGAAAATGATTCTGGCTAAGGGTATTTACTTTCAAATTTTTCAATTTCAATTTGCAACTCATTTTATTGGACCATAAATTAAGGTGTGTATTGGTCTTTTAAATCTAACAAATGAATCAAATAATAACGAAGCTCTAAATCATTTTAAACACTGTTTTTATATTAATCTATTAATTGATTATATCTATCTTTCATTTATATTTTTGCTTTAATGAACTCTTGAAGGATGAGATCTATGTTTACATATGTGAAAAGCTTGTTTATATTTAGATGATGAAATCTTAGAATTTCCATCAAAATTAGATGCTTATTATAGCCATTTGTTTGAGTTAAGAATATTTCAATAAATTTAGCCAAAAACTCACTTGAATCATATTCCATTAAAGAATAAATTATGGAAAATTTCAAGAATATAAAGCCAATTAAAAGATCAGGTTAATTGATATTCAAAAATTACTAAATTAATGGTTATACAAATCTATAAATTACTTTAAGTTCTTCCTTTTATTGTACAAAATAAAATTAATTAAGACAAATTATAGCTAACCTTTTGACTAAATCATAACTTTAATTCTATTATAGATAGTCTTACACATAATTGATTTAAGTTCTAATTTTCTCATTATCTTCTAATCTCTATTCTTTTTATTCCCATTAAGTAAGAATTTATTAAATTTATTAGGATTAATGTGGTGAGTTAGAAGAAATTTAAAATTATGCAGATTTTATCTTATCTCTAATTTCTTAAGTTATTTCTGGGTTATTTAATTCTAATACACACAATTTTGCTATTCTTCCTTAAAAAAAATTGATATCACTATGTATCTAGGCCATGACTCTGTAATATTTTGATAAATATGATTAGATTTCTGCTTGATCATTTATTACTTAAGCGATATTTGTTTACAAAAGTTCTAATTTCATATTATTAATAAAAGTAATAAAATTTTTAATTTTGTTTTGTTGTTCTGGAGATTTTGGTTTCTTTTCTTTAAATCTCAAAGTTAATTCTTCATATGCAACTTCCAATAATCTCAATTTAATTTTAGGATTATCAGTAAATTTGTTCGTTGAGTATTAAGCCCAAACAATACAATTTATTAAACCTCTTAGAGCTTCGTGGTATGAAGAACTATTAGAATTTTTACTTTAGGGACTTTTTTATTGTTCACTTACCATATCCTATTATTAGGGAGGATTCTCATACAATTAATAGTCTTAACAAATTAATGTTATTAGACTTTGTAATAATTCAATTATTGTCAAGAACTATTTTTTGTTTAATTGTTCCAATAGAAATTTAGCTACAGGACACTCTTACTTTTCATTTTATTCACTTGAAATTTTATTGTTATTATTATTAAGTTAGAATATTTCATTTCCATCAAATTACTTCATTAATTCTATTAATTTATTGTGATTAGATTGAATAATTTAATCTAATACGAATTATTAATCTTATTGCTGCTTAGATTTTTTTGACTTCTATCTTTCGGATTATTTAACTGGCTGACTTTCCTTTGGCAACTCCTTTGAAACATCTTTGGAATTTTATTGTTGATCTTTGGAAATCACTATTATTTTAGTATTAGACATAAAGCATTTCTCATTCTAAATAAAATCAAACTTTTTTGGTTCAAAATTGACATTTATTTATAAAATATTCTATATTTTTTTAAAGAATTTCTTTAAATCATAAGTATCTAATTTAATTTCAAATTAGAATGTTTAATTAAAATATTCTAACTTCTAATTTGATTCAAAGGGAATCTTTTCTAATTGTTATTGAATTTAAGATTGTTCTTTCAAAAGCTCATTAACAAAATCAGTAATATTATTTTTATCAATAAAGTATTTGTTCAATTCTGCAATTTTGTGCTTGAGATTATTATTATCAGCCATTTTATCAAAATATATTTGGAATTATTTTTAATCATCCATTAAAAAACAAATAGAACAGACTTGATAGAGTATGGCCTAGATGAGATTAGGTGAATTGCATAATTGTAGTCTATATAAATCTAATTGAATTAATACGCTTTCAATATAACATTTAAGGCTCTAGGCATCATTCCTAATTGCCTAAATATTAAAGCCATTTTTCTTTGGGTTTGCCAGCAATTATCTGAAATTAATGTACTTTGGTAATAATAATATAAAGCTTCGCATTTATTCTCTACACAATCACTTTAGGCTTGAATTTCAGCTAATGACATGTAGATTCCATATAAAATCTTTTTATCATCTTGATTAATAATGGATTGATTCTGCATTAAATCCTTCAAAATTTGTATCCCTTTTGCTTCATTCCCATTTTCAAGCAGGTCAATAGCCTATTAGTATTACTAAAATAATTCGGACTCTAGCTTCTCTTGGTTTTGACTCATTAATAAAATAAAATATTATGTAAAAAATAATAAATTCATTCTTCCTAACTAAACACTAGATCATTGAGTTGTACAAAGAAAGTAGGTAATGTAATATCTTTAGAAGGAATATAAACATCCTTAGCATATTCAAATTTGAAATCTTCATAAACACTCTCCACTAAATTTTTTGTATGTTCACTTACTAACATTTTGCCTTCCTAAAAAGAATAGAAACATAATAAATACAGAGCCTGATGATTCCATGAGATTAGCAATAGTCACATCTTCTCCATAGATATCATATCTGACAACATCTGTACCAACAACTCCCCCAAGGACTTTGCCTGTGTGTACTCCAATTCTCATATTAAGATGTTAATATTAGGGATCTTTATTGCAATCATTGATAATTTAAATCATTTTCAAACCAAAAACCAATACATTTTAAGCCTTAAATTAAGTGAATAATATACTTCTTCAGCAGGATCTCTTTAATTCAAATCCATAACTCCCATACAAACGTAACAGTCTCCTATTGTGAATAATTTATACACCTAAGTCATTTAACAAAACTCATCAAAAGTTTAAAATAAGTTTCTAAGCATTTCAACAACTGTTTCTGGTTCCACAGAACTAGAATATTTTGTAAATCCTGCGATATCTGCAAATAACACTGTTGCATTCTCTAATACATCAATAAAGGTTTCTGTGTTGTCTTAATCTGGTTACAATAGCCGTTTTAATGCATGTGGGGGCATCAAATATTATAACATGTTTTCATACTTTGCAATTTATATTTACAATTATTAACTTACCTTATAATTCTTCACTAATATTTAATTAATTTAATGTTAAGAATAGAAAGTAATTCCTATTATACTTAGTCCAAAAAATAGTATTTCTAGTATAAATTATTCATACACAGTGACCAAAACTATTAAAATAATGTAGGTTATCAATAATTTATATTTGTCTGGCACTATCAACATTTATAAGTAGAATAAATTAACATAAATTGATGTTATCTGACAAGTTTATAAGATTACTTAGTAATTTGTTGCTTCACTAAATTAAATCAAAAGAAGATTCAAGAGATTTGTAGTTATGAAATATATAAATCCTAAAGTCTTTATTTTTAAAATGTCTGATTATTCCCTATACTTATAGATTGGGATTGCCAACCCCAAGCTTATTGAAATTTAACACAATACTGTTATTAATAGTTCAATTTGAGATTTTGAACTTAAGTTTTCTAATAAAAAGTATAACAGACTTTTAAAAATCATTAAGACTAATAAGAATGAAAAGGTTGATCTAAATTTAATCAATTCTTGATCTTTATATTCTTCATAAATTTAATAGTATTATATTTGATCCTTACTATCATAATAGCTTTTAAATTATTCAGAATCATAATCCTTATCAAAGTCTAATTTGAATTTTTTGATGTTCTTCAATTTCATAAGATCTAATTTTTTCTAAAGCATGGAAATGCCCTATCTCTTATTAACTTCTAACTCCTCAAACTTTTCCAAGATGCTATCATACTTCTTAATTGCAGAATCCGATGGTTCCTATTAAATAGGCTTTATTGACTTTTATTTGATGATCTGCCTTCTTCCCACTTATTCAGCTTATTAATCATTATCAATTTAAGCTATTTTAACCACCCTATCTTTATCCTTTTCTTCAGGAATCATTATTCTTGTATTTGATTTCATTAAACAACTTTTCTTTTATTGTACTAAATCTACCATAATTATTGTTCCTTTCTTTTTCAATTAAGGCCTTTAAATCTATTGCTGGACTTGCTATTAAGGAATTTAAACTTCATCTTCATTCTTCTCTTGCTATAAACTCTCTTTGCTTGGATGTTCAGCTATTAAAAGTAACTAATTTTAAGAAGCTTATTAAAATGAGTTAATTATAGGTTACTAATTGTTATTAGGACTTTAATTGGTTTGGATATGAGATTAAATTAATTAGGGTTGGGTTTTCAAATCAATTTGTGAAAAGTGAGTCATCGATATTTATTATAAAGTTCCATTATTATTATTATTATTAGTGCCATCTTCTGATTATCTAATTAATCTCCTATGTGTATTTATACTGTTTCTCATGGTACTGATTAAGGCTGGAGTTTTTGCCTTCTGATGAATTTATGACTAATTATCATTCTAAAATAACTATTATTTTTACATCTAGATTAGATCCTGATTTTGATTTTTAAGAATTCAATCTTTTTAAATCTAAATCTTTACAATCATGTTCAATAGATGACTTTTTCTTGATTATGACTGAAGGTTACTATTTATTTTTAATGTCTTTCGAGATCTATTTGAATAAAACTAAAGGTGCTTTTGTGTCATTAGGAATTCCTGTTTAATTCATTAAAGAAGTTCTTCTCAGTCCTCCTTTGAGGGGTGTTTTACTATTATCTGAATTTTTCAATGGCATTATTTACACTTTACAATCTAATTCAAAGTTTTTGTCATTCTTATCTAAACAAGCCTTTGGAGTAATACTCTTGCTTGGGTCCTTCTCTTTAATGCATATTTTCAATCTAAAAGTTTCAAGAGTCCCTTTGCCTTTAGCAGCCACTGACTTTTATTCGAATTAATGTTTAGTAGTGTCTTTGATATGATTATAAGCAGATTCACTTAAAGTGATAAAACCAGCATCACTAGTACTGCATACTCTACTAGTAGTATTAACAGTATCTCCTATCAATGAAAATTACGGTTTATGAAATCCTATCACACCAGCAATCACTCTTCCATAATGAATTCCTATTTTAAGTTTGACATCTTAGTTGTCTCCATACTTCATTGTCTTAACTGTTTCCATCATTGCAATTGCTGTCTCTAAAGCTCTTGTGGTGCTATTGGAATTTTTTTAATCTAATTAAATTATAAAGATACTTATAACTGCATCATAATCTTTGAGACCCCCAGCTGCCATATAAGTCTTACCTACAGTCTCAATCTTTTATAAATCATATGTTTAACAAAGTTAATCAAATGCTCTATAGAGAGTATCCAAAAAATCAAGGATGTTTTCTTATTGAAATTTAATCACCTTATCGAATTAATAGATATCACAAAATAACACAGTCACATCCCCTTGATCTTGAGATATTTGAATCTACCCCTTATTCATTCTCTCCTATATAAATCTTGGCATTAACAGTCCTAGAATGTTGTTGATCTTCTTCTTCTCATTATTTAATCTGTTTTAATAAATGTAAAAGGATCTTTATAAAAAGTGAGTTTTTTGAACCATTTAAAAGACTGGATAAGATACTTCTAATAAGAGTAAACTATATTTAGCAATGCAAAATATCAGAACGGTATAATCTGAATAGGTCATTGTAAATCCATCAGAGAGTAAATTGATCACGTAATTAATTAATTACAGTGTTACATATAACAATATAGGTATTTTAGGTTGGGTTGTCATTGAAAATGCCAATATAAATGAATAATTGAATATATATCCTACAAATGTTTACTCACTCTCAAAATAGAGAATGTCGATTATTATTTAAAATAGGAACCTTAGAATATAAGAGAGAATTTGTAAGTTTTGTTTGTTCTTTTTATCATTTATAACTCTGAATTATAAGAAGGCTATAAAAATTTGGATTACAAATTATATTACCGTAGTTATGAGGATGGAGAACTAAAAAATATCTTCAGTAAATATTTAATAAAGATACATATTGATGATGCAGATATCATAAAAGATAAATGCATAAACAATATTGAATCTATGATTGTTTTGTTCTCTAAAAAAATCTTAAAAAGATGACTCTGTTTTCTTATCTTAAAATCCATGGAGTTTATCCATTTCATCTATTAGAGACTAATCTCCTTTAATTTGTTTTATAATGCACTCTTCAATTATATCTTTATTATCAAATAATTAATCAGTTAATTGTTTTAATTTTTAATTAAACACTCTTAATTTTTCATCCTCAAATTCACTAAGGGAATTTTAAGATGAGATATTGTCCCTCAATGATTTTATCTCTTGATAATTCTAATCAAATGAATATAAGTCAGATGGAAGCACAAATTAAATTGAGAAAATTTACAAGATCTCATAGAAAATATATGAAAGACCAAGTACAAACACTGCTATAAAAATAAAAGCTACAAAATTCTCAAGATCAAATTCTTCTATTATCATTTGATCATCCTCAATTGTTTATATGATGTTATATATAATTATGAGTATTGTTACCATTACAATGTTCAAGCATATTTGTATTATTTTTTGTTGGAGCTGAGTTGAGAGGGAGAAGATATAAAATATTATTTTAGATTTCTCCAAAATCTCCAAAGCTAAATAAAGCAATATTATTTACTAAGTCTAATTAACCCTACCATTTAAAGATACGAAATTTAAAATAGAATTATGGATTAAAATCAATATAAAAAAATCGATTATCGCTATTAGAATGATTTTTAAGGCTGACTTTAATAAAATCTTATTTTTTAAATTCTACAACAACCGTGCATAATTATTTGCATTCTTCAATTACTATTTAGTGTGTAACACAAACAAATAGTAATATTAGACACTTGACAGTAGATTGCTTGGTATTAAATAGAATAATAACAAGTAAAACATGTTAATATCGTTTAATTCAAAATGACCAGCAAAAATGGTTAGTCCTATCAAAGTGCATCTATACAGTTAAACTTCTATAATTGCCAAGTAGTTTAACATTTGTTTTGGACAATAAATGAATAACATTCTAAAAAGCTATTTCATGTTAGATGTGACAAATTTTGGGTGTAAAGTAGATACTAATGATTTATTTCTTAACAAACTGACTGAAACATCTGATTTTGAAAACATATACCCATTATCTAAAGAGTTCCCTACTGTCAGTATCTTTTTATCAGCCATTTTCAGCAATTTTATTAGTTTTCCTTTCTAGACACTATTTAATTGGTAAGCCCCTAGTCCAAAAGAGAATTAAACAATAAATATAAAATGGTATTTTAGATAATCGTCTTTTATAATTGTGTTAAAAGCTTGAGAACTAACAATAATAAATTGTTCTTCATTTTAATTAGCATTTTAATTCTCTAATAAGGCTTAAATATGCTATTTGACTTTGAACTGTAATTGTTATTTATCTTTTTCCTTGAATTCTACTATCTATTCTCTAGAACGTATAATTTAAAAGCTTCTTAAGAATATTAATAGTTCATCATAACTATATTAGGTAATAAAGCAGGTTTTCAAATTGAAGTTATATAGATGCTAGAATATTTTGTCTTGATCTAAAATATCATAATTTAATTCTTAAGAAGAAAGTACTAAACAATTTGAATTGTGTGATTTGATCCCAATAGAAAACATAGGCTCACTTTATTACTCTAATTCAATAAACAATTTTTCAATTTCATGAGATCTATTACCATAAGTTTCATAAATTGCCGAGAGTTTCTTTAAGAATTCATCAGTTTATGTTTAATCTAATTGTTTCTTTGTGTATAAAAAGGTCTTTTGTCCATCCCATGACATTTCAGATAAAAATTCATTGTACTTATTTTCCTATTAACTATAATTGCTAGTTTCGATGCGTGAATATAGTAATGCTCCTTCATCTAATAAAAAAGACTCTGGATCTCTCACTAACACAGATAATGTATTTTTTCTATTTTCAGTTGGTTCTAAGAATGTCAATACATCAAATATTTTAGATATATTGGAAATGGTGATTACCTTTTTAATAATAGTTTTCATATTGAATTCTGGTCTTGAATTTTCAATTTCAGTAGCACACACAAGACAATAATCAAATAGCTCAGTAAATTAAAGTATGGATTGATCATATTTATTTTCAAAATTGAATTCTAATTTCTGTAACTTTTCATTATAAAGAGTCATAACACTATTTGTAATTAGCATCATTATTAAGATTTCATTATGAATAGTGTCATCTTTACTATATAGTACATCTATGAAATCTTGTTCATTTAAGATATCGCCAATTAATCTATCTTAATTAGCTTCATTTAACTTTGATTGGGAATTTTAAAATGATGATGAATTATTTTTAAATTAAGTTCCTTAACGATTGAATTAACTTTTTTATTTTAATATGGGTGGAGATTGAAAGGATTGTGAACCATTATTATTGGATATATCTTTACTACTATCATGTGTATTTGATTAGTGATTAGATTTGGCAGCAAATGATTAATCGAAGATGAATCTAGAGCTCTTTTTCTTTCCAATTCCATTGGCTAATTTTGGTTCTTACTACTTGAAATCAGAAAGAGTGTCTTTTCTCATAAATTATAATTTCTTGATTTATTTTGTGGATACAAATGACTCTTATGAGCTTCTTAAATCAGGTACTCTTTTTTCTTGGATTAGCATTTCAATATCCAAGGTTTTCATCTCATCTTATGTTTATTAACGATTAGTGTCAATTAACATTTTATCGCAATTAGTTTTATGTTAAGGGGAAGCCTTTGTGACAAGATCTTTCAGTTTATCATAATTGAATTGATAGTTCTTAAAGTTCTACACCAATTAAACGACCTTTGGTGATTCTTTGAATAAATGCTAAGGATTTTCAAATACGATGATGTCTGTTTAAATTAGATCCAAAATGTTCTGAGGTGCTAAAGCCAAAAAGCCACTTATATTTTATTTGTTACTATTATGCTTCATTAGTCTTAATTAACTTGATGCTGGTATTAAATTCAAACTAAATTTCTTTTTTATAGGCATTAATATCTTTCTTTCATTCTAAGATGTAATGGTTACATGATTATATTCAGTTTTTATTTTCTAATCAGTTTATTTTGAATCTTTTAATGCTTGTTAAATTTAGTGTTTTTCAAATAACTAATTGTTATACAATAATATACAAAAATACCATATTTTTTCTACCAATAATAGAGCTTATGGAAAGATCAATAAGCAATAGATTAAACTATCAAAAAAGTAATCAGTTTGAGTTAGAGATGAGTATATGATATTAGGAATAAAGCATATTGAAAATAATACTCCACATAGACACACGATTTAAGTGTGGAAGTCTCTTAACCAACTTTATGATTAAAAGCTTTGCTTATTAAGATTTGTTTATACATAACGGCAATCGTCGCCAACTCTTATAGCCAATCCAAAAATCCAATCTGCTCTGTCCATAATTTCACCTCTCATTATCATATTCTTTTTATTGAAAGAGGTGGCTTTGGGATCGTTTTTCAACTTAATACTTCCAGTAATACTTTCTTACACAGTGAAGGAGATGGAGCCATTTAATTTAGTTATGAAATCCATAATATTACCTTTAGAATTGTGATTCACATTCACAAAGGTACATGGACAAGGAATACGCAATTCATAATCAGCAAGCACTTATTCCTGACTTGAATCGAGAATCAAAAGATCAGCAGGACTTTGCTTTCCATGTTTTAAACAGACTATCTATCCAACTTGTAATTCACACCATTTTATTGTGAGATACGACTTAAATCTATTTAGTTGATATTTTTGTACTCAATATAATCTTAATTATTTTCTTCCATCTTTTGGATTTCCTCATCTGAAATGTTGGGAAACTTTTGGAAAATGCGGCATTTGTTGTTGTTGATACTAGATTGTTATTTCCATCTTTAATAACTGATGAGCAAAAGATTAATTAAATATTGCAATTTATCCAACAAGTAACAAATTAAGGTGAATAAAACTATGATTTGTCCTGTTGAATCTTAGGTATATGTATTCCCAGCTAAGGCTATAATTAGAATTATCAAAATAATTAGATTCTCTGTTCTCAGGATTTTATCAACTAATTTCATTAAAATAAGATTAACCTAAAAGAAATACAATCATCTTTACGCTGATTAGATTTAATTAATTATTTTAGATCTCAAAATTTACAAGCTTCTAGACTTCTCCATTCGAAAATTCAATCTACTCTAAATTATAAACAATACTTTGAAAATCTATTCATTTTCTTGTTGTTAAAACAATGTTTTCTGAAGAGTCTTTTACAGTTTTTTAGGTAACCATAAATAGCAGTAAGAGATAAGGCGATAAATAATTTTCATATAATATAATTATTTTTATATTAAACAATATGTAATAAAATTAAGAAGGGGATAAACCACTAAAGGAACAATATTTGTAGGATCAGGTCGAAAAAGGTTTAGACGCTGATTTATGTGCCTAATTTCTAGTCTCTTTAAAACCTGAAGGTGGTGATGATATTGACAATTGGAGTCTAGACGAATTGAGTAAATTCTATATACTAACTAATTAGAGTCGGCTATTGAGTAATTTAAGGAATCTCAAAAATAAGCAGAAGAATAATAACCCAATAATTCAGAAGATTAGGGCAATCTTTAATAAGCATAACCATAAGAATAGCCATAATAAAATTAATAGATAATTTAATAAAGCAATACTCCTGTTCTTGTGAATTGCTATTAAATTCTACCAAATGAACTATCAGGTGATAATGTCGCTGTTAAGATATTGACGTAATTCAATCACTTATTCGTAGATACAAAAAAGAGAGTGCCGGTTTCTTTTCCTCTTCATACATTGTATTCTAGATTGAAACACAACCTCAAGGATGGATTGTTTTTAGAAGATATTCAGATTTCGAATGGCTAAGAGATTCATTGCAGAAATTCTATCCAGCTTTTGTTGTTCCACCAATTCATAAAAAGAGATCAAGGTCATTTGAGGATTCCTATCTTAATAAAAGGGTGATATTTTTACAAAGATTTCTGAATAGCATATTCAAATCCTATGAATTGAAAAGCAATGTAATTGTGAAGAACTTTTTGAGTTTAACACAAAATAATGAATTCAAGAAATTCCAAGAAGTACAAATTTATTTATCCGCAAGAGTATTACTAAATCTGCTCCACCTTAAACAGTACAAAGAATGTTCTCAAAGGATGGCCAAGTCAATTGCGTTGCTCCCATTGAAATACATCAATATGCCCATCAAACTTAGGATTACTTCTATGAAATAGATGGAGTCTATAAAAAAATTAGAGTTTTAAGCAAAAGTCTAAAAGAAATTTAATTATAAAATTCATTGAAGATCTATTGTGTAGGAGAAATATTCGCTTCGCTATTTTAACACTTAAACAAATTAAATTCAATACTTCCAACTGGATAA